AATTCAACCAAAGCAAGGCAAGCCTGGTGTGCGTCTTTTCTACTTGTTCTCTTTGACAATGGTCTGATCAACACTTCGGAATGCATTCGAAGGACCCATTCGAAGGACCCATTCGCAGATTCGGGCCCGCATGCTCTGGGCTACCATCTCTACCCCCTTCAAACAGCCTGCTGACCTTGCATCGCCCATTGTTCATGAGTATGTGCTGTATTTTCTGTACTAGCTTTAAAATAATGATCATGTTAGTGCTCTTGACCCCCGATCATCATGGGATGAATGCATGATAACTCCTGCTGATGTTTGAACCAGTGACGGTACCACTATCTGCCCTGCATGAAGCCATGCTTATCCAGTGAGTTGTGTGTCAATCTTTCTCAACGTATCTTAATCCTTGATCATCAGCTCCGTCCGGCAAGTCTCTTTAGGCTACACCTCGAGCGACAGGGCCAGGACTGGGTGCATCCAGGGCAGAGACATACCCATCGAAACGAAGTTTGTCCAGATCAGTATTGGCATGAAGTCCTACATCTAACTTAATAACTTAACCTTACAGCGAGCGTCTCCCCTTGATCACTCACCCAACTTGCCCTTCTACACCTCCCCATCGCCACCACATTTTCGCAGCCCAGCCCAGAAACACAATCTTATCATCCACATGCCTTTGGTGTCAGCCACCCCACTCCACAGCAAACCCAGCCTGCTCACCTCGATGGCAATGGATCCGCACATACTTATTCGTATGGGTCAGTGTCAAGACTGTATGCTGGAGGTAACAACAAGTGTCTGAAGGAGAGATTCCATGCTGAAAACGTGTCGTGAGATTTTTGACGTTCTGGGCAGAGAGTGTTGGTGTTTGGTGTGCTCTGGACTTCGAAGCATGAGACCCCACACTCACTTAGCACGAGTAGAGCTTTTCCTGGTGGATCAGCGCAGCCATAGATGGGAGCAAAGCCTGTGGGTCTTCATGTTCTTTCCTGCCATACTGACTCAGAGTCACTTGTCCCCTGACGCAGATTTGTTTCCTACTACTCACCATTCAGAAGTACTGTCATGCCTGAGGGACCGCGTACCGGTACTACTTGCTTAGGATACTCTCCCGACCATATATCTATTTCCCTGGTTTGTTGGGGTCGGACTACAACATTTATATCCAGCTAGACACAGACTTGGTCAAGCTTTACGGTCAGTAGAATAATTTGAAATCAAGTCTTTAAGCTTAAATCATCTTCGTTTGCTCTTCCAACAATAACATACTCCAAATCACCAAGATGGTACGTATGGTATGTCTTTTAGCGCTTTGTATTTACACTGCGTTTCTCCTACACTACCCATAGCAAGAGATGGATGTCATCAATTTCAATGACGAAGACGCGATGAATATGGATGAAGACAAACCCCAAATTAACATGGTGCGTTTCATATGATATGTCTTAAAGTCACGCTACACTCCTTCTAAACTAATATAGGGAGAGATGGATGTCGTTGACCTTAATGACGACGATGCAATGAATATTGACGAACGTGAAGACATAGATGATCGGATGGTGCCTATAATATTTCTTATGGTGCCTTGTATTAACACTATTTTCAACTAATGTAGGGAGCCATATACGTCATCAGTCTCGACAGCGCTGCAGCAATGGATGTTGATGAAGATGAAGACCAATAGATCATGATGGTGTGTATATTAGTATGTTTCACAATTTTTTTTTCTATTTACACTATGTTCCTCTCTCGGGTGCTTCGCTAATGTAGGGAGCCATATATGTCATCAGTCTCGACAGCACTGCGGCAATGGATGTTTATGAAGACGAAGACCAACAGATCATGATGGTGCGTATATTAGTATGTTTCATGATTTTTTCTATTTACACTATGTTTCATGATTTTTTCTATTTACACTATGTTCCTCTTTCGGATGCTTCGCTAACCATTAGGGAGACATGACTCGGATGATTGATATCAGTCTCGACAACAACGATCGTATGGATATCGATGAGGATGACTTGGACATTATATTTTGGAAGTGATCGGTCTCAATCTGCAGCTTTGTTTACTAGGGAATATGATCTATATTTTTGATTGTGGATAAATGTACTACTAGCGCTATATCATGCAGGACCCTTCTGGTTTTACTTCTACGCGGAAATTGATAACAGTTCGACCTTTCAGTTCTCCGCACGTCATCTCCGCTGGATGAGCATGTAGATGAGGGAGCAAACTATTAAAGTTGATCCGGTCCACAAGCCTCCCAATCATAGTGCTAGCCGGCATCAGTTGGCTAAAGACATAGTTTTACAGGTACAATTTTATTTTATGACCTCAAAACTGTAGTATTGATCATTTCTCCTGCAGCGTGAAGTCCATGAGCATGCCATGCATATGCTAGAGCATGAGACAAAGAACGATACTCTCAAGAGGTACTTCAGTAAGCTCCTTTTCCTTCAGTTTTGATTATCAAAGTGTACTGTAGGATTGAAGAAAGATATGCTCTAGTTATATCGTTCTGGGAATGCAATATTATGACAGAATGCATTCACTTCAGCTTCAACATCCTTCGAGAGTCAAAATTTGACTACTTGTTTAATGTCCTGTGCTAGGCCATGCAGCAGCCTCATCCCCTCCAGTTCGGACCTGCAGCCAGATAAGTGCCCAATCGTCCTTGAACTCAACTGGCACTGCACCAATTATCTGCTGTATCTCAGATGTTCTTTGTAAGTGTTGATATCTCTGTTGCTCAATCATTTCACCACTCAAAACTTTGATGTTACAAGTTACAACTTTGGCATCGATTCCTTACTTATCGGCATCGTATGTCATCCCTTCCGATATACCCATCACCATCACCATTTCTAATAACACCATCGAACTTAACCAGTGCTTCCCCGACTTATCTCGCATTCTATCATCAACCTTTGCCTATGCGCGACCAGAATCAATGTCAATATCTCCTTCCCGTATCATCCCTCTGGCTCTCTGACCCGACTGATAGTCCCCAGCGAGCTTCTAGCAATGGCCTAAGGAACTTGGGAGAAGCTGTCCCAGGTCGCTGTCCTGGGTGCTGATCACGATGTCTTCTTAGATAGATGATCTATAGATAAACACCTACAAAATCAAAAATCTCCACGGTCAGTGATTCAGACAAATACCAATGACTGATAATGTGGTTGTTCGTGGGTGGCTGTTTACACTTTACTAAGCTATGTTCAGACAAAAGTACTTCCTGTGAGGTCAGTAGCAATACCAGTTAATCCAACAGTATGGATGTAATAAAAAAATAAACAGAATGTAGTCAGCCCAACGGTATGGTGATGACAAAAAGAAAATGAATCACTCCAACGGTATGGCAGTGATTAGAGAACAAAGAAAAGTCAGCCCAACAGTACGGTACTGATAAAAAAAAGAAATAGATTGATGATAGAAACCCTTCCTTCAGTAACAATGCTTCTCGTAATAAATTTACTACAGAAAAATTGTGCAAAGTTATAACAATCACCCCCTCAGCACAAACAGGTAGAATCAAAGGTCAGGACTAATCAGTGATCAGTAGAACTCTTAGTTCACTATTGAACCTGCTGCCAAGGAACTCATGATGAGTATTTAAACAGAATCAGGAACGGACGTCCTTGGATTTCAGTACCAAGTCCCCTATTCAACAACTAAAGTCTAGCAGACAAAGAAAACCCTGGCTCAGTATCACTACTCAGACAAGTGAGGTCAAGCGTCACTATCAACTTCTGAAGTCTTCCCACTAAGCCGGTGCTTAGATGGATGTAAAGACAACACAAAGATCTTGAAACAAATTCAGACAATAACACTAAGACGTGAACGAACTGAACAAAAAAAGAGACAAATGAAAAGAAAAGAAAGAAACAAAGAAAGAAACAGAAAAAGAAAGAGAGAAAGAAGAATGAAAAGAAAAGAAAGAGACTAGAGGTTCACCAGTAGAAAATCAAAGAAAAAGTTTGCTCACTGTTGAGCACAGTGAGCTCAAGATATTTCACAGTTGTTGACGATGAGCTAAAGGTATTGCTGGATGTTGCTTACAATGACCTCTCAGTTAGTTGCTTAACAGCTCTTGTCACTGTTGTTGATACTGATCACACTTCACACTCAAATTTATTTTGTGGGGCTTAAAAGTTCCCTATATGCATACTTTTATTGGCAAAAAGTGGGGTCTTATATAGATAAATTAGGGTGGCTGTGCTACTATTTCCCACGTTCTAAGGGAAATAGGCTTAGTCAGATTGTACCAATACTATTGTACTGTTAGTCATGTGCTTTATAATTTGTGTCATCAAGCTTTAGTCATCTCAAAAGGTTGCTTTGTCATGATTTGGTTTAGGATCATAGGTCACCTGACTGTTAGAGTCATATGACTTAGTATCATGTGACAAATATTAAGTAACAGACTGATTATGTTATTTGTTGGTGTCTTGTTATGATGTTACTTTATTGACCGTAGAAATGACGCGAGCTGTGTATTTAGGGTTTTAAGAAAGTTCCCACAAGGCAACTTATGCAAGAACTATTTTTCACTGTTTACTTGACATGTGTGGGATTCAGTCTGAGTCATTGTTGCTGCTGACTAAGCAGAATTTTACCGCAAAATTAAATATACAAAAATACTCAGCCTATCTGAGTCTATCTGAGAAATGAAATGAAAATACTATCTGAACTGCAGTCTGAACCATAAAGTAAAGGAAGATTGTTCATAATGATTTCTAGGGTATCGGGCTCGTGGGAGAGCATTAGTCATCCATGCACCAAACCAGTTTGGTGCAGGTCAACGACTCCCCCGAATGCCACCCCCATCCAAAATGTTTGGAAGGGACTCAAGTGGACATTCTCAAATTCATCCACGAAAGTAAGAGAAGAGTCAAATCGTTTGGCTGCATGGCATGGCAGGTCTGCCTTGACATTCACCGTGGTCGAGAGGATGAAAGGTCTGAAAATGACAGAGGAGACAAAAATTGAAACAAGGCTTGCGGGAACATTCTTTTTCGCACAAGCACACAAAACGTAGCACGACCAGATGCTTCTTTGTGACCCTTGCCTACCAGCTCATGGGCAATTTTCCCAGCATCCAGAAGGATGTGAACAGAGCTATCTGCGAGGATCCTGTGGTTCTAGAGTCCAGTAAGTCTCTTCACGATCAAATGAAGGCCTTATTTCGCCAGCCTCTCTGGCACCTGTAATTCAAGCTGCGGGAGTGTCCGCCTCTGGTGTTCGTTGTCGATGCCCTCAATTAATGCCAGCCTGTAATGGTCACCGATCTGATCCACCTCCTTGGGGAAGCTCTTCATGATCCTGAACTTCCCGTGATTCACATTTTGCTTACGAGTCGCTTGAAGAAGCATATTCATCAAGCCATTCAGAAGAAGAGATGGGCACGCTGGTGTACGAGATAATGGTGAACACTTTTGGGGAGGGTGCTGCTGGCACTGTGAGGGGCTAGTGGGGCTGGATGCAGAGGGCGGGCGAGTGGTTGAACACCATGGGCTGGCGAGTATGGCTGGACACAGAGGGCGAATCTGGCTAGACACGTTGGGCAGCTAGATGCGCTTGAAAACCTTCCAACGTATTTCATTGATCCTTTAGATGTATCCCAGTACTGGAACACTGTAGACTGCTGGGGCCAGGGGGAGCACAGTCAGAAAATTGTTGGGATTGCCATCCGCATAGTTGGGATTGCCATCCACACAGGTGTGGATCGACATCCGAGATTAGTAAAATTTGTATCCACTGTGTTAGGATTGCCTTCCGCACAAATGTGGATCTGAATGATTGAATCTACTGATTCCCGCTATGGCAGTATACATAACTCGGAAAAGCAGGCTCTGCTGTGAGCGGCCTTGCGTGTTATTCATATCATTTTAAATCCTTCTCCTGACCACACTTAAAATACTAATAAGCTTTAACTGATGTTATGACACAAAATTCTCTCTTGAAAGCATTTTAAATCCAAACAAACTTTTGATTCACAGTAAGATTAATATATGTAACTGCAAGAAAGTTAATGGATTCTACTGCTTGGCATATAAAATAATAGTGTCATAAGAAGTCTACTTGAATCTTGAACAAAGGTAAACAAAAGTGAGGGACAAAATGATGATCTAAGCTTGATTACTACATTGAATATTGTCTGAAGTATAATAAAAACTTCATTCAAGATATCTAGGCAACAAAAACATTAGCAAAAGGGTAAAAAAAACATCAACTTTTACAGTTCAACAAATGTTGACAAAAGTTATTCAAAACTTCATTCGCTATCACACCACAAAGTCAAAGCTTTGTCTAGATTTGTACTGGAGCAAAATTGTTCAAATTGTTAAACTATGTGTTGAGACAATATTGTCGATGAACAGTGACTTAAGATTTAACTAAGATCAACTCTTTGCATCACGCAAAAGTAGATAGAAAGTTCAAATTTTGACCAGCATTTTGCAGGCAACACAATCATGAAATTTATTTAAACCTTTTTTAGGATTTTTTCAATATTTTTCATGCTGAAAAAGTCTTTCATGCTTCCAGTGTGGAAAGCTTGTGGATTTCGAAGCACAAATGCTAAAAAAAATGTCACTAAAGTGTGTTAGTGTCACATCACATGATCAATTTCACACATTATAATTTGCAACTGGCAGGAATTGAACCTAACATATTAGGTAATTATAAGTGCAGCATTATTACCACTAGGCCACAAGACCATTTGTATATCCTCACAATAATAAAAATATATACCAATGTCACATGACAAAATGCGAAAATTCCACTAAGTCAGTCCATTCAATTATCACACCACAACACCACCATTCTATTTACTGCTACATAAATTCTCGTACAGTGGCTTGATATAATTGTAATTGAATGATAAACTGCTTTATTTAATATATCTACATGTCCTATTTCACTCAGAGCCAATAGATTTTGTACAATAGATATTAATATGTATCTCATCCACTTTCCGAACACTTTGTTAGCTTTATATCACCAATTATGAAGAAAAATCAGGGCTTTAATATGAACCAACATTCATCAAATTTGGTCCACAGGATCAAGAGATATTGCAATTTTAGTATTTAAAAGAGGTTCAATCAAGTCAAATAGCACATATCACAACTATATTACAACAATATATAGTAGACTGAGGATAGTAGATAATAAGGTTAGAAAACTAGTAATTTCAGTAAGTCTTTGTACAGCTTGTACAGATTGTACAAGGTGTACAAGGTGTACAAGCTTAGTCAGATCATGATTAGCAAAAGATAGGGATACTTGTTAAAATTCACATATTTATGTTGGTTTGTACTATCTATAGACATTATTAGCATTGGTGATGTGATATTTTATTATATGTCTGTGAAGTTTGTGAGACCTGTGGTGCCTTGTGGCACCTTGTGGAACCTTGTGTGGTTTGTGACACCTGTGACGAAATCAATAGTTTGCTGATGACATTTGCTGATGTAGCTTGTTTCTTCGTCTTCGGCATTTTGGCTGCATATGGTGGCTTCATTCTATGGAGGCTCTTCTTGAAACTGGACTCGGAAAGGTATCCCGTCAAGTCTTTCGGAGAACTAGGGCAACGCATCTATGGCCGTTGGTTCGGGAATCGTACGCAAACACTCATCGATGTAGAAAATCGATTGATCACGTGCATCTACAGTCTGTAACATTTTGCAAAGTTTGCAGCTCGTGTTCAATGTTGGGATCATTATTCTTCAAAATGGCCAAGGTCTTTCGCAGATGGCAAAGTTTAGGGTGACCTTGTCATGTTTTGGCGCATATTGACATCTAACTTGCCCTTCTATAGCTATGCTTCAGCGGCTGCAACGTCGTCTGGACCCTAGCTGGAATGTTTCTTGGTCAAATTCGGACTCTTCAGAAGTTTGGCTCGATCGCCAATATCGCTATCTGGCTGAATATCACTGTCTTGATTATGACGATGGCCTTTGCGGCTAACTCACCACCTAACTATACTGCAGTCGCCTACTCTGGCCCTGTGATCACTCAGGCTATCAACGTACAGGCTTTCGAGAACCAGCTCAATGGTATCATGCAGATTGTGTTCTCATACGGTGGAGCGTAAGTCATCATGACTCATAAAAACAATCATGTGCAAATGAACAAATTCTTTTAGCATGATTTTTGTGGAGTTTATGGCTGAAATGCGGCGCCCAATGGATTTCTGGAAGGCTATGGCGTATTCCCAGATCTTCATCTTCATCGTATACATGTTCTTCGGTCTCTTCGTTTATTCATACCAAGGCCAATATGTTGTTAACGTCCGTCCTTTCTCTCTTAACTTGAAATCCTAATGACGATGCTCTTGCAGCCGGCTAATCAGGGAATTTCGACTTATGGCCTACAGACTGCGGGGAACGCCATTTCTTTGACCGCTGGTATCATTGCCGCCGCATTATATGGCAATATTGGTGTCAAAATCATCTATAACAACATCTTCGTGGCGATCTTTGATTTCCCAGTGTTGACTGCGACTCGGGGTAAATACTACTTTGCCATCTTTGTCATAGTGTATTGGGCCATTGCCTTCGTTATTGCATCCGCCATCCCGCAATTCAGCGCCCTCTCGTCGCTGATTGCTGCCGTTTGCATCTTCCGTGAGTATTCAATTTTTTTCTGGTTGCTCTCATAACGACTTAAATCACCCTTCAGAGTTTACATATACCTTCCCGCCATTTATGATCATGGGTTACTTCTTGCAAGTAGATGCCGCAAAAGACGACGGGGAATTTGACATCAATAACCCCTACGCCCACCGTATTGACTCATGGACAGATATCTCGCGTTGGAAACGTGCAGGTACGTACTATCTTCTACACAGAGTTCCCTTGCGCAAATCTAACCCTTGCGCCAGTCTTCTATAACATTTGGCACTTCCTCTTCGCCGCGTGGAACTTCCTTCTCACACTCGCATGCTTGGCTTGTGCTATTCTGAGCGCGTACTCGGCCGTCAACACGATCGTGACCGCGTTTCAAAGCTCGAGTTCTGCGGCGTTTAGCTGCCACTCGCCATTGGACGTCAGCAGTTGAGGCACCAAATGGTAATACATCTTTGAACGTGCGTTTTTGTTTAATTGAATGCCGTGGGATGTAATGAACTTTGGTATGATATAGTACTTCGACTCTCTTACGCTTAACCTTATGTTACCTAATGTACCACTGGGAAGAATACAACACCTGTTATCTCGCAGCGCGCAACAGGTGCACAAGGTTCCGTACCACCTCAGTGGGTGCTCGACGTTATCGTTCAGGATTCGCCAAACGTACGTGTCTGGTCTACGGCACGTCAAGACTCAAGATGTATAACAAATTAAGTACAGAACAAATGGACTCCCACTATATAGTTTAATCGGACATCGACGCAAAACAAGATATGATCGGAATACGCAACCCAACATCTACATCCCATGGGCCTCGAGACGACTCCGGAAAATCTTCTGGAACTGCGGGACATGCTCCAAGTCCATCAGCGTGTGATGTTCCCCAGGCACATCAGTATATGATGCCTCGCCACGGCTAAAGGCGGACCATGGCTTGAGCTGGTTGTTGAGCCAGTCAATCTTGGTTCCGGAAAGGGGAATGGCATAGAAAACTTCGAGTGCAGCTAAGGGGTTGGCATATGAGCAAGCGCTTCTAAAGTGACAAAGTAAACAGACATACCGACTGAGCCTGATGGGCTGTAATCTAATCCGCAATCAATGATAGACGCGAAGAGGTCCGCCCATTTATTAAGCTTCTCGAGCGTCAGCTGGAGCTCGACAATTCGTTCAGGAGGTGACATATTCCACACGAACTGGAGCTGCTCCTGCCTCGTGAGCGGTTTCAGTGGAGAAGCCAAATTATTAGCATCATCTTTCGACATGAGACCAAGGAGGGCCGACAATTGAAGCATGCCGGTCGTCCAATCAATCTCATTCATGCGAGGGGCAATATCAGGGGGGATGTTGACGAGACCGACGAACTTAACTTCGTCGCCCATCGCCTCGAGCCGCTTTGCGACTTCAAATGCGACAACACCGCCGTAACTGTAACCTGCGATGGCATATGGTCCCGTCGCCTGAGTCTTCTTAACTGCTGCGGTATAACAGGAAACCATCTCGTCCATGGAGGTGAAGTAAGGGTGGCCGGCATCGAAGCCACGAGCACGGAAAGCATAGAAGGGACGCTCATTATGGAAGTATTTGGCGAGATTGACAAAAACAAGCACCTCGCCGATACCGGGGTGAACGAAGAAAATGGGCAACTTGCTTCCACTGAGTTGGAGGGGAACGATGGGATCGTACTCCTCAGTCTGGGTGCCCTGGGAAAGTAAGGAGTTGATGTAGTTCGCCAGGCTCGAGAGAACAGGGTGCTTGAGGATTTTGATGGCAGAGATCTCAGGCAGGTTGAAATATTCCTCTCCTTCGCGCTTGAGCCTGGAGATTATGTGTCAGTAACGGTCGTTTGAAGGCGGAAACAGGTATATTCACCGGATAATATCAATGGAAGTACCACCGATCTCGAAGAAGTTGTCGCTGGCTGACACTTCGTCAACTGCCAGGTTAAATATGCCAGCGTATATCCTGGCAAGCGCCTTCTCCGTCTCCGTGGACGGCGCGACGAACGTAGCGTCACGTGCCTCGCTCAGAAGCTCCTCCGAGCGAGCGATGTGCTTCGCGAGCTGGCCTTGCTTGAACAGACTGATCAAGTACGCACGAGACAGTTTACCGAGAGTGGTCTTCTCCATTTGGTTCACAGGGATGGGAACGACGAACTGAGGCGGCAGCCCAATCATTTTCACGCAGATATCCCGAAGGGCCCGGTGAGTAGCACAAAGCTTTGCGGAAGCGTCTGCTCCATCGAGATCAAAGGTTGGCGAGTAGAAAATGATGAGCCCTTCAGTCTCCTGACCAGGAGCACGATACGGAGCTACACCTAGGAACGAGTGAGTCACTCCTTCTACGGTCTGGAGGTGGGTCTCGAGCTCAGGGATGCCGTGCGAGACACCATGGATGATGACGGTGTCCTTGATACGACCGCTGAGGCGCATGATCCCATTCTCGATGATGCCGACGTCGCCGGTGCGGTACCAGCCCCCATCGACGAAGCTGGAGGACGTAGCCTCTGCGTTGTTGTAGTAGCGTACAAATACCATCGGTCCGCGAACCTGGAGCTCGCCGCTCTTTCCGTCAGGGCGCAGGGTCGAGCCGTCTGCGGGGTCAACGATGCGCATCTCGCAACCATCGATGGGTCTCCCGAGATCAAGGAACTCACGAGCAGTCTCGGTTGCGAGCACATCCGTGAGATGGTAAATGCATCCGGCACTGCAGCATCCTCATCAATTTTTCTAGATACCCGTATGGTTTAATTAGTCTTACCATGTTTCTGTCATTCCAAACCCAGGAGAGAGGATGAACGATACAGTGGAGGGGTTCTTGCTAAGCTGCTTCATGGTAGCAACAAACGCTTGGGCGGTCTTGAGAACAACAGCTTCACCTCCACTGATGATCCGCTTGATGGAGGATAAGTCGAAGCATCCGAAGAGCTCGGTGCGCTTTTCCAGATCACGAGTGAGCTTGGAGAGCAGGAAATTCGGGGCAAAAGTGATTTCGATTGACTATAAATAGAATGATAAGAGACACATCAAGCTATGGTCGAATTTTGGCATGCCTTTTCGTCGATCAGACGGAGCAGCCGAAGGGGGTCAGCAAGGATAGCAGATACGTGCACATGGAGTTGCGAGGCGCCACATAGTAGAGGCGTGATGTGCATTTCCAATGATCCTCCGACGTGATCAAATCCGACCCCTGAAAGTCATGATCAATTTAAGAATAAAGTTAAGCAACGTGTGTCTTACAGTTCAAATATCGAGATTTGGATGTCAAGCCGAGGCTTTGGCCTTTCGCACGGCATGCAGCAATAATTGTGCGGTGCGTGTGCACGACCGCCTTCGAGAATCCAGTCGACCCTGAGGTCGAGAACAGGATCGCCTCGTCGTCTGCCTTGGCCTCGTATGCAACCCAGTCAGCTGAGACGTTGAATGTCTCCGCCGACGCCTTTAATTCGGAGAGCAGGTGCACCTCCAGACCAGAAATGGTGCTGATCTGCTCGGCCCCAAGTTCGTCGGTCAACCAAATAGCAGACCCAAACAAATTCTTGATGTGGGCGACATGGCCCTCCTTGTGGGCCTGGTGCGCGCTAAGTGCAGGCTGGAAGAAGGGCACATAGCCGGCCAACAAACACGCCCATACAACTGCCATATTGTCTTCGTGCTCCGTCAGGTACACGACGACGACTGAACGTGTGGGTTTGCCCCACTCTAGCATGGCACGTGCAAGATTGCGAACATAATGGTTGAACACTCTGAAGGTCTTCGTCTGAATGGAGGAGTCATGTGCTGAGGAAGTTATGAAACCAAGCTCGTGGGACGGATAACGGTCAACAGCTTGAGTGATGACGTCGTGGAGAGTATTAGGTTGTGGAGAGGTAACAAAGGACTTGAAGGTGGTGGGGGAGGCTGCGACGGGTGTCATTGCAAGGTAAATTCTAAAGCAGTGATACTCTAGGACGTTGAGCACTCACTAGCTTTCTTATATATGCACAGGTGCTAACATATGCTTTGCTTGTACGCAAATGCTCAATTGTGTATCGGAAGGGTCTGGAATTCGCGCGATACTCAGGAAAGCCCATATGCATAGTACAGTGTCGGTGTAAAGACGATCCTCAAGTTATGTAATCATTGATCGTTTTCGAATTGTTAATCAAGTATCCTCCATTACACCGTCGACTGCCAAAAACCTATTGGAGAGCCCAAAAATGGTCAAGGTGTCAATGAGCCCTATATAATTTTCTCCCCATCTGTGTGAGAGATTTGGTTTCGAGCTATTCGAGAGCTGGGAAGCAGCCTATACAAGATATATACCACGTTCTGAAAAAGTAAACAAAAATTTAAAATGAAATACGGCAGGTTCGAACCCATGCATTCGGCTTGGAGCGTTGTAAGTTCACAACAAAGCTATACCCATTAAGCTATCTATATCAGTCCTTATATAAATCTATTTATGTACCATATCTATATCCAACCTCGGGTGTTGTAAATAGTTTTCTCAGTATATCGCTACGGCCTAAAGCGGCAGCTCAGGTGGTGTAGGCCTACCACCAACCACACCGTACTTACCGTGGTACTAACACTCTGAGAGCGGGCACTGGTACCTGGCCACCGTAAACCATGCAGCCTTATTCCTATCAGTGTTGTGGGCAGAAATTCAAATGTCAGCTGGTTTGGCAGAACTAGTTCTGCCCGCAGCCGCATGGCAGAATTTTGTAGGCAGAATCTGGCAGAATCATTATCAAACTACTCCAGGGGTTCACCGTGACAGCGAAAGATGACCTTTTCACTGCAACCACCCTCTTATGAACTGTTGCTTACGCCGCTGACGTTGAATGCCTTTTTTTGGATGTGGGCAACATTCAGTCTGCAATCTCTTGGCATCGGACACGCTTGAACCAATCACTGGCAAAATTCGAGCAAATCTTCGTTGCCAATAGTAGGTCGTTGCCAAGGGAAAGCCAATTCGTCGACACCCGAATGTCTACATGCACGTCTTCCACCGAAATCTGTTGGCGAGATAATGGTAGTGCCAATCAGAGAATCTGTGAGAAGAAGATATCGTAATATATAGGAAAGGTTTTCGTCACATTGGAATATAATGCAATATATGACTATGTAAAAGCACCATAGTCAGCATAATCCCCACCAAGAACTCGCCGGTTTACTGATGGGCCACTAGTTGATAACACCTCACACGACGGACACAATTCTGCCGGTTGTGCCAGCACGATTCCTCATAAAAAATTCTGCCACCAGCCAGCACTACTATCCCGACAACGGAAGTCTGAAAGTGCAAACAAGGTTATATCTATGCTAGAAGACAGCACTACTTCTGCGTTTGAGGAAGGATGTGAGATGAATTCGTCCGAATTTCCTCGGTATCGCGACCATAGGGAGTCCGACTCGCAAACATGCGAGCGCATTCATGAATTGGATTCAACTCATCATAATACCTGTCTTGAGGTCGAGTTGAAGCTTTTGTCCACCCGCGTGCTAGTGCGCAGAGTCCATGATTCGTCGGCTACACCTGGTGAGTACATCCTGCATATGAAGAGCTATTGCTCTAACATTGCTAAATATGACTATCCACAATTATTCTGTTCATGGCACAGCCCTGACCCATTTGTTTGTGTTACCCGGTACCCCATAACTTGGACGTTGTTTACGGGCACTGTCCTGCAGAAAAATTTGTCGTCAGAGCTGCTAAACCATCTGGACTATCACGAGTTACATTATTTTCCACTCAAAAGGGACTGGGTTTTTTATGCAATCGCAAAGCACTTGTGTTATCAGCATTAACGTGAGCAAGCACGTCACCGTGCACTGGAGACGCACCAGAGGTATTTTTCGCGGTAAAAATGATTACCGCTCAGCGCAAAATAAAATCTAACTACCAGCGGCCCTGAAACAAATGTCTTACTAGTCAGTCGTATCTTCGCCAGCCTGTTGATCGTATGTACTCTGTAGGAGCCGGGGAGCGTCCGGGTCTATCATAGAAGTGCACAGTAAGCCTGAACAACCAAAATTCACAATAAGTCACCGTGTTGGTGGTAGATGGTCACGGTGTATCGTATTTGGCAACGCCTCCTGAAATAAATCAAGTACCTCGATGGCCGAAGTGCAACAAAAAACACAAATCAAGTGATATAGGACACGATCGCAAACTGTCTGGCAAAGTAGTGAGAAGAATTCAAGCAAACACTTGATGGCGTGACCAAGGCACATTAACCGCAATTGTCGTAGAATGTTAATCGTGTTTTCATGTGTTGCTCTAAAAACGGTGGGCTCAGAACACCAGATATCATGAGAAGATGCAAAGAATCATTTCTATTATGCTATGATCGATTTTTGTTATAAGACAACGATAGATGCATGACGACGTAATTAGTCAAGTGAATTACTAGGTATGAAACACATCCTGATATACTCCGAGTGTAAGTAGTTGAATAGATACTGGCGAAAGACAGATATAAACATGATACGCCAATCTAAATTTTTACAGGCCACAGGCCTCGAGACGACCCCGGAAGATCTTCTGGAACTGTGGTACGTGGTCAAAGTCCATCAACGTGTAGTGTTGCCCTGGCACGTCCGCTTATGATGGCTCGCCACGACTGAACCCAGACCATGACTTGAGCTGGTTGTTGAGCCAGTCTGACTTGCTGCCGCGCAGAGGAATGGCGTAGAAAACGTCCGTAGCAGCTGAAGAGACACGCCATATGAGCAAGCGACAATGAAGTCAGAGAAGAAAAGACATACAAACTGAGCCTGATGGGTTGTAGTCCTTCCCGCACTCGATCAGGGACCCGGCGATGTCCACCCAGTGGTCCAGCTTCTCAGGAGTCAGCTGGAGCTCGACGAGACGGTCAGGAGGAGACAGCTTCCACACAACCTCGAGCTGCTCCTTCCTCGTCATCGGCCTCAGAGCGGGCGCGAGATCATTAGCATCATGAGACCGAGGAAGTACGACAAGTTGAGCATGCCGCCCGTCCAGTCGATCTCGTGCATGCGGTCCGCGATATGAGGAGGGATGTTGATCAGACCAACAAATTTGACTTCCTCGTCCATCGCCTCGAGTCGCTTGGCAACCTCGAACGCGACGACACCGCCGTAACTGTAGCCCGCGATGGCGTATGGCCCAGTCGCCTGGGTCCTCTTGACTGCTGCGGCGTAGCACGACACCATCTCGTCCATAGAGGTGAAGAAGGGGTGGCCGGGCTCGAAGCCACGAGCACGGAGAGCGTAGAACGGACGCTCGTTCTGGAAGTATTTCGCGAGGTTGACGAAAATCAGGACCTCTCCGACACCGGGGTGAACGAAGAAGATCGGAGTTTTGTTTCCGGTCAGCTGAAGGGGAACGATAGGGTCGTACTCTTCAGTCTGACTGTCCTTGGAGAGCAGGGAGTCGACATAGTTGGCGAGGCTCGAGATCACGGGGTGCTTAAGGACCTGGATGGTGGGGATCTCAGGAAGGTCGAAATGTGCCTCTCCCTCGCGCTTAAGTCTGAAGATGATATGCATTAGTGAGAGCCGTTTTAGGGCGGGAAGTCTATACTGACCTGATGACATCAATGGAGGTACCGCCGAGTTCGAAGAAGTTGTCGCTACATCTCGCTTTCCGCGAGGTTGAAGATCCCAGCATATATCTTGGAAAGCGCCTTCTCCGTCTCCGTGGACGGCGCGACGAACGTAGCGCCACGTGCCTCGCTCAGAAGCTCCTCCGAGCGAGCGATGTGCTTCGAGCTGGCCTTGCTTGAACAGACTGATCAAACGCGCACAAGTACCGAGGTAGTCTTCTCCATCTGGTTCACAGGGATGGGAACGACGAACTGAGGCGGCAGCGTGATCATTTTCAAGCAGATGTCCCGAAGGGCCCGGTGAGTGGCGAACAGCTTTGACGAAGCGTCTACTCCATCGAGGTCGAAGGTTGGCGAGTAGAAAATGATGAACCCTTCAGTCTCCTGACCAGGAGCACGGTACAGAGCTGCACCGAGGAACGAGTGAGTCACTCCTTCTACGGTCTGGAGGTGAGTCTCGAGCTCAGGGATGCCGTACGAGACACCGTGGACGATGACGGTGTCCTTGATGCGACCGCTGAGGCGCATGATCCCATTCTCGATGATGCCGACGTCTCCGGTGCGGTACCAGCCGCAAATAAGTGACGCTTCTTGAGGCTCCTGTTCATTTCGATCTCCGCATTTTCCTTTCGCGGCTTCTGAAGCTTAAGCTTTAAGTTCTGCGCACCTGTGTGTCACCATAAACGTCCCTTATTAGTAAGAAACATGTGATGTGATGTCTGTTACTAACTAGGGGGGAAATCCTATGCTGCAGTACTTCAGCGATTTCCGCAGCACTCAGCACTGACTTTGGAGAAGTTTTGCTAAATAACATACAATATAATCAGTAGATATGATAAGAGCTTATGTCAGGTACCTGTAACATGACGGCGCTACTTTCCCGAGCTTCCTCCTTGTTTCCCACGACGACCAAACCTTTGTGCTCGTCATTGCACACGATGACCACGAAATATACCTCAAATTTCATTATTTTAGAGCGCTCTTTTTTGTTTCCTTGTATATACCATCCCTACATACTTATTAGACATATTTTTACCTACATACAATCCACAAACTTATACAAAATGATATGTTTAAGTACCAATCCATTCACAAAAACAAAAGATCTAAAACTACTGTGCACTACTAATCCGAATCACTAGAGCTCGAGCTTCCATCAGAGGACATAACCATGTCTGTGCCACCGTTCTCAAGGAGGCTGTATTCTTTCTCTTCCTCGCCACATAAACAGGTTCTCCTCTGGCCGCACATGCCCTATTATCCTTCATTCATGCATATAGTTCTGTGTCAGTTAACTTTACCCAGTGACAGCTTCCCTGATGAAGCACCCTCAACAAACTTTCTACCCCAGATTTTCCACCAACCTTGGAGGGATTTCGAACTGGCCCACCTAATGGCCAGCCAACAAGCGCAAAGCTGCGGCATTCGACTATGTTCTGCTTGTAGTTAGTATAATTCATCTTGATAGAACTCTTGATGTTGTTTTCGAGGGCAATTGAATCTAAGGAGTAGGAGATGAGTGTGTTTAATGAATTGAGCTGAAAAAACTGCACCTGAGTTCTTCCTGGATCATGGTGCGGCAATCACTGATCAGTTTGTTCAAAGGACTGTTGACTGAGGAGCAGCATGTTGATCTGCATGAGACATTAGCTTGAGGATTGACAAAACAAAATTAAGACTTATTAAGGCCACTCACAATGAAAGACTTGAGTTTCAAGCCTAGATGACGTGGCTCCACATTGAGGATATCCTTCGCGAACTTTTCAGCCTTCTGAGTAAAAAAGACCTTGGGTTCTGAAAGATCTTCAATACTATCTCGAACCGCTACATAGAAACCCTCTATGCCCAGTACGAGCACAAAGAGCCATCCACTATAAGGTAACAAAATCAGCTTTGTAGATAGTCAAAGTGTGAAAACTTACTTCGCAATCCATGGAAGCAAAGGATGCATTGACAGCATGACTAGTAGCCTTGGGATTCACACGTGCAATTTGGTTTGTCTGCTGACGGTGTAGAGACTCATGCCTCTCCTTGTGCAATATTGCAGTTTTCACCAAGGAGTATGCTGCACGAACTTGTAGTATCACTCTGTATGCTATCCACAGCTATTCCTATACGAGGCGCAGCTTTCCTGCACAACACGCAACTCGCGCACGTGCCTTTCCCGCGCTTCACTGATGTATATGCGCGCGCACTTTCCCGCACTTGAGCGCCCTATAGCGCCAGCCATCCAGAAGCATCCATCCACTGTCCACCAAGTTCCCTAGTGCGTATATTTCCATTTCTCACATTTGCTTATCGTTCCATCTTTATTTTTATCATGGACCCTTACTTACATATACCTTTACATACCTTACTCGGTAGCGCTTCGGCTCCACATGACAGCTGCTTAGGCGCCATACTTAAGCACCAGCAGTACATACTATTACTGAACTTACTCACCCACCAGAAACGAACCACAACGATACCCATTTACTACCTAGCGGAGTATAGTTGAAATCTATTCCTTGGCACCTCGCATATAACATCTCTCAGCTTGCATCTCTCACCTCTTGTCTAGTGTCTTATCATCACTTAAGCAAACTTGCTCATACCCTCTCTTGTTTCTGCATACATGCGCCCGCATTCCTGCGCTTCGCGCATTCCCGCGCCTCGCGCGCACCTGCGCTTTCCCACGCTTCGCATTCACCAACCAGTAGCGCCTTTGGCACCTACTACTAGATCCTTGCTGCACTCGCTTCCCCTTTAGGGTCGAACGCACTTGTTGTCTCAAGTATAGCAGACTAGGCAACGCGTGACCTTACAACATTTATAGATACAGTCAGGAGCATTGTTCATCCCTTGCTGTATCGTTGAACCTTCAACGGGCTTCAAGGACTTGCATATTGTAAACTCGTTTTTCTGCAAATGTAAGCTTTGAATGGGCATCAACGAGCTTGGTCTTGTTGTCTGCGATGAACTGAGTGAGCTGGATTCGTTCACCCTTTTCAAGGTCTAGATGTTGGTTAGTAATAGCTCAGTAGAAAATAAATAAAACTCGTACCTTCATTTGCTTCTTTGTGCTTGGCTCTAACAAAGGCGTTCCAAGAATTAACTCCACGTTGTTGACATAGCATACAGCTTCTCAGAAACAATTGATTGTGTGTCCATTTGAGAGACCTAAAAAAAGACTGTTAGCTTGAATAAACCAAAGAGAAAGAGAGAAAATATGCACCGTCCATGTGTCTCTGAAATGTGAGCGGCTTCCTGGGCATATGCTGACTTGGCAGTGTTGATAGTGTCAGTTAACGCTTCCTGCCGCTTGCATCGTTCTGCTTTTTGTGTAGCCGTGAGCTTTGCGCGTGAGCACTGAGGGCGACCTTGAACTTGGACCATGGTGGGGAACACTGACAAACTAATAAAATGTTATATAAATGGGAGAATCAGGGAAGTCACAAAATTAAGTTCAGTCAAAGTTGATGAGTGAAAGATGCACTGCAAATTTTAACAAAACTACAAACAAAATAGTAAAGTATAATTATTCAACTAAGAAAGATATCGTTAGCGGTGGCCACACTAGAAAAAAGCAACGTAAACATGTACTGAGTTGGCGGTCATTTGTTGCACGTGCCATCACATGAAGCAATGGCCTGACACAGCTCTGGAATATCTAACTTCATAAGGATGGCCTGCCAACACAAGGGACCATAGCCATCAACTTGGTGAATGCACCTCCATATCTCATTCATCGCAGTGTGATGAAGAGGAACATTCTGAAGGACCTGCATGATGTTGTCAGAAATTTGAACAGCTCCCACATCACGGGGAATTGGAAGGTGCATTTCAGCTGTCATCAAATAAATATTGTTAGTAATTGAGATGTTATTTTCCCCCCCTTTCAACAATGTCTGTATCTGCATGGGATTTGAGCATTGTTTTTTCATATTAAGTCCCTAAGTCCAATTAGTATAGCATCAGAAAAAAAATTAGGCATGACTCACACGGTGACTAGATGGTACATGGGGATCCAAAGAACTATTGACTCCATGTGGTATGCTAGGCGATAGTTGGAAATCAGGAGGCAGTGCTCTAGAGGGCACAGACACAGCCTTGAATTCTGGGATAGAGTGGCCTGAAGACATCTTTTTCTTCGAAGGAGACTGGCGTTGTGGAGAGCGTGATGTAAGTGATGGCAGAGGACACAAAGATACAGCATATTTCAATGGAGGTGAGTTGGGTGAGATTATGAATGGTGGAGGGCTAGGAAGCCTTGATGGATATTTCAATGGAGGCGAGCGAGGTGAGATTATGAAGGGCGGAGGGCTAGGAAGCCTTGGTGGAATAGTGGGTGAGGCAACCAATGGCGTAGGCTTTGGTGCTTTGCCTGACACTTTGTCTTTCGAGGGGTACTTGTGCTGAGTAGGGCCAGTGAGTGGTGAAGGGCTAGGGATGCGAACTGGCTTTAGAATGCGAATATTGTGTGTGCCACGTGCAACTGGCTCAGATAAAAGAGTGAGCTCGGCTGTGTTGTTATCGTTGTCATCATCATTGTCGTCAGAGAGCGAATGTAAAGAGGAACGAGTAGTGCTAGCAAATGTCATAGTAGAGAGATGTGTTGACAGGCCATCGGATGTGATGGAATCACGCCAGTCTTCATACTGGGTGGAGAGATGCATGGAGGAGTCATTAGAGTTGTGAGTAGAGTTTAAAGCATTGGGGAAGATATATGAGGAGTCGGTCAGATCTTTGGCTGAGGGCTTGTCAACGAGTTCGGTTTTATCTAAAGCTGCATTATGTACTGTCATTAGCATACAATGAAGAAAATTGATGGCCTTACATTCAAGCATGGACTTGGGAAGATGCATTCTCTCCCAGTTGAACTTGCGCTGACAAACCATGTGCACAAATGACTGCGAGAATATAGAATATATTGCTTTAATGACTTGTTTCTTGTCCTCATTCTTGATGGGCTCTGATACATCAAGTGCCGTTGTGAAAGTACAAGTTGGATTGAACATGCCAGGACACCTAACAAACTTGAATCCAGTGGTCATTTTGACATCCATAAAGTTGTTCTGGACTCACAAAGCATTAGCAATGTCCAACATGCATGCGGGCCATCTTACAGCTTGTGTGTGCAAGTCCAAGTAGTCAAGATGAGCAATGTTGTTGCGAATTTCTGACTGTGCCATTCCTAGATACAGGAACAAAGTGTATGGGAGCTCGATACCCAAGAGTAATGAGTTCAACACGTTATGTAAGGTGTAAAACTGATGAGAAAGTACTAGTAAGCGATTAGAATTTCATTACGCACAGCAATTATGAGATCCTGCTCCATCCTGCTGAATTGCTGAGTATAAGTGCAATGTTGTCAGTGAGTGCCAGACTCTCAGTAGGTTCTTAAGTGATTTTGAAAATGAAATTCGGTGAAAGACATCACAAGTAATATCATAAGCTGGATCTGCACTGACTTCTCAATGCAGTCAAATCACTTTCAATCAACTATACTATGCTTATTGTATGTATGAATGGTAGCTACTCATCAATTCACAGTAAAGTAGATTGAAAAATATCAGTACATAATAACGGCGCTGTCGAAAATACAGTGCAGTGTAGTAAATAATTTTGGATCAGTATCATAGGTTTTGAAGGCACAGTACATAATAATGGTGCCATCAAAAATACAGTGCGGTGTAAACAATTGGTTTTGAAGGCGCTTGAAGATCTCAATCCAATTGCCCACTAAACTATCCAAATATCATCAGTATGATCCTTTGATCCAACTTGAATGCTGATGATGTTTGGATAGTTTAGTGGGCAATTGGATTGAGATCTTCAAGCACCTTCAAAACCATACTGATCCAAAATTGTTATACCGCACTGTATTTCAATTTTGGATCAGTATGGTTTTGAAGGCACTTGAAGATCTCAATCTGATCGCCCACTAAACTATCCAAACATCATCAGCATTCAAGTTGGATCAAAGGTAATAACCTCATCCCATACATTTGATCCAACTTGAATGCTAATGATGTTTGGATAGTTTAGTGGGCGATCAGATTGAGATCTTCAAGCACCTTCAAAACCATACTGACCCCAAATTGTTTACACCACACTGTATTTTTGATGGCGCCAGTTATTATGTACTGGCATTTTTCAATCTACTTTACTGTAAATTGACAAGTAGCTACCATTCATACATCCAATAAGCATATAGTTGATTGAAATTAATTTGATGGCGCTGCATAATTGATTCATGTCACAGTGAGATCTTGATCCAATGTCCATTCTTCTGCGCAACAGATACATCAATGGTCCCTACACTATGATATGAGCCATAGCATCTGCGAGTCTTGTAGCCTCTTCATGCACCTCATCACTATATCCCTCTTCTTCCTCCTCCTCCTCCTCCTCCTCCTCCTCCTCCTCCGGCTCTGTCAATTCCTGCAATAAAAGTGTTGAATGCAGCGCACCAGTATAACCATCCAACAGACAAATTTTCTGTAAACGAGTACGGTGAATATTGTTAACACAGCGCCGTGCAGCATATTGCCTCTGCAACTCAGATGCTAGGAGGGGCGAGGCTTCATCGTTCAGTGCAACTATTGCAGAGGCCATGCTTTTCTCCTCAAACTCCATCCAAGCATGAAGTCTGCCCATCTCAACATTCAACTGTGTGATCTCTTCATGTGAGCGTAGCAGTTTAAAAAACTTAGCTGCCATCTCATGATTCTCCAGTATAGCCCATGGTTTCATAAGTAGATCATGATGTGAATGCTTCAGGAGCATGAATTCCCCTAAGGCCGCATACCCTACGACCTCAGCATACTCAAGGATTGGTTGAGGTGGGACTTGCAGAGGTGCCAGCTTGTTGTATCTGTTGAGTGCCGTACAAATTGCAGAAGATTGTTGCACAATTGCTTTTGATATGTACTTGTGCATCTTGTATCCTGACCACAGGTCATGAGTTTGAATCAAAATAGAAAAATTATTGTACCTGTGCCAGAAAGATTTGCCTTCGATAACTCAAACATCAACAAAAGAGCCTGAAACATGTATGTCAATATATGCTGCCCAAAGTATATATGTTGAATATCAGGGCTTGTATCAAAATTTAATGCCTTATATGCACCTTATATGTACCTTGTAAGCTGGTCAACAGACTTGTGTACTCATGTAAGCTTCACAAGGCCTTATATGCTTTCGGGCTCTTTTGTTGATGAACAAGCATTGAACAACTAATGCTTCTAGTTCCTCGACTACACGAATGAAGCACCATTGACCAGAGTATTCTAGTGCTTGCACATAATGAGGGTCTAACAGCATCCAGCGCTTGCTGATTCCATGACGACGCTCAAAGTCTTCGACGACATTCATTTGCAATTGAAGTCGTCGTAATGTTGAGGTCCGCTCAGCTTCTGTGGCCTTAGAATGTTCCCGTGTTGACACATTGAGGCCAGATGATGCTGTGAAGTTTGCTGGGGTGTACATAAGGAAAGGGACACTCGTAATGCTGCCATACCATGCCCTGGAATCAGGTAGCACATTAGCAAGAACACAAGTAAGTGAATTGAGAAAACAAACTCAATAGATTGGAGTTTTTTGAGTTCTTCCACATATGTAGCTGCAAACACGTCGGCTGGTGGCTCGTGGGCAAGGTTAGCGAGGAACTTTGATTCCTCATGCTTCCATTGAACGAAGTCTTCATCTGTTAATGATTGGTGTAATTTGAAGTCGTCCAGTAGTGGGGTGAAATCATTGATCATGCGAAGTGCTTGAATATAGTTATTATGCAGGAAATGACCTAGATTCTAAGTCAGAAGAAAGAGGCATTTAGACAAGAAAAACGCACTTAGCTCCAGGTACTTGTCCTCATCCCACTGGTCAAAGTGAAGGTCGAGGAATTGGACCCAATGGAAATACGATGCGTGGCAGATGAGCGAAGCAGCACTGTTGGAACTTGAGAAAATCTGTTCACAGGTCTCTAAGTCCTCAATTCCAAAGCCGTCCAGATACAATGGATGATTTTCGAGTTGACATGGGCGATTGTGAGCATACCCATGGAATGCATTGACTGCAATGATAAGGTTGTACTCATCTGCCTTAGCACCAATAGAACTAGCGGCAACTGTCTTGCGTGATGAACAGCCGATGTCATGGCCAAGAGCTTGGTTTTTCCCACAGACATCAAGCATCTGATTGATTGCAGCAAGGCCATACTTCGCACTGACGTGATGTTTTGTTAAATTAAAAAATGACCTGAATACACAATTACTTACAGCTCACCACTGCGCTTCATCTCAATGATACATTCCACAAAACCATGGCGACAGGACATGAGAAATATACTGGTTTGCTCGAACACAGAGATCTTGTCCTCTTCATGAGTCTTTGCAGCAGTCCAGTTTTCTGTGCAGCTGGGATTTGGGTTAGTGCCTTGTTCACCGGGGCGATTCTCAACATCATCCCTGAATTGCTCAACCACATCATTGGGAATGAAATAATTGCTCCGAAAAATTTGGAGATCTGTTGAGCCAGAGCCATCAATGCACTTCGCGGAGTGATTCCCATCCATGCTATGTAATCGCCGTGGGACAAGCTTGGGTTCATTTGGTTGCTGAGAATGATTAGCATGTGAAAGACTGTTGTAAGGGATACATACCTTGAATGCACAGCATGGACATACTCCATTCATGTGCCAGTCTGCTGGATTCCTATGAAGCCTGTTGTTGATGCATTGTTGAATAGAACACTGAATTTGAATATAGATGTCAAACATGATAGTAAACTGACTCCGAAATGTAGGGCTATATGTTACCTACAGGCAGTTGTAAATGACATAAAAAATCAGGTAATTAGCTTACATTGTGAAGTGTACACAAAACTCTGGTGATGGACTGGATGCTGAATGAGGACTGGCGCTGGTGAATTTGATGGTAGAGCTCTAAACACTCAAGGTGTATTGCAACTGTTGGTTGGATGGGTGAACAACCAAGGAGACTGTGGCGCAGGAGCGCAGCATTCCCCAGTTCATCAACCCATTGGTGAATCATTACATTATTTAAAAGGTCTACTCACAATTTGTCAGTAAGTAAAATTACAAAGAGACTGATTCATACCCATGATACCAACACTGCGGACACTGAATGAATGCTTAGAATGATGGTCGAGATCTTGTGAGTCTGGCCCATACTTCCAGTGTAGATAGGCATCAGTGAGGGCAGGCATCTGCTCCGTCCACGCAATGTGGGCGTGGAGATTGCGCTGTGTTCGTGTTCGTTTGTCATGTCGTTGGCGGTTGGTAGCCCCCCTGGTTACAAAGGCAATAAGAGAGTGCATAAAAACATTTGTTCAGACATACCTTTGTGCAGAGCAAGTGTGATAAAATTCAGAGAACAGCGGCCCACTCATAGTATCCTCTTCAGTTGCCTCAGCATCCATGCTGTTGTCCTCAGAACCAAAGGAAGCAAAGTCATACTGTGTGCTGTCATGGTGGTCTGGTCCAGCCTCAATCTGGGCCTCAGCTAAGAGAGCACGTGCTCGTTGTGTATTTTCTGGAGTGCTATGAGGATAAAAACGAAGGAAAGAAAATAAAATCGACTCATGTCTTATGGATTCTGCTCGCCGTCGCTCCTCATCCAGTCGCTCATGTCAGATTCGAGTCAAGGAAGCAGTAGTTGTGTGAATGGAATGTGAGTTTTTGATGACTGACATCCTCACTCTGGAGGACGTCGACATTCGTTTGTTAGAGCGTCGTCCCATACTACTTCTGCAAGGCGGTGAGTGTCAAACAAAGGACTCAGGGCATGTTTGCTTACGTGTTCAGCTCCCTCCACTCATCAATCAGCTCGCCAACAGTTGTTGTCCAGACAGATGCTTTCATCAGGCCAGGGTCGGCCCGTTCTACTCGCATCTGAATAAGTGGCACCTGTTGTGCAGGAGTGATGAAGGCCTAAGTGTTTGCATTAGTCATCCAAGTATGTATTTTAGCACGAAAAAAGACTTACTAGGTCGCTTTTGCTTGAGATGAAGGGAATAGAACGAGGAAACAAAAAAGAGTGCTCTAAAATAATGAAATTTGAGGTATATTTCGTGGTCATCATGTGCAACGACGAGCACAAAGGTTTGGTCGTCGTGGGAAACAAGGAGGAAGCTCGGGAAAGTAGCAGCCGTCATGTTACAGGTACCTGACATAAGCTCTTATCATATCTACTGATTATATTGTATGTTATTTAGCACAACTTCTCCAAAGTCAGTGCTGAGTGCTGCAGGAAATCGCTGAAGTACTGCAGCATAGGATTTCCCCCCTAGTTAGTAACAGACATCACATCACATGTTTCTTACTAATAAGGGACATTTATGGTGACACACAGGTGGTGTAACAGTAAGTAATGACACCACATACTGACATCGAGCACATGTAGTAGTACCCACAGCATAGGTAAATAAAGCCTACCACATCAAACCGCGAACTCTGAATCTCCATTCCTCACTCCCACCACAATGGCATTTACTATCGAAGCCAGCGTGGACCCTCAAGTTTATGTCTCAGAGAAGGAAGAGCAGAATGTGTATGTTCCTGAGAACTACCATATCCCTGATGGCACTACCCCCAATCTCGAGACATACATGTACTATGCCAAGATTCAACGTGATAAGGAGGCCCTATCTGCAAAGAATGATACTGAAGGTGGCCTTTGGAGTGGCCTGTTCTCAAGAAAATCACAACGATTGTCAGGAATCTAACAAGTGTTCGGTTGCATCAGCCAACTCTGATGGGAAGAACGTAACTCCTCCCTCAGATGAGGGGGGCAGCCGCTCTAGTCACCGCAGACGAGTACTGTGCTGCTTTGGGGGCTCTTAGAACAGCCACATGGGGAAGCAGTGTTCTATCTTATTACAACTGGTAAGCGAATTGTCAATTTTCATGGGTTCTATCTGAGTATCAGGTGCCCTGTTCCAACTCGGAGCCTTGATCGGTTCGAAAATGAGGTAACATTCAAGTCGGAACATCCGTAGCACCAACCCCCCGTACACCATCAGCTTAGTATACAAAACAAATGATTATAAAACTACCTGCTTATGACATAACATATTGATATCAGTAACATAGCTCAAAGACAAGGAATCTTCGAAGTTTGCATTGCCTGCAATTTATTGGCCAATGAGTCTCATACCCATTGCAATATGGAAGGCATCACCAATGACTACAAATGTGAATGAGCAAGCACACCGCAACATCAATTGTGAATCAACTTAACATTGCTTGCAGGAATCATGCACATGCGTGGATACCAATACAATGTCCATGCCACATCTAGCATTGACTTCCACATTATACATGGGATCAACACTTGCGATAACGAATCAACACATCTATACTGGGCGAAGCGCACTCATGAGTCAACAAAGTAGGCACAAACTGAACATTTTTAACAGTATATACTGACATTAATGATAGTTTGATCCCAGAAACAACAAATCAAATCTCATACTAATTATCAAAGCAATTACCTTCAACTGCCCTTCACTCCAGACCCACTCACCTGCAAGATCAACCAAGACCGCTTCGCACAGAGGTCAGATGCAGACAATAGAGATATGCTGCTGTCAACATACAGCACACTAACATATGCATTGACACCAGGTGCCGGTATCGTTGACTATCGTATCTCGAGACATCCGACATTGAGAAAAGAACCTGGAAGTCAGACATGAGCTTGTATTAGCATGTACAGCAGTCTAAGCAGGGTATTGGGGCATTCTTGAGTAGTGGAATAGATGGACCAATGTACGCAACTTACCAATTTGCATAACTCATCTATTTTTTCTTGGCGGAGAGCAAGAATCGAATGTGAGGATATATCAATTTGTGTAACTCGTCCATTTTTTCTTGATGGAGAGAACGAGGATTAGGTGCAAGAATATAATAATTTGCATACCTCGTCAATTTTTTCTTGGTGGAGAGAATGAGGATTGAGTGCAGGGACAACATAGATGATGAGGCAAATGGGAGGAACGATGCACGCGGGGGCTCACAGGCAAGGAGTATATAAACACAGTATTTTTAATAAAGGAGTACAAAGGAAATGGTGTAGACAGACCTGGTTCCGAACGTTGCTGGGGTCTCTCAGTGGTACTCTGCTAGTAACTGAGAGCTATTAAGCGAAAAAGCCCCTGAGTTGGAACAGGTAACACAACACCAGTTCTATCTATGACGTCCTTCACAAGATATTTTGGGTCCTTATTCTACCCTGTGGGCATTCCAACCACATATTACAGTGACCTATCTCCGTATAATATGAGGGAACGGACGTGCATAATATCCCGTATGATACGGGCCAGCAGACCATGGGCCCATGATAAAAATATCCTCGACTGTGACGGATGGGCCGGGAGGCAAATTATTCCCGATGGAGGTGGGTGGGCCCATGCAGGGAATATATAGAGTAGATGAGTGGGCCGATGTACATGAATATTAGGTAGACGGGTGGGCCGAGGTAGTTGGATATTATGCAGATGGGTGTATTAAGGTAGATGTGTATGAGATAGATGGGTAGGTACTTGTTATCACATTCATGGGTGGGCCCAGACACATATTAAATTAGACGGGTGGGCCGAGGGTGTTGTATGGGATGTTGTATTAGACGGGTGGGCCCAGACACATATTAATTAGACGGGTGGGCCGAGGATGGTATAAAATATAGATGGGTGGGCCCATGTGTATCATAATTGTAGACATGATGGAGCTGAGGTAGTTGTACATCAACCAAATCAGAGGAGGTAATAGATCAAAGTTACCAAGTTCCCAGAGCAGCAGGTGATCTCCTGACATGGCGGTGCGAAGCTTGTGTTGCCCTATGAGACGCCAAGTTCCGACCACCCAAATTTGGGTCAACCGTACCGACTTCCGAGTTCCGGGACACGGAAGTCGACAAATGAATATCTGATGACCAGCACACTTCCAATCAGGTAGTATTTCATTGAGCAATGGATAATAATACATCTTTGACAGCCAAAATTATCCCAGGCTCCCTTATCTGATCCTCTCTATCTCCACCCCCTTTAACACCAAAGTCTGGACATCCAGCATTCAGCGTCTGATTTCCCAAGATTAACATCCAGCATGAACGGTTCTTCCCCTTCCACTCCTGATAGCATAAACATCTGGCGCACTTGGGCCCTGACTGTGACTTATGAAGCAGGGGAATATACCAAACAGAAATTCAAGGCAGAGAAGACTGGAGGAGGCCCAGTCATACCTTCCCCCAACCTAGACACTGATCTGGTGATGGCATGCAATCACTTGGCTGATGTACTCATAAAGGCATATAAAAATCCCAGTGGGTCTTCTTGCAGATTTGGAAAATTTGTTTTATCATTCAAATTCCTGCATGACAGTTCAGATGCAGATGGATATTGCAAGATATAGCAAATTGATCTCCCCGAAGGACACCGGGCATAATGAACAAAGAGAGGTGAGGTTGCTTGAGAGGTGTCCTCCTGGCCATGAAGGCAAAAGGTTGGTCGACGAACCTGCCACAATTCTTGATGCATCCGGTGCCATCATCGCATGGTACCTCCCAGACGCCCTGACCGACACCACCCAGGTGTGTAATATACATTGTTACTCAATGGATATTGAATATCAAATGGAACCTACAGAAGGAAATCAGGGAGGCCACCGATTTGCTCGCTCCAAGCCTCGAAAAAAGTGTAAGGGCTGATGGCATTTGGCAAACTAATCAAAAGTGGTTCAAACAGGGCTCGGACGATGTTGGTGCAACTCCCGGATGTATCAATTTATCTCCGGCATGGTTTCAACAGGGACACGAGGTAGGATCCCATGAGATGGTGACCGGCAGTCATACTCACCAATCCCAAAGACTATGTCCGATCCGGAGGTATCTGCATCATTGAAGGGACCTTCCTGCGAGAATATCCTGAAAGCCATTGCAAGGCCAGCAGCCATCACGTCTGCGGCACTCAGGGTCATGCATCCTGAGCAGTACTGGGCAGAGTTGCGAACCTTGTCCAACCTCGGACATATAGCAGTAAGCAAGGATCTGCCACAGATGCCGGATGTTACAGGGATCTGTAACACCTGCTAGAGCCCCAGCTCTCCCTACGCCTGCCCCCGCTCTGCTAGACTCCCCGCGCAGCGGTGCGCCGCCTGCGCCTAGAAAGACAGCGGTCTGGACCGCTATGACTCTGCCTCATGGCGCTATGACCCCGCCTGATGCTATGACCCCGCCCCTGGCCTAGACAGCCTTGTGCCTGTTCCATGGAGGCTGTACGCCTCATGGACACCCTAGATCAGCGCATGTATACAGCATGTCGCTTCATGAAGATCCGGAGCGCCCTAGGCGCCTCATGTATGAAGACCCGGAGCGCTTGGCGCTTCCTGTACCTATGCGCAGCAGCCCTTGGCGCCGCATGTATGATCAGAGGCTAAGCCTCATGTACTTTATCTAACCTCATGTCTGGTTATCTTAGATGTACGATATACTATAGATTACAGACTGAGCTTGAACACCTACATACACTATGTATAAGTAGGCACATTGTTGTAGATTATACTTCACTTTAATCTACTAGGTTCTATCAAGAACTTGCTCATCTAAGCTTAACTGCTTCCTTGTGTGAGAACGCACTTCAGAGTCGCTCCCATACGCCTCTGCATGTATCCGCTAGCCCTGCATCTCGACGAGCGCCGTCTTACCGAGATCGCCGGAGGAATCCTTGACGTTCCGTCAAGGCCAGACCACGCTCAGCTTCAGTAGACTCACTCGAGTCGTCGCTGAGAAGACCTATCCTAGTTCGCACACGCCGACCTACAGTCAACGTAACACCGGAGGCCCTGCAGTACTGGGCATCCGTGTTTAACACCCTCTCTATCATTTCCAATCGGGAAACCCCCAATCATCGAGACCATTTGTCTATTGCTGAATGCTTCGACATTCTCACCACTGTGGGGAACTATTCTGATGCTCGGATGACAATGCCAAGCCTTCAGCTGGAGTTCAAGTACAATTCCGGCTGTATGATTGCGTTTTCCGGAAGGATTGTGAGACATGGAGTTTATGATGTGGAAGGGGATTGGATTGCTTGGGCATGGTATATGAGGGATTCTGTTCACATTTATGCTGGTGTTCCATCATGTGGATGGGCTAGTGTGGATGGTCCATACAGCGTGTGAAAGATCAAACAAAGAGCAAGCATTGTGACCTATATACATTCCAACAAATGAATACCATGTACCAATAGTTATCCGGACCTCAATACTCAATTTTGAGCATTTGTGAAGTGATATATGGGACTGAATAATTTGGATGCCAGCCTCGGTATTTGATAATTGGAACTCGGGACTTGACATATGGGAGTCCCGAGTGCCGGGGTACTGAGTCCCGAAACCTGGAACTCCTCACTTGATATTTGAGACTGGGAGAAGATGTATAAATATGCTCGAATTAACATTTGTAATTGCCGTACACATTTGACAGAACCCTGAACCACGACATTGTAGACTCGGGACTCGACACTGTTCTGAATACTGAGTCCCAGAAGCCCAGGTCCCGAGTCCCGAATTTTGGAGTTCGGGGTTCGGTGACCTGGAGCTCGGCAACTGTGTTGGGTGTCAGGGTATCGGGAGCATTGGAAATCACATTTGTAAGTATTTTGCGTTTCATGGTTCATGTTTGGTGATTATGGAATCGGGCGTCAGGGACTCGGTATTCAGAACAGTGTGGAGTCCCAGGTCACAAGCTCTGAGTCCCGAGTCCCGAAACCCAGGTCCCGAGTCCCGAATTTCGGAGTTCAGTACCTGGACTCTTCTATCGCCGCCCATTAGAAGTCATCAAAACGGCTCTTCGTGAAGCTTCAGCTGAACAGTTTCATCTCACGCCATTTGAAACCTCCTTCCAAGCATTGCCCAATGAACCTGTGGAGTGTGTATACTCAGAACTGTACATGTCCCCAGCCATGATCAACGAGCATTGCAAGATTGCATCTACACCTAAAGTTGATGGCTGTACCCTCGAGACGGTAGTCGCCTCGATTATGCTATGGTCGGATTCAACACACCTCGCTAGTTTTGGCACTGCATTGTTGTGGCCCATATATATGTATTTTGGGAATCAGTCAAAATATGTTCGGGGCAAGCCATCGTGCTTTGCTGTGCACCATCTTGCCTATATTCCTAAAGTGAGTTTATTGTGAGATGCCGTGCATTTCCCACTGATAACCTTTTAATAGCTTACAGATACGATTCAGGATTTTTATCAGCAAGCATTTGACAAACCTGCAACTGCTGAGGTACTGATGCACTGCCGACATGAGGTTATGCAAGCCATCTGGCTACTCCTCATGGACGATGACTTCATGCATGCATACGAGTTTGGAATTGTCATTGAATTTCTCGATGGTATCTGTTGGCGAGTCTTTCCCCGGTTTTTTACTTATTCTGCAGACTACCCCGAAAAGTGAGTCACAGAATCTTCACCAGCTCGAATTTCATATTGACTTCACACACTCTGCAGAACACTTCTGGCCTGTATCAAGTTTCTGGTGAAATGTCCTTGCCCTCGATGTTTAGTTCCAAAGGACAAGATCAGAGCTCTTGGCACTCACACTGATAGGCACCGTCGCAATCGAGATGCACGCCAAGATAGTCATGGCCTACGATCAACAATCAAGAGGGTTCGTAACTGGCTGTACGTGAAGGGTACCAACATTACTAGTATTTTTGTCAAGCGTCTACTTGGCCCAGAATCTCTTATTGCTACTGTGGTTTGTCATTCTCACACAATTGCATTATGATCACCAGTAACAGATTAATAGAGTGCATTTTCGACTCGACTTGCTCAATTTGGATTCAATTTTTATTCACTTTTCGTACCTGACCTACTCCATGAGTTCGAGCTCGGAGTCTGGAAGGCCATCTTCACTCATCTTCTTCGGATTTTGTACTCATATGGGAACGATACAATTCAGGATTTAAATGAACGGTTTGCTTATTTTCTATCTTACACCATCCTCATATTAAGACTGAATTTACAGGTATCGACAAGTACCAACGTTTGGATGGGGTACAATATGTCGATTCAGTAACAATGCCTCAGGTATGAAGTGTCTCACAGCGAGGGACTTTGAAGACTTGCTGCAGGTAACCATCGTGCAATGTGGAGTTACCGCTTGGAGCTAACATTGACAAAACAGTGTGCTATACCTGTTTTTGAGTTGCTGCTTCCATCTCGGTGGAATGAACCTTTGCTAGATCTGCTATTTGAACTTGCAACATGGCAAGGCCTTGCAAAACTGCGAATGCATACTGACACGACACTTGGCTTTCTCGACACATCCACGACACGTCTTGGAAGGTTTCTCAGGCACTTTGTCAAGGAGACTGAGGAAGAGTTCGAGACACAAGATCTACCAAGCGAGGAGGCTGCTCGTGGACGCCAAAAGGCTCGACAGGCAGCAAAACAAGGGCCTTCACAGTCTGCAGCACCGACTTCAAGGCGAGGTACAGATGGGCCGAAGATCCGACACTTCAACTTTGAGACATACAAGCTCCATGCCCTCAGTGACTATGTAGATGCTATTTGTCAGTTTGGAACAACAGACAACTTTACAACTCAACCAGTGTGCTCTAGAAGCGATTTTGGTTTATTTTGCCACTGAATCAATATATTCCAGGGCAAGCTTGAACATCGTCGTGTCAAACGATTCTATCCGCGAGTCAGCAAAGCAAAGTTCACATCTGGAATTGCGAAACAGGAACATCGTTAACGGATTCTGTTCAAAATGGCTCAGGCAGAGCACAACAATTCAAAATCGGAGAAAGGCAAGTCTACAACAGTCCATAGACCTGGTCATACAACGACGGCAGGTGAAGATGCACCCTTTCACATACCCTTTGAAGCATCGGAGCCTTTGGCTTACTCAGACCCAATGTCACACTACCACATCTCCAATGGCACGAGGTACCACTTGAATCTCCCCCGATGGCTCATCAAACATGCAAACGATCCTGCGTTAAATGTAAGCTGTCAGTTTCTTTGAGTTAGCAGTGCTCATGATTATAATTCCTAAAGGACTTCCTTCCTTGGCTGAAAGATCACCTCCTTTCTTGCATACTTGGTCATGAATACGATGGTGACGAGACAGAGTTCTCTTCAGCCGAGTGTGCCCAAGTCCTGTTCGTCAATGACCGCATATTCCAGCACAAGGTCATTCGTGTCAATTACACGACATATGATCTGCGTCTCTCTCAAGATTCTCTTAATCCCCACACGCATGCAGATGTATCAGACATGAAGATGATGACACACATCCATACTGGTATGCACGTATCCTGGGCGTGTTTCACGCAAACATCATCCATAGAGGTGGGGATGCACCCTCATTTGAACCCCGGCAGATGGATTTCTTGTGGGTTCGGTGGTTTGGTCGTGATCCTAATAATTATTGGTCTGGATGGAAGGCAAAGCGTCTTCATAGGCTTGGGTTCATTCCTGCTGATGTACCAGGAGCATTTGGCTTTCTTGATCCACAGCAGATTATTCGAGGCATTCACTTGATACCTGCATTTGCCCATGGTCGCACTAGTCTATTACTGCCACCCTCAATTGCTCGTCCGCTACACGACAAAGACAAAGACTGGAAATTTTTCTATGTTAATATGTATGCTATTTTTGTACTCCTGACATCTGTCAGTGACTGTCACTGACCTTCGTGATTCAGATTCGTCGACAGAGACATGATGATGAGGTTCCACGGTGGTGGGGTTGGCCACAAGTCTACTCGCGAGTCGACTCAGAAATCACTCGAGATGACAGCGAGGAAGACTTTGAAGACTTGGAAAGTGGCATCAATCAGGGGGCACAGCTCAGTGCCGGGTCTGCTAGTACTACTGCACAAAATCAAGCTACTGGCGATGAAGACGAAGATGATATCGAGTCCGAGATGGATGAGTATGGGTATGGGGGCCTTGACGAGGAAGAAGAGGTGACCGACGAAGAAGATGAAGAACAAGGGGATGGTCTTGAGGAGGCTAATGACGAGGTCGGACCGGAGGATGGTGAAGACGATGCTATGGATGAGTACGAAGGGTATGCAGAGCTCTAGCAACTGATTGTCATGTACAACACTGAAATTCAAGTGAGAGTCGACGAACATGATTTTAGACTTGGCCTTGCGGCAGTAATGAATGTAAACCCACGAAAGTCTTTTAATTATCATACAGGTAACCATCAGCCTGTTGCCGGCCATGCAAGTCACCACCAGTCTGCCCACATCCATGCAAGTCTCCATAACACTGGCTTGATATTACAAGAAATTCACCTGTCTGCTACACTCATACAATATCGCTGCAAGGCCATATAATATGGTAAACAGACGTGCGTGGTAATGTAAGCTTCACAAGACCATATATGATCATATACGCTATGTGTTGTTTTGTTGATGGCTACCTTGAAATCTACGGAAAGCCGGACGCGCGCGCTCCGTTACACGATGTGACATGCACCAAATGAGGTAGTCACACGATTGGGACACCGGACACCTCACACACAAGAAAATTATATATATCCCTGACACTGAGTAGTCACATGATACAAGCCACATGGCACTTTTTCCTTGAGTGCTGACATCACTCAAGGAAAAAGTGCCACATTTTCTTGGTCATGTGACAGCATAGGGCCTGCCAGTGATGTTTTTCAAGTGCCATTACAATATTATATCGAGTACATGTCGCACATCAATGTAATTATCTAACACTTTGAATGCAAGAAAATAGTATAGTACCATGTATCAGTCCAACGAGCATCAATCTAATTTTCTACAACTACTTCATCGTCATTCGCAGCTGCTTCATCGTCGTTCGCTTCCTTCACAAATATCTCCAGCCCAAACCATTCACAGTACTCGTTGCAGGCATGCTGGTCTTCGAATTTGCTGACAGATGCCTCGATATTTCCCTCACCAAAAATATCACATCCATTGCTGACCGACCTATCCCAACATCGGTATTGAGTCTGAACAAATGAAAAAGACATATGGATGAGTCAGGATCTGAGGATCTGTGAGTAGTACTGTACTACCTGAATACATTGGGTCATTCAGCGCTGAGGATTGAATGTATTGAAAATCAGACATACCCTGATAGTCGGACATGAAAGCTAGCTTGCCAGTCTTGACATACTGGACATGCTGCGTGAAAACAAAGAATTCGGCCATGTCATAGCCATAGTCCAATTCATCGAGCAATGGATTGGCATCCATATTGTGGATGAATTTGACAAACATATCATCACCACCCTCAATGAGCTCTTCAAGGAGAAAGACAGCCTGTGTTGACCCTGTCTTCGCTCCAGGCTTGCTACCACCTTGGTTGTGGCACAATGCAAGGCCAGCTTCTACAAATCAAACATGTGGGACAGCAAATGGCGGGGGTTCAGGTGAGGACGCAATGGAATGATCAATAAAGTCGTATGTGAGCTTTAATAAAGACTTGGACCAGTATAAGATGTTGGCCTCTCTGAATAGCTTCTGTAGCTCGTCGACAAGTGAATACCGGCTGACTTTATAAGCTCCAACCTTCATAGCAGTCAGAAATACTTTTTCGAATGGCCGTTTGACCACGACCTTATGACGAGCCACTGATCCAAGACCAGTCTTGGGAGGAGCTGTGAGTGTGAGCCATCCAGCGTTCACAGTCTTGAAGCCACCAATTCCAATGAAGCCATCTGTCGATGTATCAATAGTCAGCTGTCCAATGGAAGATTCAGCTGTGTCCACCGAAAATGAATGATGCTGTTTGTGTAGCAAGAGGTTGGTGATATCGCGGGTAGGGATTGGGTGGAATTGCACACTTTCGCTATGTAGTCCAAAGACTATAAAATACTAGTAAGCGCTGATGCAATTTGAGAAATTGATGAACGAGCATACCTTGCTTTACATTTAAGTTGGCACCTCCGCCGATCTTCAAGACTTCTTTGAGCAGATCACGATCAGGTGAATGAAAAGCTGCGGGAGGTGGATTCTTCTTTCGAGGTGGAGATGAAGTACCACTGAGACTGCTAGAGCTTTCAGCACGCTGGTGGGCTCTCTTGGTAGAGACCGTCACAGAATTGTTGGTGGTCATGGATGGTAAGAAAAGCTTGTTTTCAGCGAGTGAAGTTGTTGCTGATGAGGGCACATTGAAACCGACAGCTGTGTGAGCAGTAGCACGTTCGCTAGACTGAGTGCAGCTCGTTCGGATAGCTTCAGCTTCCTGGACCGCAAAACTAAGGTTAGGGCACTAGTAAATAGACAACATAAAAAATATGTACCATTTCTGCACGAAGTTCCAACCAATTCTTGTATTCATTCCACTGAGCCTCTGGGACAATGACCATCAGCGCAAATTGTTTAGATTTGAAGGTCGATTTGGTGCCTTTGCGAGATGGCTGCAGGCATTGATCATAGAAATAGGGAACCGATTGCGGGTCATTGGATAGGTCCACCCATGCAGCATCTCGGATTACGAACTCCTCAACACGCCAGACAAATTCTCCATTGAATTTGCGTAACTTTGGGATGACAGTCTCCAAAGCTAGCTTGATGAGCCCAGACGCGTCAATTCGAGCATCAACGTCCTTCTTACCCTCACATATGTTCTAGTAAGCTGAAGTGTAAGTAAGTCACAGCACGTTTTAAGATGTAAACATACTCCAATAACAACACCTCATTTTTTGCGTGCTCCGGCACCTTCGTGAACCACAGTAATTTCAAGCAAAATGGTCTCTGCTAGAGACGAAGCATATGCCATTTTCCCCCAGCAGTCACGCTCAGCAGCATAAAGTGTGTGTTGCGATGAATACCCAATGGCACCTTGTTGTGACGAATGCTGGATGGACGATGAACCTTGCCACGATGTAGGGATTCTAATATCTGGCCCTCTAGCACGAGAACCACCAGGTATGGCAACGACAGGAGGCGGATTAGGTGTCGCTGTGATAAATAAGATCATAAACCTCCACAGTAACACACATCTTGACTTACATCTTCGTTGTGCCGCATTCACCAATTGTTGTATTGTACGTGGATCAGGAGGGGCGCGGCCTTGTGATTGTAAGGTTCGACTACCTGAGTCAGTAGTCTGTAAGCCAGCAACTCGTCAATTAGATGGTGATCGCATACCTGTAGGTCTCACTGAAGTAGCTCGTTTATTCTCGTAATGCAAGTGGCAGGATTCACACACATAGCGCCCACGTTGACCTGGCTCGATGGTCGCAACATAAAAACATGGCTCTCCAGTCCTAATGTTGGCCATGCAAGACGGACGGTCGCAAATTCGATCTTCTTTGGCATAGGCATCCTCAGTGTACTGGGTGAGAAGTTCATAGTCTGACATGGCGCTCTGAAGGTAGCCTGCCAAGTGCATGCTAGACAGCTTAAATATCTCATGACCCAGAGATTTATGATGTGGTGCATTGGGTGGTGACGAGCACTTGAGGAAAGTCTGTATCATCATGAGGAACTGGCGCCTCCAGAGACACTAAGGAGAAGTTTGAAAGAGTTAGATAGAGAATCATGAATCATATGCAACCGGCACCTCAAAAGACACTATGGAACAATCTGAAAGAGTTGAATCTGAAATGCACAGCCCAAGAATGCTTTGGACCGCAGACAACATTTCTTAGTTCAATTAGTGGTAGTTGCAAGCCCTGACTCACTGAGAATCGGAACATTTGGAACATCCAGCCCAAGTAGTTACTGAACTTGACTTAGGAAGATGTGAGGCATGAGGAGGGCATTAGTGGGACGAGCGGGGCATGAGTGGCACAAGGCCAGGCATGAATTCCACGAATTCCCATGTTGCCACAGCACGAACTTCTTCGAGTCAGGGGCCACTGAACTAGGTAAGTCCAAAGGAAATCACCATTAATATAAAGTGTGACCCTGCAAGCCTCAGAGTGAGCACGTTGCAATGCCCAACCAGAACAAACCTACACGTATGTACCTTTCAAGTCACTCCCACTAGGCATCTGAACACTCTAAGCAGCCCCGCTGGATGAAATCACACCTCATATCCTTCGCCTCTGGAAGGCCCGCCAGACCAATCGGCAGATTGTCCAGGAATTGCAAAAATGCATCGACACGACTCGCTATGGTATCGGGTGAGTAGTGTTTAAATCTAGTTATTTAGGTGTTAAATAATTATCCACTAGGCTTACCACGCTTTTGAAGGTTCGAAAGACGATGGGTCTTCAATGTACCCGTCAACAGCGTCACACAGTCAAAACCATTCGTGATGCGATGCTCGATTTACGTGCTACATATCCAAATGCTGGTGCGCGTGAAATGGTGAGTTTACTATACCATGAACGGGAAATGAGTGTTGCTAGGTGAGTTATCTTTACATTGTGAGGACCGGTTTTACTGACCTATGAGTTTTGCATCCTAGGAGGGTTGTGACAGAGTACTTTGCTTTGTACGAACCAGAACTTGTTCATCAGCGCAAGGCTTGTCACCTTCGAAGGAGACACTTCTGGGCAGCTGGCATGAATGATCTATTTGCAGTCGATCAGCATGACAAGTGGCTCAGATTTGGTCTTGGGCTGCATACCGGCATTGAGCCTTTCTCTGGTTGTATAATGTGGATTCGGGTCTGGCATTCCAACCAAAATCCGCAGCTCATTCTGAGTTACTACCTTAACACAATTGAGGCTCTCGGTCGTAAGTGTTTCACATTTTAAAGCACAAACATACTAAGTTCGACTTAAATTTTAGATATGCCAATGGTCACTCAAAGTGACCCGGGGTCCGAAAACTATGGGATTGCAAACGCGCATACCATGCTGCGACAGTATCACGACAAAGCTTTACATGGTACGCTCCAGCATTGTTGGATGCGAACAAAGAAGAATGTTATGCCAGAGATCGCATGGTCTCAACTGCGCCGGTGGTTCACACCTGGATTTGAGAATCTTCTTGATCATGGTGTCAATTCTGGTTGGTATGATTCGAATAATACCCTTCAAGTGTGCATCATTTTTCTCCTGTTCGAGTGTTAGTTGTAATATTTGTTTGCAGGATGGTTTTCCATTGGGTTTTCATACCATGGCTTCAGCAGGAGCTCGATGCATATCAGGATCGTATTAACAATACTGCCAAGCGGCGTGACCACAACAAGTACGTGCCTGTGGTTTTACTCTCAATAAGTATGGTTTTACATTGATGCGCCATCCAGATTCTTCCTCATGGAGTACCCAATCTTATCTACCATTCAGCTGAAGATTTTGGAGCATTGGATTTCAAGGTACGTGCTACATCAACTTGGTTGTTGTCAATAGTACTCTAATATTGGTACTATCATAGATTCAAATCGAACCCAAGGCCCTAGACTTTGTCCGAAGTCTCTACATCAAGCCCTCTCATTGCGTGTTTGACCTGGTCCCAGAGGGTTTCGGCAAATGCATCCAGCATTGCTACAATGATCTCGGTCACCCAGTTATCACACGGCAATCAGTCTGGGACACGTATCGGCTTCTGCTAGATGCCCTCCAGCTCGCTGATGAGTTACCAGGCGAAATTCAGCTGCAGGATGATGAAGATGAAGATTTTGTTCCACTTTTAGATGACCATCAAGACTTACCTTCTCGTGAGGATCCCAATGGTGCCTATTATATGGGTGGTGTGGGTGGAGGACTTGGCCTTGGTTTGTCATCTCTGATCCTGACAGTCTAAATGCTGATGTATTTGCTAGACACTGAACACTGTCATCAACTAGATGTTCTTTCACACAGTGATGAGCTGGATATCACAACAGGGATTGATGAAAGCTTGGTCGGTCTTGATCATGCTGGTTTGGTGGTTTGGGAGTTCTCGGATTGCGAAAGTGACGATGAAATGGTAGATGGATGGTGATTTTTCTTCGTCGTGTATATATCTAGTTACCTACACCTCTTGTTCTTGGACAATTTAAACTTGGAGTACACAGGGTCCTACTGCCTGTTATGGATGTGTGACGCTTAATAATGAGCACGCGCGTCCGGCTTTCCATAGAAATCTTATATCATACTGTGTACGTTTGGAAGGCTAAGCAATCGGTGTTGTGCTAATCGACCATCTGTCATAATCAGCCTGAACATACTGATTATGTCTCCTCAGTACATGCACTGTCTTCGCTTCTGCTGACCAATGGCATACAGCGGGTGTTCCGACCATCTCGCTGACAGATACAGCGAGTCTTCTGTATAGATGCCTGCTATTCCTCTCCGATTCATCATGGTGCCCTGTAGGAATGCATGTAGTTCTTTGCTAACTTGTTGGTTCACTAATAACTGTCACGCTATAGCCTATAATGCCACAGATGTGGGTCTTTGGTGTGTGCTACCCAAGGCCGATCACTGACCGGATTCGTCAGGCTGGATCGTATGGAATTGGACCGGTGTTCTACTATTTGTGATTCTGTCGGGTGAGTAGGCTTGGCACTCGTGAGACCTCAGTGATATCGACTTGACTGACACATGCTGCAAGTCATCATCATCACCCGGTTGCATGCCATGTATCAGCGATCCAGCAAGATCCTGATATTTCTCATTGCCACCTTCCTGGCTATCAACACCTTCGATGGAGTATCTACCGTGATTGCAACGATGCATAGTATGCTTGATTGTGGATAAAAGCAAACGTGCATGAGGCCCACTGATGAATACCAGAGGAATTCCTTCTCTCTGACAGCTATCCGTGTTCAACTGACTCTGCAAAAGATAACCAACCTCTGGTTTCCACTGTGTCTCGCAATCTGAATTGCAGTAAAACACTTCCGTGAATTGTGACAACATTCGGCAGAAGGAATCATCGGGGACTGTTTCATGATGTTGATGAAAACTTACGTGGTTTACTCTGCGAGGTAAGTTCGTATTGTGCTTATGGTTCCTTTTTTTTCTACTGAAGGGTCGGACGTGGTAGCGTTCTTGCTATTTCTTGCTTCCAGCTCATTGTTAATTTCTCTCCAACACTCATAGCGGTACGTCAATCTTTCACTGACCTCTACATGCGACCATGATTCATCATTTCTATAGGACTTAAATTCTCTAGAAGTTCTGACTTTTTTTTGGCTTGGTTCGCATTTTGGAGGTCGTGCAGATGTGTGTGCCAGCCTTTGAGTGGCAAAGGAATCTGTTTGCGTTTCACTGTCCAACAGGAGCAGTAAGGATGAGAATAAAACGTGATTCGTGGAATACAGTGGTTCTTGAGCAGTTGAACTTTGGCGAATCGACGATGTAGAGCGGCGTACTCGTGGTAGTCCGAGTCGCCAGCTAGTGTTTATAATGTTATCGTTAAATTCGTCGCAAGATAGGTTTTGTGACAATATTTAGTCATAAATATTGGCATCTGCAATGCAATTCCATGCCTCCTACACTAGATCATAATGTACAGGGTCATTCGCGATAACATTATTGGGAACTTTCCCATACACTAGGATCACGGGGAAGCAATAGAGCAGTACCTACAGCGAGAAATGCAATTGCGATCATGAAGTAGTATATCGACCATGCATCATGCCCTTCCTGCAATGAATAAGAGAAGACTGAAGCTGCAGATGCCGGGCCGAGGATCCTTGCTACTGCGACAGCTACCATGACGATTCCATTGGTTGCTCCGAGCGAGGCGCGATTGGGAGCAGCTGCTCTGGTGAATAATACCATGCAGGCTACGAGTTCTTCTTAGTTCAACAGAACGCAGGAAGTGCTGGATTAACATACGGAAGCACATGATCAGGCTAGTCTTCAGCGTAAGCTGGACGACAACACGCAGCCACACCGCCATGCCTATTCCATAGGCTTGAGCCAGAGCATTCGTCACTGGGAATAAAATGATCATGGGTATGCCGGAGTTAACACCGGTGATATGCATAGCTCTTGCACCGAAGCGATCATGTAAATGAGCATAGAAAAGTAGCTGAAATATTCCATGTATGATACCTGATGCCGCAAGTAAAGCACCGATGCGAGGAGGGTCAAGGGAAAGACCACCAAGTTCAATCGGTGTCGCATAGAAAACAGATAAGACCAGATTGAACCCCATTTGAAACAGGCCTGTGGTGGCATAACAAGCTGTCACACTCAACACCTTCGAGGTTAGCAAGGCGCGCAGCGGAAGCGGCTTTGATTGGACTTCTCCAGGACTCCCATCCCCAGGATCAACTAACGATGGCTGGGGAGGCTTCGAGTATGATTGTCCGAAGAATCTTCCTTTAATTAGCTCCCAGAGCGGTGTTTTGCCAGTCGTAGAGACGCTCTTGTAACCACACTTAGTGTGATCCAAAGATGGGTTTTCAGGCGCTCACCTCTCTAAGACGGATATACGCGACTAGCCAAATTATCGATATAAAAAATGCTGAGATAGAGCATGGCAGGAGATATGGGTAGGTTTTCAGGAGTTCTGATCGTCCGAAGATATCACGGAATTTGTTTGCTGGTCGGGAGAGAAATCCCCCAATGAGTGGTCTAGTAGATGCCGTGAACCTCAGTGCGAGATAAAATGTACTGTATGCCTACCCAGTTGTGATTCCGATCATCAAAGGAATTGGTATATAACTGTATGCCTTGGGCGGGCATATTGGTTGCGTCAGTGATGTCCATCAGCATGCTCTTGACCATACTATCACTCGTATGAAATGCTCCATAGACAATACGACTGTGGTCAAGTAATTAACGATCACAACTACTATTTGATATTTAACTGAGCACACTGACCTTACCAGCAGACCAAGGAATGTCTTCGACAGCCCAAACGAAAACATCGAAATAACGATTGCTAAAAGAGCTGTCAGTACAACAGGCTTCCTCCCGATGTGGTCGGACAGTTGGCTCCAATGAAAAATTGAGCTGCATAGTACGATGATTGCTGGAGAGTATCATGAACGAAGGAAAGGGCAAAACGATGAAGACATGCTTACAAGGATGCCGGTGTAGTGTCCAACCTGGGATTCGTCTCCGTGAGTGACTCTGATGTCTCTGATGAGCTTGAAAAAGTTTCAGTTGGGATCAGATATAAGTTCAGCGAAGGGAATATATTCACTTGGGGAATAAATGGCGCAAGGGTCCCAGAAGAAAGAAAATTTGGCATCTCCAAGAGCAGTAGAATCCAAAATTGACCCAGGGAAGAGGTGTCTCCTCGTCATTCTGCGGCGCAATCATGGTGGTGCGAGGGAATGACTCGGATGAAAGATGGAGGGCATCTTAGCGCATCTAAGAATTTGAATTTCCGGGTCCGTCCGTCCGTCCGTTCGTCCGTCCGGGTCTGTCCGGATATGCAACATTGATACGAGCAGGTGACGCTTCTTCTCCATTTCGATCTCCGCATTTTCCTTTCGCAGCTTCTGAAGCTTAAGTTCTGCGATAGCGTCGTTTGCATTCCAAATGCTACACCTTATGTGCTCGAATCCAAAAAGAGATTCTGGAAGATGGATGGGTTTGTGCCGATTTCTGTGGAATCAGAAGACTCTGTCGGCGTCTCTGTCATCCGTTCACGCTCCCTCGTCTAAGTCTACTTAAAAAAAATAACTTCTACTTTTGTCCCGCTTTGCATCATCTCGCTATGATGCGAAAAGTTGGATATATATAAGTGAGTAAAAGTTAAACTCGAGATTTCCTGATGCTACTCAGCAATGGGAGAAGGCGATATGGACACAGATAGAACACACGCTACCGTGCATGGTGCGCGCGTTTCATATAAATCGTTACTGATGTGGCCAATGCGGCTTTTTTATATAGTCCAATTCTGCCATTCGCACTGTCTGCCACTGTCGCAATGCTTCAACGTGAAATAAGCACTACGTCACAGGGCATCCCGCTCTTTCAAAGCCCATTTGATGAAATTGCACGGTGGCTCGACAACCTGTTTACATCACATCCAGATTTATCTATGGTAAGTATCTCGTCCCGTCCCTTCCCAATTTTAGTTCGCGAAGCAAGCCCATAGAAAACCGGCTCTGTACGATCTGCATATTATCCAGCTACGCCACGCAAAAAAACAAGATCTACCACGTCGGTAAGTTGTGTAGATAGATCCAGGACGCAAACCACTCATACTCACACACTTCCATGGGGTATCCGAGTAGAAGTAATAGCACGGTGCGCATTGGCTAGTATGTGTGCAAAAAACAGGACAGTGCTCATTGGCAGATATTGATGCGGTCAAAGCAACAACAGTGGCGAGGACAAAGGCGAGACGCATTTTTTATGAGGACGTGGTATGGGATAAAATCGATCTGAAGGAGAGAGTAGGAAGACGCCTTGCTTTTATGCGCTGAGTATTGATCTTCATGACATAATCTTATCTACCTGAAATTTCATTTCGAACATGTGACGTCTGCAATGCCAGCAGATCGCCACCTATGATCTACCCTAGTAAGGAGCAAGGTCTGTTGGCAATCTTGCATAGAACGAGACACCACCTTGCAAAGCAAGTCCAATAATGCCAGCTCGCAAGGACTGATCAGTTTGTTTCTTGGATGACGAAGCTGATAAAGATGCAGGTTCAGAATTAGGGGACAAGTGCACGAAGGACTTGAAGGAGGATGAAGATGACGGTGATAGCCATAGCGAGGTTGATCATGAGACGGAGAAGGTGCTACAGAATTCTGACGGCTAGTACAGAGAGTATTAAAACACATCATGACAGTCCTATTTTCTTAGCACAATATCACCCCTCGTCGACGATATATGATATTGTACAGTAGCAATTCATGATCAGTATCAGCACAGACTCATCACCAGTCTTACTGTGAAGATGTTGATTAAGTACTTAGTAGCGTCTAACGAAGTCGCGTGGAAGGCGTTTGAAATCTGCCACATGTCAGTCGCGTTGCTTTGGATAATCGTACAGCGGTCTACAACACAACGTTCTTCGTTTACATCGTGCAAAGTCCTCATCGGAAATCACCCAGTTCCTTTTTGTTCCTTAGGTTACTTACATAAATGGGTACCGGCGACTACTACGCGCCAAAAATACCGAGTCCCTTTTAGGGACATTAATCAGGCGTTCATCGCGCGCCCAGTGAAAAGTCCTTCGAGCTGGAGCGACGGCTACGGCAGTAGTAGTGGGTTTTGTTGTATCATCGTCGAAAAAACCTCATCTTTCAATTTTTGGCAGGCTGTCTCGCCTGCGCGAATCGTTCTGATCTGTTAGTCTTTGGCACCCAATTTGCCACTCACCTCGCCCAACTCCATTAGACACCTTCTTCTTTTTAGGCGAGAACCGCTCTTTGATCACATCTGCACCAAGCAATAGTGAGGCACGCAAGACTACTGACCACTACCATTCTTACCTGCAGTGAATCTCACATCCGTGTCTACTAAAAGGCCATTAACAAACCGCTATGTATCACACGAGGCAGGAGCGACATACTCTCAGCGAGAACTCAGGCACGGTGTCAGTTATCACATGAAACAGGTGGCGGTCAAGGGATGCGATCAAGAAACGGGTTACGGTACTAGTGCCCTAGGGTATATATGCGTAGGCTAGGGACTCGGGGATGACATGATGAACTACTAGGAGGTTAAATCCACCGACGCTTCTTGAGGCTCCTGTTCATTTCGATCTCCGCATTTTCCTTTCGCACCTCAATGGCTTCTGCGTGCTCTTGTAATGTCGTCGCTGGCATTCAAAATGCTACACCTTATGTGCTCGAATCCAAAAAGAGATTCTGGATGGGTTTGTGCCGATTTCTGAGACTCTGTCGGCGTCTCTGTCGTCTGTTCACGCTCCCTCGTTTAAGTATATAGAGCGATCTACTTAAAAAAAAAGTTGGTAACTTCTACTTTTTTCCCGCTTTACATCATCTCGCTACCATTTGATGCGAAAAGTTGGATAAAAGTGAGTAAAAGTTAAACTCGAGATTTCCTGATGACTGCTCAGCAATGGGAGAAGGCGATACGGACACAGATAGAAACACACGCTACCGTGCATGGTGCGCGCGTTTCATATGAATTGTTACTGATGTAGCTAATGCGGCTTTTTTATATAGTCCAATTCTGCCATTCGCACTGTCTGCCACTGTGTCGCAATGCTTCAACGTGAAATAAGCACTACGTCACAGGGCATCCCGCTCATTCAAAGCCCATTTGATGAAATTGCACGGTGGCTCGACAACCTGTTTACATCACATCCAGATTTATGTATGGTAAGTATCTCGTCCCGTCCCTTCCCGATTTTAGTTCACGAAGCAAGCCCATAGAAAACCGGCTCCGTACGATCTGCATATCATCCAGCTACTTAGAGCTTCAAGCATACAAACATGACCTGCCATGTCGGTAAGTTGTGCAGATAGATCCAGGACGCAAACCACTCATACTCACACACTTGTATATGTCAGGGTAGACATTGCACGGTGTACATTGCCTAGTATGTTTGCAAAAGGCAGGACAGTCACTCCCACTGTCAGCGTTGACAGATATTGATGCGGTCAAAGCAACAACAGTGGCGAGGACAAAGGAGGGACGCATTTTTATGAGGACGTAGTATGGGATCAAATTGATCTGAGGGAGAGTAGGAAGACGCCTTACTTTTATACACTAAATATTAATCTTCATGGCATACTAGATAGTCCCACGAGTTCGCGCGTCCCTAAAGTTCGCGCATTGGCTCTAGCACACGCAATTCTGCACGGAATCCTTATGTATGTTGTATATAGGTTCCTCCCAACATAATACACATGACCATGTAATTTTTTTGGCAAGAAATGAAGTGGATCTCGTGCCATGGTCGAGTTATAGGTGTTCGAGGCTCATTTTGTGCATAGATGACTCCCTCTGAAGGTCAGATCACCACGGAAAAATCTGGGATGTGATATGATGGTTATACATGATTATAGAATGCTAAAATAAATTTCTCCGGGGCTACATGCTTGTCAGAATCATCTGCTGTGAATGAAATACAGCCCAGACGTGACAGTCTATCCAAAGCGTTACAATGAGACTACACACATCTAAACTCCGCTGTGCCGAAATGCGGCACAAAAACACCAATGTCACTTTCGAACGGTGCGGAATGTGAAACGGCACCGCGGCAGACGTGTGACATGGTGTGACGAAATGCGCGAACTCTAGGGAAAACCGCACTTTTTTGCGCGGCAAGTCTCCGCTGGACTCAACACGTCTATTTTAAAAGAAAAAACTAGCGGGCCTTGTACTTTCGATGTCAGGCTATCCATCCGTCAGAACATTATATTTTTATGTGGATGTGTTGTAGAGTTATAGATGTTTTCCCAAAAATGCGCGAACTCTAGTGGACATCTAGTAATCTTATCTACCTGAAATTTCATTTCGAACATGTGACGTCTGCAATGCCAGCAGATCGCCACCTATGATCTACCCTAGTAAGGAGCAAGGTCTGTTGGCAATCTTGCATAGAATGAGACACCACCTTGCAAAGCAAGTCCAATAATGCCAGCTTGCAAGGACTGATCAGTTTGTTTCTTGGATGATGAAGCTGATAAAGATGCAGGTTCAGAATTAGGGGACAAGTGCACGAAGCATTTGAAGGAGGATGAAGATGACGGCGATAGGGTTGGTCATGAGCTACTTCTGCGTTTGAGGAATGATGTGAGATGAATCCGTCCAAATTTCCTTGGTATCGCATCCATAGGGTGTTAAGACTTGTTCTCCTGTAAGCCAACAATGTATTTCTTTCATCTTTGGGAAATTCATCACTCTACCAAGCAGGCCAAGACCGTGACCGAAGCCCATCTGTCGTCAATCTGTGATGCTAGCGTTAACTTCACGATACAGCCTCCTGAAATAAATTAAGTACCTCGATAGCCGAAGTGCAAAAAAAACACAAAGCAAGTGACACAGGAAACGATCGCAAACTGAGAAGAATTCAAGCAAACGCCTTACAGCACGTGATAGCGTGACCCAAGGCACATTAAGACCATTCTTTGAGATTCATGTTAGAAGCTTAGTGTTTGGGTCGCAAAATTTTAATTTCTACTACGACGGACAAAGACCTAAGCTGTAAGAATACGATAGAGCTATCTGGGCGAAAGCGCGCAGCGCTTCCCGGTCCTGATCTGCATGCCTGTAAGAGACGAGTGAGCTGCGAGGGTGGGAAGGGCAAATCCTTGCAGGTCTCTGATGAGGCTTGGACGCAGTCTGGACCACTGGAGGAATGCGAGGGACAATGTCGTTGCTGAACGGCATTGTGAAGAGGGTGTGGAGGGCGGGGAAAACAAAGGAGGATGGAGAGAACGTCGACAACGACTACTAGGGAATGACAGTCGCGGTACGAGAAGAAGAGTTTGTGCCGCTTCTGTTGTTCTCACAAAGACTAAACTCTGTTCCTTCGCTCATGCCTCGTTACGTAACAGAGCTGCAATCTTTGAGATTCACGTTAGAAGCTTAGTGTTTGGGTCGCAAAATTTTAATTTATACTATGACGGACAAAGACCTAAGCTGTCAGAATACGATAGAGCTATCTGGGCGAAAGCGCGCAGCGCTTCCCGGTCCCGATCTGCATGCCTGTAAGAGACGAGTGAGCTGCGAATCCCACACTAGTAGGAGTCCAGCGACGCATAGAGCGAAACTCGTATTCCCAAGGTAGTAGGAGCGGATGAACTAGGTGCTTACTTTGACGAAAGCCTTAGCGGACACGTGGCATTGTGTATCACAGATACTCATCATGAAGTGCAGGGGTGGCTTGCAGGTATGGTGCGAGGATCTGTGCGTGTTTTCGAAGGTAGAGTTGAAAGGCGTCGCTAGCCCAGCATCCCATGGTTTTGACTACGTCAAATGGGATGTTGCGAAGAAGATATTCCAATGTAGTGCCTATTCTGATTCCATGACCCTGCAGAGGGACCAGGCCTGCATCTGTCGCGGCTTGTGCGAGGCACGCAATGAATTTTGACTTTGTGAGGACGCGATGGCCTTTCCCATGCTTGTAGGAAAAGAGGGCTATATTTCCGGGAGGGTCGTTAATGCGGTAATGATTCTCTAGAGCTGCTACGGGGTCGGAGACACCATGCTGGTGCGCGCATGAAACATCTTCACCTGTGGGGGAAGATTTTGTGCGCGGTAAGTGGAACACGGTCGTTTGCAAACCGTTTCGGTCTGTTTCGCGTTGGACGTCTGAGCGGGTGATGTGCAAGGATGGGTCAAACCCGTTAATGCTGGGCACTGTAAATTCACCTGCTCGAGCCATGGTGTAGAAGGTGACGGTGAGGCATGCGCGTACTGCAGCGGTGAGTGGATTGTCGGCGTCAAGTTTTCCCAGGAGCGCTTCGACGAAGCTGATTGTGTATGGTTGTCGTTTCTTCTTCTTGGAAGTGGCGGGGGTAAGGTTGTTCGCCGCTTTGAGCAGCGTGACAATTTGGTCATCGTCGATGGTCCAGGGTTGACTGTGCAAGATATGCCATGCGCGCACACCATGTACATAGTTGGATACTGTTTTTCCAGAATATAGACCCGCCATGGTGGCAATGAATGAGGCGATGAGGTCGGAAGATGCTGGGGACCGTTGTGCTTCTGCAATCGACTTCGTGTCGCAGAATACATGAAAGGCGAGGATTCCACTGCCATACAGTTCTTGAGTGCTGCGGGCCCAAGCGTGTATCATTACGTTTTGTATGCGCTGGACGTCGAGATTCGGGTGCGTCAGCAGTGAGTTAGAGCTCGTCGGGGACCAGAGACGTAGATGGTCTCTGGCTGCGCAATGTGGGCGTAATGGGGATGGGAGCAGAGCGGGGTTAGCAGGATAGGCTGTAGGGGAAGAAGCCTTCAATGGCTGTTTGATAGTTTTCGTGGGTGGCAAAGACTTACTATGTTTGTGACGCTTCGAAGAGAGCCTCCCCCTCGCGTCTGAGGATGTCGTTGAGGTTGTGGGGATGATGGTTGACGTCACGGCGAGGCTGAGCGGGTGTGGCAGTTCGGCGCCGCGTCGTTTCAGCGAGACGTTCAGCAGGGAGAGTGGGAGCGTCAAAGTCAACGAGGAACTCTTGGATTTCTGCAGGAATGTGCACTGGAGGGAGAAGGAGGTTGGCTGGTGGGTATTTCCCCCTTGAAGGCTCGTCTGCGGGGTTGTGCGCGCTGGGAATGTAACGAGTGAGGAAGGTGCAGTTGGTTGTGGCTGACAGCTTATGGATGCATTTGAATACTTCATTGGTGGCGCGGTTCCGGCTGCGGCCCTTCCACCATCCTTCGACGACGCCACGGTTATCCCCGTAAATCTTGAGGCATGAGTTTTCTGGGCAGTTAGCAGCGAGCGTGCGAGCAAGGAGTTCCATTCCGACTGCTTCGGCCCAGCCAATGTCTCGATTGTCTCTGTCCCACCCTGGAATAAGGCGCCAAGCTCGCCACCAGCCCTTGATCCAGATCGCAACGCCAACGCCTGAGCTAGCGTCTGAGTAAGCTTCAGGTTCGATGACGTCGACGGGTCCTGGGATGGTGCGGGAGACGTTGGGTTGTGCGAGAGTGCTTTTCCACCAGCGGAGGTTGTTTGGAGTGTCTTTTGGGGGGGTGCGAGGCATGTGAGGACGGTTACTACAGATGGATAGCATGGCTTCAAGGGAAACCAGGTATGCTCTCCCGGCAGGGAGAACGAAAGACGCGTGAAGGAGTTTTCCGTGGAGCTGTTGCGTTTCGTGCAGGGTGTGTGCGGGTTGCTTCTCCCACTCACGGATGGCCTCCAGGTATTTCTCCTTCTTCTGTTCTGGGATGGAGACCCTGCGGGTCTCCAGATCCCATAGGAACCCGATGAACGGGGCGCATGTGGAGAAGAGTATGTCCTTGGCGAGTTCCCACGGGATGCCCAGAAAGCGAGAGAGTCTGTTGATATCGTCGAAGCAGTAGGTGAAGCGTGCGTCTTCTGGGGAGCGGGGAGAAGCAGAAGAAAGGTCAATGATTGGAAAGGTGAAGTCTTCGTCGAACTCCTCAATTCGGTCATCGGGCGTTGAGGATCCTTGATACCAGCGACGACCTCCCTCCACAAGACGACTGCCGTTCTTGGCGACGATGAGTGCTCTTGCTGCCCGCAGCCGGTTGTATTCGTTGAGGTATTTGCGCAGGATGCGGATGAAGAAGTGGTCGTCGACCCATTTGGACACAGGGCCGATGCCTTGTGAGCGCATGACATCGGTGCCCGCATCCGCCATTTCTCCGTATGATCCTGCGGCTGATGAACAACCGAAGCAGAAGCTCGTGTCGATGGCGAAGCTGTTGGTGTCTGTGCGAACCACCAATCCCGGCCATTGGGAAGGGTGTAAAGGTACGGTTCGGTAAGCTTCGGCCACGTCTCGGACAGCTGCTTGGGATCCTGGTGGAAGGTGCCAGATGAGGGTGCAGATGGTAGCGGCGGTGCCCCACGTGCAAGGGTAGAGGTTGGAATCGATGGATGAGTTGATGGATGAGATTGGGGGGGAAGGTGATGAAGGAAAGGATAGGTTTTGGACAATGCGGAATCTCCCTGGTTTACCCGGCTTGGGTATGATGGACAAGGGAGCCGTTTGGAATGGACCAATGAGGGTTTCCGTCTCAGTTCTGGTGAGCGGGCCCATATATCTGCCGGTAGCATATTCACATTCAATAATTGCAGTAAAAGCGTCGCGATGTTCAAGAATGGATGGATTATTAGCTGGGGTGTAGGTAGAGGTGATGGGGCGTATACTACCGGTGAAACCCGTGCGCAGACTGTTAGGTATATGTTTGTATCTATGTATAAGTTTGGAACTCGTGAGAATGTGGTGCCAGGCTTCTGCGTGGTATGGGGTGAGGGCGTTAGAGTGTCTCGCTGAGAGAACATCCTTGAGCGCCGTGTTCCTTGCTTCCACACCCTGAGCACTCGTGTACGTGGGAACGGGAGGTGTTGATGCAGCCGTTGGGTCTTTGCCAGTCGTAGCATAGCTCGCGTCCTTCGGGGTTGACCAGGTGCCCCGCTGAATTGCGGGTGCAGCGGGTTTTGGTGCGTCCATCCCACAAGAGCTCGGTGACGCACTTGTGGATGTTGTGACGGAAACGGCCCAAGCAAAGGGCACAGGCGGAGGAGCCAGTTTTGCCTGCGCCCGCTGGAAAAAGCTGGTTGGCGTTGGGTTGTTTCCCTTGCTGGTTTCCCGAGGGACGGCGGTATGGGTGGAAGCGTTCTTCAGACTGAGTGACCCCCGCAGGTTCTTGTTTCCCGCGAGATGGGGCATTTTCCCGAGTTCATACTTTCGACTGTGAAGATGAGAGGGCGACAGAGTTTTGGAGCTGGGTTGGGAAGGTAGGGTAACGCGGCGAGCAGTTTGGTAGCATGGGTGCGGGAAGTGGTTGAGCGGAGTTCATCCAAGTGTTGGTAGCGGGTGAGGGAAGCGAATTGTGGGTGGAGTTGGAACGTTGTGCAGGAAGCAGGTGATGGGAGGTGGGAAGCGGGAAGCATGGGTGCAGCCGTGGTTGAGGCAGGTTTGGTAGCATGGGTTGGTAGCAGGTTGGAGGCGAAGAGGGGAGCGTGTAGCAGGAAGCGGGCAGCAAAGGGAGCATGAGCGAGTTGGGGAAAGCATATTCAAATGTTGTGTAAGTAGGTAGTGAGTTCGCGAGAGGGTGAAGTGAATCAAGTGTGTGTTAGGGTTGGTCAATGTTTGTATGGGGGAAGATGCGTACCATTTTCATCCCTTCATCTCATTCTTCTTCCCAGACGTCATCTGACAGGCTGTTATATAGCGCATTGTTGAATAATCCGATGTTGAAACCTTGATTTAGGGTAAGACGGTCGTGCCAATCTCTGCGAACCATGCTTGCGTAGTGGAGAAGAGTCTTTTCCCCCCACAGGCACATTCTGTGTTCGTGGTTTGTGATGAGCGTGAAGAAAAGTGCAAGCGCCATCTGGTGCTTGTCAGGCCAACCAGCCTTCTCAATATGGACAAGGAAGCTGGTTTTGGCCATGTCAAACTGCCTCCAGGAAAGATCATGATCCTGTAAGGCTTTGTTAGAGGCTTTGAAGGAAGAAAAGGATTTCAAGGCAACGATGCCATCAATCTTTTCGAGACCTAGAGTGTCGTCCACGGAGGACTTGTTCCAGTCTCGAGCCTCACGACAGCCGTCAGGGCTGAAGTATCAGAGTTCAACGAACTCCATGTTCTTGACCTTTTGGAGCGCGAATTGCGAGGGACGCGGGATGATGACATCTGATACCAGTAGGTCGACGTTAAAGTCGTTGATCTTCGGTTTCTTTTTCTCGGTTTCGCGACGTTCTTCTGCTTCTGCGGCTTCTCTTTCTTCGCGCTCGCGATCTGCGGCTTCTTGGATGGCGTGTGCGTCTTCGTCGAGCTGTTGCTGCCAGAGGACGATGCGTTCTTGGCGTTCTTGGGTCCAACCATTGACAAGCTGGGCGAGGGCGGCTTCTGCGGTGAGTCCTGAGCCTATGAGGGCGGCAGTACATGCTGCAAAAGCAGGTGATTCGAAGTTCGGCTGAACTTCGAGCGACGGATCAGAGTTTATGCGAGGTACGATTACTTCCACCATGGTAGAACGACGGTGCCGGGCGTGGGTTTCGATATTAAATGAGAAAGGATGAAAGAATTGTGGGTGTTGGTTTACTTGTAGGTACTTGTGTGAAAGAAAGAAAACAAAGGAGGATGGAGAGAACGTCGACAACGACTACTAGGGAATGACAGTCGCGGTACGAGAAGAAGAGTTCGTGCCGCTTCTGTTGTTCTCACAAAGACTAAACTCTGTTCCTTCGCTCGTGCCTCGTTACGTAACAGAGCCGCAAGTAATTGTGTTTTCATGTGTTGCTCCAAAAGCGGTGGGCTCAGAGCACCAGATATCATGAGAAAATGCAAAGAATCATTTCTATTATGATAGGCTTTTTGTTATAAGACAACGATAGATGCATGACGACATAATTAGTCAAGTGAATTACTAGGTATGAAACACATCCTGATGTACTCCGAGTGTAAGTAGTTGAATAGATACTGGCGAAAGACAGATATAGATATGATGCGCCAATCTAAAATTTTTACAGGCCACGGGCCTCGAGACGACCACGGAAGATCTTCTGGAATTGTGGGACATGGTCAAAGTCCATCAGCGTGTAGTGTTGCCCTGGCACATCCGTATATGACGGCTCGCCACGACTGAACCCAGACCATGGCTTGAGCTGGTTGTTGAGCCAGTCTGACTTGCTGCCGCGCAGAGGAATAGCATAGAAAACGTCTGTAGCAGCTGAAGAGATACGGCATATGAGCAAGCGATAATGAAGTCAGAAAAGAAAAGACATACAAACTGAGCCTGATGGGTTGTAGTCCTTCCCGCACTCGATCAGGGACCCCGCGATGTCAACCCAGTGGTCCAGCTTCTCAGGAGTAAGCTGGAGCTCAACGAGACGGTCAGGAGGAGACAGCTTCCACACAACCTCCAGCTGCTCCTTCCTCGTCATCGGCCTCAGAGCGGGTGCGAGATCATTGGCATCATGCTTCGACACGAGACCGAGGAAGTACGACAAGTTGAGCATGCCGCCCGTCCAGTCGATCTCGTGCATGCGGTCCGCGATATGAGGAGGGATGTTGATCAGACCAACAAATTTCACTTCCTCGCCCATTGCCTCGAGTCGCTTGGCAACTTCGAACGCGACGACACCGCCGTAACTGTAGCCCGCGATGGCGTATGGCCCAGTTGCCTGGGTCCTCTTGACTGCCGTAGCGTAGCATGACACCATCTCGTCCATAGAGGTGAAGAAGGGGTGGCCGGGCTCGAAGCCACGAGCACGGAGAGCGTAGAACGGACGCTCGTTCTGGAAGTATTTCGCGAGGTTGACGAAAATCAGGACCTCTCCGACACCGGGGTGAACGAAGAAGATCGGGGTTTTGTTTCCGGTCAGCTGAAGGGGAACGATGGGGTCGTACTCTTCAGTCTGGCTGTCCTTGGAGAGCAGGGAGTCGACATAGTTGGCGAGGCTCGAGATCACGGGGTGCTTAAGGATCTGGATGGTGGGGATTTCAGGAAGGTCGAAGTGTGCCTCTCCCTCGCGCTTAAGTCTGAAGATGATATGATTAGTGAGAGTCATTTTAGAGCGGGAAGTATGTACTGACCTGATGACATCAATGGAAGTACCGCCGAGTTCGAAGAAGTTGTCGCTGGCCGACATCTCGCTTTCTGCGAGGTTGAAGATCCCAGCATATATCTTGGAAAGCGCTTTCTCCGTCTCCGTTGACGGCGCGACGAACGTAGCCCCACGGGCCTCGCTCAGAAGCTCCTCCGAGCGAGCGATGTGCTTGGCGAGCTGGCCTTGCTTGAACAGACTGATCAAACGCGCACGAGATAGTTTACCGAGAGTGGTCTTCTCCATCTGGTTCACAGGGATAGGAACGATCAACTGAGGCGGCAGCGTGATCATTTTCACGCAGATGTCCCGAAGGGCACGGTGAGTGGCGAACAGCTTTGACGAAGCGTCTGCTCCATCGAGGTCGAAGGTTGGCGAGTAGAAGATGATGAACCCTTCCGTCTCCTGACCAGGAGCACGGTACGGAGCTGCGCCGAGGAACGAGTGAGTCACTCCTTCTACGGTCTGGAGGTGAGTCTCGAGCTCAGGGATGCCGTACGAGACACCGTGGACGATGACGGTGTCCTTGATGCGACCGCTGAGGCGCATGATCCCATTCTCGATGATGCCGACGTCGCCGGTGCGGTACCAGCCGCCCTCGACGAAGCTGGACGACGTAGCCTCTGCGTTGTTGTAGTAGCGTACGAAGACCATCGGTCCGCGAACCTGGAGCTCGCCGCTCTCCCCGTCGGGGCGCAGGGTCAAGCCATCTGCGGGGTCAACGATGCGCATCTCGCAACCATCGATGGGTCTCCCGAGATCAAGGAATTCATGAGCAGGCTCGCTTGTGAGCACATCTACGGGATGGTAAATGCATCCAGCGCTGCAGAATCCCCAGTCAGTTTCTTTATATACCCTATATGGTTTCATGAGTCTTACCAAGTTTCTGTCATTCCGAATCCAGGAGAGATGTCGAACGATACAGCAGGACGGGTTCTTGCTGAGCTGCTTCATGGTGGCAGAGAACGCTTTCGCCGTCTTGGAAACGACAGCTTCGCCTCCGCTGTTGATCCGCTTGATGGATGACAGGTCGAAAGTTCCGAAAAGGTCGGTGCGCTTCTCCAGATCGCGCGTGAGCTTGGATAGCAAGAAGTTCGGGGCGAAACTCAGTTCGATCGACTAATGATTGAATCATCAGAGATAGCTTTTGGCCTATGATTCAATACGGACATACCTTTTCGTCGATCAATCGGAGCAGCCGAAGAGGATCAGCAAGGATAGCAGATGCGTGCACGTGGAGTTGCGAGGCGCCATATAGTAGAGGCGTGATGTGCATTTCCAATGATCCTGCAACGTGATCAAATCCGACCCCTGAAAGTCATGATCAATTTAAGAATAAAGTTTAAGCAACTATCAAGCTTACAGTTCAAGACTCGAGAGTCAGAAGTCAGGCCGTAGCTTTTGCCCTTAGCACGGCATGCAGCAATAATAGTGCGGTGCGTGTGCACGACTGCCTTGGAGAATCCGGTCGACCCTGACGTCAAGAACAGGATCGCCTCGTCGTCTGCCTTGGCCTCGTATGCAACCCAATCAGCTGAGACGTTGAATGTCTCCGCCGACGCCTTTAATTCGGAGAGTAGGTGCACCTCCAGACCAGAAATGGTGCTGATCTGCTCGGCCCCAAGTTCGTTGGTCAGCCAGATAGCAGATCCAAACAAGTTCTTGATGTGGGCGACATGGCCCTCCTTGTGGGCCTGTTGCGCGCTAAGTGCAGGCTGCAAGCAAGGCACATAGCCAGCCAGCAGACATGCCCATACAGCTGCCATATTGTCTTCGTGCTCCGTCAGATACACGACGACGATTGAGCCGGTGGGCTTGCCCCACTCGAGCATGGCAGCGTGCGAGGTTGCGAACATATTGGTTGAAGGTGCTGAAGGTCTTCGTCTGAATGGAGGAGTCATGTGCTGAGGAGGTTATGAAACCAAGCTCGTGGGACGGATAACGGTCGACAGCTTGAGCGATGACGTCGTGGAGAGTATTAGGTTGTGGAGAGACTATGGATGTCTTGAGGTTGGTGAAGAATTCAGTGGTTGTGGTAGAAGCGACTGCGACGGATGCCATTGCGAGATATCTAAATTCTAAATTCTAAAACAGAAAGATGATCGTGAAAGGAGTCTAGGATGTTGTAGTTTTGAGTGCCAACTTCCTTGGACTTATATACCTCTATGTCAGAAAGCAGCGCTGCGGTGAGATTACGGCATCTTGCACTAGTTGATGGCGGTGATAGGGCGACACACCGCAAGTCATGTCTATTGCAAGTCAGGTCGGAGCAACCAATAGTGCGAAACGCATACCTGCATGCTAGCGCGGGGGCTATGCTGTAGCTTTTGCACTAGTAAGGTCATAACTTCCGTACTAGTCGATCCGGTCACTATTGTGACTATGAGCGCACTGGTCGGATATTAGTCCAAAATGTTTCATATCAGGCATTGCAATGCTGATTTGCGTGCGAGCATTGAATTACCGTTTCCCTATTCCGTGGATTCAGGATCCATGTGATATACGTGCAATGTCCCCCGGATTCCACCATGATCGGGACTGAAAGCCTTCAAGCTGTGCTTCAATCATGCACATCTCCGCTTGTCTACTAGGTTTGAGCGGAATTAACTTAGCGTCGTTGCGAAGTCACTGCTTGAGTACGGCTCTACTGGAAGTCCGTGTGGCCAATGTACCAGAAAATCATGCCCGGAAGGAGCTCCATGCAGTGCTCAGGCAACGGAGCTCGAATTCAAAATGGTAAAGGTTTGACTATCGTATTGCAAGAGTTCAGGGATCCTGATGCGTGAACTTATAACTGGGCGACTGATCGCATCAAACTGTAATCGATTTCCCGTGGAAAACGAGGCGCCTGCCGAAGATTGAGGATGTTGGTATGTCATGTTATAGGGCTCCGCTGATGTGGAGACTGGTGTACAGATAATTCGATGATAGGCTCGGGCGAGGCCAACGATAGACCGGAGGATAACACCATGCCGATGTCACGCTCGGGTTGTGGGATGGATGAAACCAAGAAGAAACCGAGTTTATATGGCATAAGAGTAAGGCTTGACCAATCGATTCTATATGACTCTGGGAGGGATCGTACACAGAGACTGACTTGTGTGTCGGTTTAAGAAATGAAAGCAAGAACACAAGTACGACGCACCTTGCAGCAACTCGGAGTAACTTAAACAAGAAGAACTCCAGTTCCAGTAAAACTGTAAAAGGATTCCTACTATTAGAGTTGTAGCAAGTACCAGGACGTCTGGCGATCAGCCGCAGCGAGTAAAACTTTGTCTATCATAATCATTGAACTATATTGGTTCATGGATGTCCAACTAGTGACTGTCCACTCTTCGAATAAAACACATCTGTCGTTGGTGCGTGGTGTGTGGCTTGGGCTTTTACGTTTTACATAACACAACCAGAGCGTTCTGTCGGAAAAAACCTAATATAAATTTAATAAGGCCCGTCATTAAATAATGCCCATCAGCGCCTTGAAAAAGATTATCATGATACCCCATCCAAATATTGCCCATTCAAATAACAAGTTGGCCCTTAAAATGTATCAAGCCCGGAAAATTTTTCGACAATTATTCACGAACATCAATTGGTAAACTTGGCAGTAATGGGAAGACCTGGCTTTTGTCGGATCCAAACGTTCAGGCACCTCGGACTATACGCCAATCGATGTGCAGTGGGAACTGTACAGTTAACGAATGTACGATAGCGATGGATCCATGTAGTCTTTGTCATCTCCACAGCGAAGAAGCTTTTGTAGTACGTCCTCTCTATTTCTCTCGGTATCCTTATATGCATGCACAACTCTTGTGTGCATTCCACGTCAGGACGACAATCAAGTCGCCGTGTCTATTGTCTTGGGTCCAGTGTCACTCGTTGCGGCGACGTTGCACCGTGTGTGTCTTGACTCTTGAGCCTCTTGCCTCAGGGTGGCTGAACCTGAAAGGTGTGTTAGATGCCCGTCTGCACGCTTAAGGGAGAGCTTGAGAAGAGAATTGACCTGCATTCGTTGTTTATGTGATCGCCGATCACCAAATTCAATGGACTCGGAGATGAGCCCTGAACTCGAAATAAGCGGGCAGGTGCTGATTGGCAGGAAGTGCATGAATGATTTGAGTTTGGGATGGCTCACATGAGCGTGAGCTGGTTTGAATCATCTATATATTCTGGTTGTATGCACATGGGGACGTCCCTAAACCCATTATAGTTCATCAATCCTGACCGTAGCGAGGTATGTGATACGAGTCAAGCTTGCAGTAGTACTGACTTGCAGTGTCCTTGACAGTATTAGCATGAGTGCTGTGCTGTGTTGTCGCGGTACTGATTTCAAATTATATCATTCTTGTATCTGTCAGTGTATCTGCTATACGATCACTTTGAGGGGATCTTTTATTGGACCTGTAGTACCAGGGTATCGATAAAAGAGGCGATAGGCAAGGTTTGGTGAGTATGCATCCATACCTTTCTACAATTGCTAGGGTGTGGTATTAATACGCTTACTAGGGTGACAAGATATCTACACTCAAACTCCATGGTCTGCATTTTATTATTTTAACCGTATGGAGATTATGATCGCAGTTCATGAAAGACCCTGTGCTCGGATGCCTCCGTGACTCTGTTCATCTCAGGAGATCACAAACACCATGGGGACGACTAAGAGCTTCATTTTCGAAATCTGACATTATGTCCGCGTGCGTACTCGGCGCTCAAAGGTCAACCTAGCAGAACCTGGCTTGGTTATCAGCGCAGCCTATTTGCTGATAGGGGCAGATACACATTTTGATATATACGATGCCGGGACACTGCATCATATCCGCCGCTAATGACGTGGTACATGTTGCTCAGCATGTTCCGTTAGCTTGATCCCCATTTACCCCTCGCCAACTCACATAGGATTCTGTACTTCATTGATCGCAATATACAACGTCGATCCTCCAACTCAGCGTAACCACAGGCACTCACGCACTTTCTTGTGTATTTAGTACAATCTCTTGCACCTATCTTTTCTGCGAGACAGAGGTATATATTAGTCGCGGCTGAGTATCTTTTCTAGTAAGATTCCTTATCTCCCGCGCAACAAACACGCCACTGAAGTCAAGATATGGCACGCGAACACAATCCTTGCGTTTTCAGCCAAGTTCTATACAGAGTGAATAGGCGACCGTGGAACATTGCGTTAACACTCAAACGATCCATAATTGGCGCCACCTGCATGACAAAGGAGGGATTATTATTCCTTTGATATGCAGAGACTATGCCATTCATAGAAAGTGCCCTCCACATCGGTAAGCTAAACGTCAACAAAGTATGAGTCTAGCCTATATTCTTGCATACAGCCTCGTCCCTCTCTCCCCATTAATGCATCTGTATAGCCCAGTGACCAATACCTCCAAATTCGTATTGGCTATGCCATTCTTTGAAGGACGTCTCGACTCCTATTGTTATCTATCAGTACCTATCAAGGCTTATCACGGACTCCGGGTACAACTCAGGTGGGGTTTGGTTGGCGGTGGAGCCAGTTACTGACATCCATACTGAGGACGATTAAGGGTACCTGAGATCCAGAGGGAGAACAGTCATCTATTGCTTAATAGATGCCTGCTCCACAGAGAATTTCAAGTATAACGGAGAGCCCGCTCGTAGGACCAATGTGGGATCATAGTATCGAGAATCTAGAGTCTGCAGCACCGCATAGACGGGGTCGTTAGTAATGTTTGGGATTTGTGACAAGGTGTCTCATGGTCGCAGCCCAACTAGCGAACAACTTCAAGATACCAACGTATGGAACGAAAAGGTTGCCATTACTTGAACCCCGCCGATTACGTTCAGATACGAATTACAAGTAGCAATTGAGGTATGGTTGTGGTAGACCTGGCTGGACATTCATGTGATGCCCATGCATGCATGCCACTGCTTCGGAAGTAAGATGACAGAGTCCACGGCGGCTGCATAATCAAACTTGGATCGAGTGGACCTCACGGAATCGATAGCAATACAGATTTCTCTGCAAAGCTAGAGGCTATATCAGTCACCGACGACTAACAAACAAATAAGACATCTCACTGAAACGGGTGATAACACGACGCCATACTGTTTGAAGATGCTATCGGATTTGCAGCACAGGGGTGCCAAAGTGCATAGCACATTGTAAGCTGTGTTATACATATAAATTACCCTCGAGCACCAATTCTGTCCACCTTACTATTGATCCCATCTGGAGATGCCGCTCTTGCACTAGAAACACAAGAAGTACCCTTGATATCTGAAAAGCAAAACGCTGAATTTTCACTGAAAAAGGCTCATCAGAACCACGCCAACAGAAAGACAATAGGAGAGGATTCTACTAAACAAATGTGGGAATGTGACATGAAAGTCGCAACTTCAACTTACACGAGTCTCGAAACGAATCTCTTCATGATCGGTACCTTCCTCCTCTGAACCTAGTACACATCTAGAACCTGTTTGAGAATGAACAGGCTTACTCAAGAAATGAGATGTATTAGCCGATCAGGGACGTCGGAACTTTGTTGTATCATCGCACTGCCAATTCTCGGCGGCAAGTTTGAATATGAGGACCTGACCATCATAAAGGCATTCCAGTCGCTATAATTATTCGGCCCTGAGGAAAGGATAATTTCTTGTTCAGCTAGTCTTAAAGTGAACATTGCTTGTGGTGGTAAAGGAGTAGTGGTGGATCCAGAATCGTGACGGGCACGGCATGTTTGGCAATGCCTTCTGAAACAAACAACGCCACGTGACACTGCACAGCTACAGACATGCTAACTTCAAGGCTGGGACACAGGTGTTCCCCTCTCCTATTCAGTAGTGGCCGGCATATGGGATATCACCCCACAGATAGAATGTTTACCGCAAAAGAAAGGCCACATGAACTTGAAGGATGCAGGTCAACTTCAACGTTCGTGGAGTCATTCAAACCAAACAAATGATGGACTTCAACTTTTAACATAACATAACAAAAGTTACAAAACAACAAGGTCACAAACAATGATATAAGTACTTGTATGCATATCGACGAAGTAATTTAAGGAATTAAGCACGTGCACTCCGAGTATAGTCGAATAGATACTGGCGAAAAGACAGATACATACATAATACAACTCTCGGAATCTTTTACAGGCCACGAGCCTCGAGACGACCACGGAAGATCTTTTGGAATTGTGGCACGTGGTCAAAGTCCATCAGCGTGTAGTGTTGTCCTGGCACGTCGGTATATGACGGCTCGCCACGGCTGAAACCAGACCATGGCTTGAGCTGGTTGTTGAGCCAGTCTGACTTGCTGCCGCGCAGAGGAATAGCGTAGAAAACGTCCGTAGCAGCTGAAGAGACACGCCATATGAGCAAGTGATAATGAAGTCAGAAAAGAAAAGACATACAAACTGAGCCTGATGGGTTGTAGTCCTTCCCGCACTCGATCAGGGACCCGGCGATGTCTACCCAGTGGTCCAGCTTCTCAGGAGTCAACTGGAGCTCAACGAGACGGTCGGGAGGAGACAGCTTCCACACAACCTCGAGCTGCTCCTTCCTCGTCATCGGCCTCAGAGCAGGTGCGAGATCATTGGCATCATGCTTCGACACGAGACCGAGGAAGTACGACAAGTTGAGCATGCCGCCCGTCCAGTCGATCTCGTGCATGCGGTCTGCGATATGAGGAGGAATGTTGATGAGACCAACAAATTTGACTTCCTCACCCATCGCCTCGAGTCGCTTGGCAACTTCGAACGCGACGACACCGCCGTAACTGTAGCCCGCGATGGCGTATGGCCCAGTCGCCTGGGTCCTCTTGACTGCCGTAGCATAGCACGACACCATCTCGTCCATAGAGGTGAAGAAGGGGTGGCCGGGCTCGAAGCCACGAGCACGGAGAGCGTAGAACGGACGCTCGTTCTGGAAGTATTTCGCGAGGTTGACGAAAATCAGGACCTCTCCGACACCGGGGTGAACGAAGAAGATCGGGGTTTTGTTTCCGGTCAGCTGGAGGGGAACGATAGGGTCGTACTCTTCAGTCTGACTGTCTTTGGAGAGCAGGGAGTCGACATAGTTGGCGAGGCTCGAGATCACGGGGTGCTTAAGGATCTGGATGGTGGGGATCTCAGGAAGGTCGAAGTGTGCCTCTCCCTCGCGCTTAAGTCTGAAGATGATATGCATTAGTGAAAGTCATTTTTAGGGCGGGAAGTCTATACTGACCTGATGACATCAATGGAGGTACCGCCGAGTTCGAAGAAGTTGTCGCTGGCCGACATCTCGCTTTCCGCGAGGTTGAAGATCCCAGCATATATCTTGGAAAGCGCTTTCTCCGTCTCTGTTGACGGCGCGACGAACGTAGCCCCACGTGCCTCGCTCAGAAGCTCCTCCGAGCGAGCGATGTGCTTCGCGAGCTGGCCTTGCTTGAACAGACTGATCAAACGCGCGCGGGACAGTTTACCGAGAGTGGTCTTCTCCATCTGGTTCACAGGGATAGGAACGATTAACTGAGGCGGCAGCGTGATCATTTTCACGCAGATGTCCCGAAGGGCACGGTGAGTGGCGAACAGCTTTGACGAAGCGTCTGCTCCATCGAGGTCGAAGGTTGGTGAGTAGAAGATGATGAACCCTTCCGTCTCCTGACCAGGAGCACGGTACGGAGCTGCACCGAGGAACGAGTGAGTCACTCCTTCTACGGTCTGGAGGTGAGTCTCGAGCTCAGGAATGCCGTACGAGACACCGTGGACGATGACGGTGTCCTTGATGCGACCGCTGAGGCGCATGATCCCATTCTCGACGATGCCGACGTCGCCGGTGCGGTACCAGCCGCCCTCGACGAAGCTGGACGACGTGGCCTCTGCGTTGTTGTAGTAGCGTACGAAGACCATCGGTCCGCGAACCTGGAGCTCGCCGCTCTCCCCGTCGGGGCGCAGGGTCAAGCCATCTGCGGGGTCAACGATGCGCATCTCGCAACCATCGATGGGTCTCCCGAGATCAAGGAATTCATGAGCAGGCTCGCTTGTGAGCACATCCACGGGATGGTAAATGCATCCGGCGCTGCAGAATCCCCGTCAGTTTCTTTATACACCCATATGGTTTCATGAGTCTTACCAAGTTTCTGTCATTCCGAATCCAGGAGAGATGTCGAACGATACAGCGGACGGGTTCTTGCTGAGCTGCTTCATGGTGGCAGAGAACGCTTTCGCCGTCTTGGAAACGACAGCTTCGCCTCCGCTGTTGATCCGCTTGATGGATGACAGGTCGAAAGTTCCGAAAAGGTCGGTGCGCTTCTCCAAATCGCGCGTGAGCTTGGATAGCAAGAAGTTCGGGGCGAAACTCAGTTCGATCGACTAATGATTAAATCATCAGAGATGCGTTTGGCTATGATTTCATACGGACATACCTTTTCGTCGATCAATCGGAGCAGCCGAAGAGGATCAGCAAGGATAGCAGATGCGTGCACGTGGAGTTGCGAGGCGCCATATAGTAGAGGCGTGATGTGCATCTCCAATGATCCCGCAACGTGATCAAATCCGACCCCTGAAAGTCATGATCAATTTAAGAATAAAGTTTAAGCAACTATCAAGCTTACAGTTCAAGACTCGAGAGTCGGAAGTCAGGCCGTAGCTTTTGCCCTTAGCACGGCATGCAGCAATAATAGTGCGGTGCGTGTGCACGACTGCCTTGGAGAATCCGGTCGACCCTGACGTCAAGAACAGGATCGCCTCGTCGTCTGCCTTGGCCTCGTATGCAACCCAGTCAGCTGGTACGTTGAATGTCTCCGCCGACGCCTTTAATTCGGAGAGTAGGTGCACCTCCAGACCAGAAATGGTGCTGATCTGCTCGGCCCCAAGTTCGTTGGTCAGCCAGATAGCAGATCCAAACAAGTTCTTGATGTGGGCGACATGGCCCTCCTTGTGGGCCTGTTGCGCGCTAAGTGCAGGCTGCAAGCAAGGCACATAGCCAGCAAGCAGACACGCCCATACAGCAGACATATTATCTTCGTGCTCCGTCAGGTACACGACGACGACTGAGCCGGTGGGCTTGCCCCACTCGAGCATGGCGCGTGCGAGGTTGCGAACATATTGGTTGAAGGTGCTGAAGGTCTTTGTCTGAATGGAGGAATCATGTGCTGAGGAAGTTATGAAACCAAGCTCGTGGGACGGATAACGGTCGACAGCTTGAGCGATGACGTCGTGGAGAGTATTAGGTTGTGCAGACACAATGGAAGTCTTGAGGTTGGTGAAGAAATCAGTGGTTGTGGTTGAAGCGACTGCGATGGGTGCCATTGCGAGATGAGTCTAAGTTTGTAAGAGGATAAGATAAAGTGTCTAGGATATTGAATGCGGATCTCCTTGGAGGTCCGGGCTTATATAGTACGAAGTCAGGACCCATAATTGAGCAGCACTGCGGTGAGCTTACGCGATAACGTAATACTGTAGTAGCTAGGCTCAGATATGTCGTCGCAGCATGCACCGGCTCAGATCACTGGATGGGAGTATTTTGAAGTGAATAATGGCTGGTGGAGTCCTACAATGTGTTAGCATATGTCAGCACAGGACTAGCTTGTAGCAACATGAAAAGTCACCGAGGAGCCTGGGAGAGCCGAGAAGTCGGATATCAATGTGCTCCATTCGCAAATATCCATGAGACAGACCGATCGGGAGTTACTAGTGAGCTTAGACTAGTACTGGAGTGTACATAACTGAATGGCCTTGGCTCATCGATCGATATGATGATCGGATCTGCACAGCGTGGTGCATATATCCAGCGTATCACCGCTACTGACATGGACACCACTAGTTTAGGAACAAGTTCAATTAGCTGCGTCGTAAAGTCACTGCACCAAGGCCACTCCACCTTTCAAAGGAAAGGCTCCCTAAAGCCAATCTGATCCCCGACGACGCTATATGCAGCTTTCATGAAAGCCGGTGAGGTGTTATCGCTACTCCGCGACCCCCCTCACAGGTGGTAACCACATGCTTCTTTTGCATGGATCTTTGTGGCGATAATCATATGGCACTACCGACGATATCTTACCCTTTGCCTCGACCAGTTCTTCGTAGATTTTGCCAGTACAGTTGCCTGATATTCTTGAAAGAAAGACTAGCCAACCTTTTCCGATTGGTCACGAATTCTCCGCGAATAGTCAATCACAGTAGGCGATGATCGATGATCCGTTGGAATTGGAGGCCGTCTGCGACCATATCAGGCCCTGTGTTTCACAACATCTGTGTCCGGTTAACCTAGCCTATCCTGTCAAACTTACTACTAGGACTTACTGGTATGTCTCGATTCACTCAGTCTTATCTATAGCGCGTAGCGGCCAAGTTATGATCGCGAATCAAGATTTTCATTTCAGGGCCTGTACATGTGGGTGGGATGAGACCATGAATCCGGAGATTTTTTTTAGCGATCAAAGTCGATTATTAATTGTTATGTAATACTATACTCATTCCCAGGGATATCTATGATGTCTTCTCGGTCACGCCTTGTCACGCCTCGGCGCGGCACTGACTTTCACCCTTAAAACTGTACATTGTTGCCGCACAAAATTTAGAATTGAATGATTTGAAATCTTAACTTAATCTCCGTAGGATTATACTACTTGTTGTCAACGTCAGACTCAGAGAGCAACCTTTTTCTGACATCCGTAAAAGGTATTTGTTAATTCTATATACTCCATACTTTAGCAGGATTTTTGTGATTTGTGGTTGCAAATTACCACTGTTTAAGCTGGAACATTATTTATATTCTAGTTGGGACTCTGCATATGCCTCAACGCACGTTGACCACGGTGTTATGAGCTTTTAGAAACGGTTGTCATATTCCAGGGAACGGTAGTAACATACTCGTGCACGGCCCTCGGTGCAAGCACCAGTCACCATGCTTCAAATTTCAACTTGTGACGGTGAGAGTCACTGACCGAAGGCCTGTACTATCCATTCCGGTGCAATGGGCGGCCCGCTCTGCGCAGAAGTCGACAGTCACGCAAATGTCACACATGCTGTGGCCGGTTTCAACATTTGGCGCAAGTACAGTAGATATCTACTTAACTACGAGGGTAGGGACTTGCCCAAGTCATGTATGGATAAGATCGTTTATGTAAGGGGAGATCGGTCATTCGAGGCCGGTCCGAACTAATTTCCGGATTATAGTTAGTATATAGTTGCGTCGAGAGCGTAACAGCATCAACTCTTGGCATTTGAAAGTGGTGAAGCGGTGTGTTGAAACGCAACGCTAGTCTAAACTGCTCCATATAGAGCTCCATAGACCCTGTATCACCGGAGGCAATGTTATTATCGTTGCGCTGATGACTTATCAACTCCAGCGGTTCACGAACCGCATCATATCTCGTCTTATCAATCCCTCCGTGTCTTCCGAGTCAAGGCGTATTGGTTATTGCCTCCAGTGAGTTGGTTGCGCTCGGCTTGCTTTTCAACTGCTGCTTTAATCATTTCTTGTTTAACGTTTACTTCTTTCCGGATCTAGTCGTAAATTCACAATGCAAGCTCTCAAGTTCGAGAAGACTGGCTCCTTGGATGGATTGTCTCTGGTTAACATTGATAAACCCATATTACGTCCCGGCGAGGCTCTCGTACGTGTCAGAGCTGCCGGTATCAACGGGGTAAGCCTACAACTTGGGTCGCATCATACTGCAACAGTATTCTGATCCATCATCAGTCCGATGCTGCAGGCATCCTAGGCATGCTTCCTTTTGTGACCACCCCCCGCATTCCTGGCAGAGATTTCTCGGGGGAAGTCGTTGAAGCGCTGGACGCGTCTGGGGCCTCCAGTCAAGAATGGATTGGAGCAGAGGTGTGGGGAACAGGAAGCGAGAGGGGCTTCACTTCAGATGGAACGTTTTCGCAGTATGTGTTCTACATGCATTTGTCTCTTGTTTTCCTGACATACTCTTCTTCAGATATGTTACTGTCCCTGTCGCTGCATTGAGCCGGAAGCCAACATCTCTCGACCACTCCAGGGCTGGCAGCATGACTCTACCGTGGTTATGTGCCTGGATTACAGTTGACACTCTTGCACACGTCAAGGAAGGAGACAATGTTATTATCATCGGTACATACATCACTTGATATACTCTATTCATCATCCCTAACCAAATCCTCTAGGTGCTCGAGGCGGCATTGGCTCCGCAGCAGCCCAGCTCTGCAACGAGCGCGGGGCACGCATATTCGGCACGTACACCTCGCTCGCCAAAGTGACTCCCCCATCATACATCACGCCCATCGAAATAGGCTCTAAAAACGCCATCCGCGAAGCCATCGCCAAAGCAGGACTGCAGAACAAAATCGACGTTTTACTAGACTGCGCCGGCTACGACCAGCCATTCAACGACGCGCTTTTCACGATGACTCCGAATGGCACCGGTCGTGTTGTGGTTATGGCTGTCCATGCAAAGGACGGATTGTTCCCGATCAGCATGCGGACGTTTTATACAAAGGCCCTTACGTTAAAGGGCATGCTGTCGAGTATTCTTGGCCCGTTGGAGGTTAAGGAGGTATTGGACGAACTTGCGAAGAAAATTGATAGTGGGCTGCTAGAGGGACCGAAGGAGGTCAACGAAGTTGATATGAAGGACATGGGCACTGTGAAGGGTGCTCTGCAGGAGATTTTAACTCGAGCTTCTCATGTTCGTTCAGTGATTATTCCCTGAACATAGTATTACCAGTAGCTGTGTGCTGCTACTTCGATGTTATGGATATTTAATCTATCAAGCGTATTCACGATTTCATCACTAAACCGAGATGTAAACCAGAAGACTTCAATAAGATGATCCAGGCGGCAATTGAGGGGAACGGCATCTAAAACGAGCAAGAACATTCCTCCAGTGTGCTATGACGTTTCAGAAGTCTACAACTACCCCACGAGCCTCAGCGAAGTCACGACGCGTGGCACACGAACTTGCGAAGTTTAATAGAAATGCCAATCCGCAGAACCTTGTTGGAAGTGACTCGTCTTATTGGTCATGGCACACGCGATACCTGGGCCTGAGATCCGTACCAGAAGCTTCAGAACATTTGCCAACAAAGTCGCGACGCTATTCACCATCAAGCTGCTATGCGAAATTCCACAGAAGTCACATAAATAATAGGCGCAAGTAGGGTGTACTAGTAGTACATATGTAGTAATTAATGCGATACACACAATGTACATATCAATGCATAACATGCAATAGATTAGGATAAATGACAATAGCGAGTAGAGTCAAGCACTTTATACATGCAACCTAAAACGGAACAAGTGGCTTGGCGTCGACGGTATAAGATCTAGAGGAAGAATTCCTCCAGTGTGCGGCCAAATGTCGTAAGACCATTACGAATCGTTTCATCTGTGCCAACAAACGTTGCTCTGAAGAAGTTCACTCGCTACATGGTTTCTTGAGTGTGCATTCGACGCGCATGATGCGAGAACTTACGTCATTAATGTGGCTTCCCATCATCCCCGTGCGATCAGCGATGGCAAATGTCGATGCTGGCATCATGACCAAGCCGTTGTTTAGTAGCTTCCGGAACAGCTCGTCCATGAGGTCCGCGGTGTTTGTCGTCGGACCGCCTGGGACCGTCGGGGTCTGAGATGCCGAGAACCGTGCGTGATGCTCAAGGTTGATTTTGATCCAAACAAACATCCCAGATTGTGGTACTTCCGCAGTGGCGAAGCCGGAAGTGGCAACCTTCTGCCGGAAGACATCCATGAAGAGATCCCTCCGACGTTGATATTCGTTGCATAGCGATAAGATCCACTTCATAAAGCCATCGACGCCCCAACCATTACTGCCAAGCAACTCGGCAACGAAAGCTTGGCCCATGCCATGTGGATGTTGCGAGGACGAGTCCGTCAGCATGTCAAGTTTATCTGCGAAGTAGCTGTTGCTCGTGACCCAGCCGAGCCGCATTCCGGGGGCAACGATTTTACTGAAACTGTACTCAGAGTCATATTAGAGTTGTGACTCTAGTGAAAAAAGGAAATGGTCTTACCTATCCAGGCGCATTACGCGTCCATCATAATCCATGGACAGGAATGACCGAGGGAGAACTTCCGCCATGGCACGTGTGTGTCCATACTGTTGTATCGTACTCTGGCTCACGCCAAGATCGTACTGGAGGAAAAAGTAGGGATCATCCTCAAGGATGATGATATCCCAATCGTGTGCAATTTGATATATCTGTTGCCTTCTTTCCAATGAAAGGGTGCTTCCTGTCGGGTTCTGCGAGCACCTGGATATGCATTGTGAGCTGTACGGAATAAATTGAGAGCTGGCGATGACGTACGGGATCGTGTAAAGCACATGGGGTCGTTTACCTTGTTTTCCTTCATCCCAGTTGGATAAAATTCGTTCCAAATCTGAAGGAACGAGTCCATTGTTATCCATCCGAATCGGGACCCATTCAATGCCTAGGGGCAGAGCAGCATTGGTCATAGCAGAAAAGGTGAATTCTTCGCAGAGGAAAGAGTCGCCTGGGTCACCGAGAAGACGGAAGCATTTTGTCAGCGCGTCTGCATTGCCAAGGCTAAGCGAGACGGTGTGATTGGGAGGAGAGTGGATCCTGTCGTTGAGGTCTGCAAGGGCATCGCGGACATCCTTGAGACCAGCACCAGCACCATACGCAAAGGCGGTACGAAGGCTCAGAGCGCAGGGCTCGTCCTTATATGAAGCAATGATATTTTGCTCTCCAGTGCCAGACCTCCATGATTGCACGGGGTCATGCTCGTCAATGGAAGGAACGACAAAATTCACCTCGGATATGGGATACAACGTATGATGCGGATCACCTGCACTAAATTAGCCAGTGTGTTCGTCCTCGATGACAACTCACAAACCGTTTCCCATATTGATGGTGCCAGGTTTGACCTGAGCAGCTTTCCAGATGGACTTAATTGGATTAGGGAGCCTGGAACGGGCTTCCGCTGATAGATAGCGAGAATAGTCGACATGGCTACGCTTGAGACTGACATCGACTGCTGAAGCAGCAGAGGCAGTTGAAGGTAAGAAGACCATTATGTGCACAAGGTAAGAGGCTGAAATTCGAAGGACAGATATGCTAAATTGCGGGGTTTTCCCGTCCTCTCCCGTCTGCTTTTGAAGGATACAGGCGTGACGCGCTGGCACTGCTAGGTATTACTTCTCGATCAGGACGAATCCAAGATTGCAATGCCAGTCGTCACGTCAAGACAATTGCAGCGCCCCTGACTTTGGCTAGTCCTCAGCCTCCTTGAGTCACTTGAACTCAATTCGCATTATTGGGAATCCAAATGAACGCAGAGCGGGTGGAAATCGCCCTTTGCGGCTCTTGTCGACGAGTATAGCATTTGGAGAAACTATGCGACCAGTCGGAAATGATACTTAGTTAGCTAAATAGTTTGTTTCATCAAATTTTGCAGTACATTTAGTCTGCAATTGGTCGCTCACCTGTCGGAGGTGGGTAACCGGTAACGCACTGCGCAACTATAGTATTAGTAGTGTGAACCGGGGTGAACTTGCATGAACCAGTCCATATTTTAATTTAAACTCCGCAAACATCGCGTCGAGTCCAATTGGAGTCTGGTGCGATCCACAGCGATCCACTGGCGCCGTGGCATCGATGATCGGGCTACCATGCTAACGCTATGCTTCATCGATCCTCACCACATGCTCTCGATTCCAACAAATGTACTAACGGCCTGGGTGCTACTATAGGTTGCTACAACTCCGTAGTCCTTCTGGCACCTGGCGACGGTCTATGTAGCAAGCAGCAAAACCTTCAGGAACTCAGTGCGCTCGTCCAAATGCTTCCGGTGGTTACGGATCTGCGACTAGCTTCGGGGCTTGTAACGACAGTCAGGGAGGCTAGGAAATATATCTCAAAGATAGGAAGCCTAAGGAGCAGGAGGTGCTCATACAGATAATCGTCAGTGCGATTACGGTGTTCATTAACGCTGACCAAGGTAGGAGGTTGATGATTCAAAGTAATATTATTCTGACAAATAATGAGTCAACAGTGACGGATCGAGGGCGACACAACCATTCCATTTTGACTTCTGTCCAAAAAAAAATTTCCCCTGTAAAGATTTGTATGCCACGTCTGCAAAATTGTAGGACTGATCAGATCGTTATCCGGAGCATCGCGTTCCCTTGATGCTGTCCGACATCGCACCTCACACGCACGTGTCGTAATCAACTTTTACCTCTAGTACACCATCCAAACCAACTAGACGTCAAAGCACAAGGGCGGCAACAGGGTGGGCTTATCAATCTGAATGTAGCTGACATTTCCTAGAAGGTCTGATGGGGCTAGGGACAATTGGTTTGTCCACCCCATCTCTGGAAACTCGCACGGAGTCGCAGGTACTACGGCACAGTGCGTACTGAGAATATGTGCATCATAATCAAAGTTCGAGAGATGGACCTAGTCGGCACTTAGCCACTAATGGCATGCAGCTTCCACTCTTACTCCTATAATTTAGGCTTCAGGTTCATGTGCTCAACCACTTCCACACTAAATTTATACCATGGCGGTCCCACCACAGGCTTAGACGTTGGCAGCTGCTTGGGATAGCATAGCTCCAATCCATATTCCCTGATGAGTGATAGTACCATTTATTATCATATTCCGCATTGTCTCATCATCTGCGCCACGTTCAGTCCTTGTCGCTGGGGTTTTCAGTCTCCCAAAGTCTTGGGCCATTCGCGGTGATCTCCGTCGACGCCGCACGTTCATCCATTCTGTGAGAACAAGCCTTACACCCCTGTGTAGACCCGGCTCTTTCACAATGTGCATTTGAATCGTCTTACTGGCTTAGTGTTAAAACTATCTCGTAATATCCATTTGGTCATCTTGTGCACATTCGCCAATTATCAATTGGAACAATAACGCCTGCCTTAGTAATGGCTTGCGGCGCACAAAGTCCCTCTGCGGCACAAGTCATTTGCTTATAGCAGCGTAGGATTTTTAACATTACAACTGGCCTGCAAGGTACGCATAGTTCACTTCGCAGTATACGTCAACTAGCTGATTCTGCATGTCTGATAACCATCTGGCACATTCAACGAATTGGCTTTGTAACTGTTTGGGGAGCAATACATGTACAACAATAGTATGTAAATGCCATACGGAGCTCAGAGCTGAATTGCATGATAGACTAGTAAGAATCTCTACCTCCTGTTGGCCTGTCTTCGTGTAGTTACATCTTTATGTCATTGGGTCAAGATCAATCGAGTACAGACACGCCGTGAGAAGGATATTTGGGCATTTTGAAACGTCACATTCGCAAGAGCCTGTCCTGATGGTAACAAAACGGTCTCGGGGAGCTCATGAAGTAATATTCCCATGTCGCATATCACGGAGACTACACCAAACGAATAAAGGGGTGATATCCTCGAAGCCCTAATGCATTTACTATAGCTACTAGCAGTGCCGGAAAACGTGTATGAGAACATCAGACAACGGAACGTGCACAACGTAATAGATAACTTTCAACGATGATGGTGTGGCGCTCTAAGAAATGGAATAGAGATCTTCGATCATACAGATGGGCCACAGGTACGTGGGTCCAATCGTAACCCCGGGCCAGTTTCTGCAATCAAAATGACCAGTCACTATTGATCTCTGGGGACGGTGCTAGTGGTTATATAAGGACGCCTCACACTGGTACTATCTCCGAATCATCCTCAGAGCCTCGGCTCACAGGGAGGCCATATGTAAATGAAGTGATGCGTATGTGCACGTGGTGATATAGTAACAAGGAACGCAGCTGCTAGCGCCTCAGATCTAGGAGAAACGACAAAGTACTAGTACAAGTTCAACAGAGCACCAAAATTACAAGCAACATAACAGAGAGACTCATTGACAGTAATAGTTTCCTTCCATATTATCAGGGTGATCCCCTACACGAGCTCCCCTCGCCGAGGCTTGATGCGGCTGCCCGAGTACTCTATTTCTCTATCATGACGATTCATCAGTACTTAACTTTGTGTTTTAATGAAGATAGGGTTAACGGGGCACATACCTGTGAAAGACCACGCTATCACCCCTTGGCTCAGAGCTGGGCCGATCATGACTATCTGCAGGATCTGGATCGTGCATGCTACTGAGATATAGCACCCAAATCATTTTTTGTCTGGTAAGCAACATGTAACAGCACGCACTCAACCCAAGGAGCGCTGAATACATATATAGCGAGCACAGCGAGAAAAACCAATGTTAAATATGTTATTGCAGTCAGAATTTTCACAAAGAGCTTGTCGGAAGTGAAACCAGCTATAAAGACAGCTGAAAGTATTTTTGATATTACAGACTTCAGATGAGTACGTGCGCACAAACCTGTCAGTAAAGCCAGTGTTGAGACTGCTAAAGCCAGGGAAGGATAGGCCATCAATATAAGGGAGCATACGAGGCGCAGGCGGGATCGCTTTAACGACTGGTGGTTGTTATTACTCGAGCATGAAGAGTGTATGAAAGGCAAATGACACACTTTCAATATCCGTTTCATATCTGCATTTCCATAACAAGTATCATAGATGATGAGGACAGAAGTTCCAGTCATCAAACTGATCAACGCAGCTACAAAAGATGAAACTTGAAGGATATACGACCCTGAGCATATGTCAACCCAACGAAGTTTGAAGAAGAGGATCCGGAAGTTCACCATGCTGAAAAAATTGTTAGCTTTCAAATCCCGGGGAAATAGAACAGGTGCATACGCTTGCGTAGGGCATAAGAGGTTGAAATGCTAAGAATAGTAGATTAGAATTTTGTAGACTTCGTACAAGACAAAGAGTACTTACGAGGTTGAGTAGATATAAAAACAGCACTTGTGGTCAAAACCTATTCAATGAAGTCAACCACGTTCCTTAAGCCTTTCATGATATCAGTACCAGACCCGCCTGCAAATAAGTTTCAATGACTGACGGAACATACTACTGATACTTACCGTGACGTTCATGTTTCCTAATCGATCTGTCACCATTTTCTTATGTTCTACCCATTCCTCCTTTTTCTGACCATTTATGAGGTCATCCCAGTGGTCGACCGATGGCTTCGATATAGCGATCATACACAACGCCTTAAAGCACAGACACCAAAAGGGATGTCGTGGTGGATCATACCATAACGGCTGAGTCTTATCCGACTCAGGACTTCGAGATGGAACAGGTGCCGCACTTGGGGATACAGTGGCGTCTGTCATAGAATGAGTGGAATCGTGGAGAATAGTATCTACGTTACACGTATGAGTACTTCAAGAGCATGGGGGACACGCGGAAGCCAGCAAACAGTAAGCAGAACAGGGAGTGCCGGTAACTTTCTTTGCCGGCTTCGATTACGGGAGGTTCACATACTAGTAGGTGACTTCCCGTAATATCTGTGAAAGTTTTGGTCGGATAAGTATTTGGACAAAATCTGTAAACCACCGGGTCCATAAAACACTTGTAATTACGTACCCACCCTGATGCCCAGTGAAAATCGGTCGGACGCCCTCGCACGGAGATCGACGGATTTGTAAGTTTGGAGTAGTCGGTAGACCTAGATCGATGGAAATCCAACTTGTGCACACAAACGTTGAACAACATGTGTACGATTTGAGCAGTACATGCTCAATGCTGCAAGAAATCCCTCGTACAGTTCAGCATGTTCAACTCAAAGTGCACATCTTGTCGAGCAGTGTTCCGCAGCAAATGGTCCGTGCGCGAAATCCAACTTCAATGTTTCAACTCGCTCGTATATACTCATGTCTTGTGACTTGGAGTTTCAACGAAACTCTTCTCCTCTCCCATCACTGCTAGTATCATCTCACTCGCGGTAACACAGCACGCCCGCTCTTCTGGCATTTTTCTGCCAATGTCTCCAGCCTGGTGGGTGTCAGTGTCTTACTTTTCGAATTCACTACAATCGACAGCCATCTCAACACAATCTCGCTTTTTCTACTACACCACAGCCGCAGATCTCCTGGACAAACAGAGATTTTTCTTGTCAAATGATGTGAGTTCGTTGCCTTGGTTGTGTTGTACTCCGCAAAGATAAATACATTCAAAACAGAGCGCATATAATCATTCATTCAACCCAATCCTCTAGTAACAAGCTCGAAATGAACAGCTAATGGTCTTGACATGTCTCGTGCCATACTAGTGCATTTTTTCACCCTAACGACACCGCATACTAGTACCACGGCCAGGCAAGTGAATTCATTGTATTCTAGTCACTCCTACTCACTCATTTATATGTCGAAAGGTCTGTCATCATTCCCGCAGCACATTCTATAACTTTCGAAGATCCATTGCAAGTCTACTAGTTACGAACTTTTTGCCTTCGCTAACCAGTTTGCAGCAAAGGCGCCATGAAACTTTTGAAGCAGAAACGTGAAGACTCCATGAAACGGCCCCAAACATCGAATCGTAGATCTACCACCACGATGGCAATGCTATCACCTCCGATTCATGACACCACTTCGACTTCTTCAGCGCCTGCCATTCGTGCTGTCGTCGCCGCACCTATAAATACCAAGAGATTCCGTCCGGCTGCCACCAAGAACGGCCTGAGGTGAGTGTAGCACCTTGTTCTGTTTTCCGATAACGCAACATTTTCCTTAGAAATCTTTGCGCTCATCGCTGGCTGAAGCAGCTATAGTAATGCCGAACGGATCCTCGCAAGACTTCAAGGTATATTGGGACTCGCTCGAGAAGACCCGTCAAGCGGTATCTTTTTTCATTCTTCTTATCGTGTTCTAGTCTACTAATTGTAATACCTACTACTGCAGAGCTACGACATCGAGGCTTCGAATCTGGTAAGTACCGATCCTATTTCTGCTGTGCACTTATTCGTGTCTTTTGTTTAGGTTGCCGACAGTGTGTGGACTGCGAACACAGTCGACGTTCTCGCGAAATTATCTGGTGGCACGTTGCATTAGCTAGGCGCTGGGTATCGTGAGCAGGGGTGGGTAGTAGGACGGAGGAGCTGGTGCGAATGGGCGGGCGGGTAGCCTATTTTTATAGTGTTTTCTCGTTGTTTTGTTGCAGTCTAAATGCATTGTTTTCCGTCATTTTGCGTCGATACAATCTGAGAAGCAACATCCATTCAAATCTACGGAAATATAACTACTCGATGTTTTGTATACTGGCGTCAATCAGCGTCGCTACCGGTCGTCTGAGTATCGACGGAACACGCCATTTGTCGATGCTCATATACGGACATCCAGCTGTTCAGGTTCCGTCGATTTCCGTTGTTCTCCGTGCGAGGGCGTCCGATCGATTTTCACTGGGCCTGATGATCCAGGTTGAACGTTGAACGTTGATCATCGCGCATTGAAATATTGATGGCCCGTGTGTTTATCATTCCACGTAATTTTCAGCAAGCTCCTCAACCACATCACAGGAGGAACTCATTGTAATTTAGCAGCGTTGTCGCTGTTATCAAGACGGCACCTGCGAGAGCGGGTAGGGCTGAATAAATCTCGTACCGTGGATTTTTCTCGAGGTTAGGGTCATGATCATTGTCAAAAGGCTGCAGAATCTATTATGATATAGGTTGGCTTGAAACCTGCAAGAAAAGGCCACAAAACGGCCATGATCACGCTTTCAAGATTAATTTGTTTACCAAAATATTCTCCTGCGCTATCCATAACCTTCGACCAGAGTTTTATACAACTTCAAATGCACACTGGCAGGGTCTATATCAGCTTTGAAGTTCTCGCCGGGTGGTGCTGTATTTCCGGGCGTTCAATAGGATAGCTTCATTAGTACATTGCGTCATCCTCACCAGTAAATAGAGTGATAAGCATGATGCTGTGGTGATATAACTGATATTATGGCAACAGTAAATGTAGCCTACTATGACCGCCGTGTGCTCAGGCTATGTCAAGACTGACGTCATAGTAGGCCGGCATTAATGTAGATTCACTTCACTAGACTCTGGGTGACTATCGTAGCGAACAGAAACTATCAACCCATTATGATAAGAGTGATAGAAATGGTGGTTCGCGATCAACAAAATACTGTGTCGCAGCTACTGGATACAACTGTCCCCGCGCACTGCAAAGTGTATGAATTTCTCGAGTAGTAGACAATGCGAGGCGCTGGTAAAATCAACAACATAACAAATGAGCCATCAACAGCAACGTGACCATCTATACTGCTAGCTAATGAGGTGATCCTTCTTCTAGACTGGCAGCTTGCCAGTGCCTCAGGCTTGCTCCTAGGCTGGCATGGCATCGGCATTGCTATGGGCAGCACTAATAGGGCCCAAATTAATTTCTGGTTGTTAGGTGATATCTGAGAGCACATACTTTTTCATGTGAGCTATGAATACGTATATTGCGAGGATTATAAGGAGAAGGACCGTTCCACAGATTGCTGCAATCAGGGATTTCACGAAGACTTTGTCAGATGCGAAGCCTGCAATAAATATGGCTGAACAGGTTTTGAGAAAGGCGACTTGAAACCAAACGCGGACACACAAACCTATCATTAAAGTCGCTGTCGAGAGTACCAGAGCCAGTGAAGGAAACGCCATCACTACAAGGCAGCATATAAGGCGCGTGCGGGATTTCTTGAACGACTGATAGTTGCTATTACTCAAGCCTGAAGCTGTATGAAGGAAGGCAAATGACGCACTCCCAATATGTCTTCGTGTGCATAGCAAGGGTCGTAGATGATGACGACAAAAGTACCAACGATCAAACTGATCAACGCAGCTACAAAAGAGAAAATCTCGAGGGTATATGACCCTGGGCACACGTTAGCACAACGAAGTGGTCAGGGGAGGAACTCTACCATGCTGAAAAACTTGTCAGTTTCGACATACGGGCATGATAAGAAAGGAGATATGCTTACATTTTCGTAGGGAAGAGATTGGATTGCTGAAAAATATAGGTAGGTTAGATTTTCGTAGTCTTCCTACAAGACAAGAATGACTTGCGAGGAGGGGTGGATATAAAAACAGCACTTGACGTTAAGACCTATGCAACGAAGTCAGCCACAATCCTCCAGCACCTTATTCACAGTTTTTTTTACCAGACCAGCCTGTATACAAGTTTGGGTAACGGAAGGGACATACGACGGACGCTTACTGTGATGTTCATGTTTTCAAACCGCTTCAACACCATTTTTTTATGCTTCTCCCATTTCTCGTCTGTAGGATTTTTTCTGAGCTCTTCCCAGTGTTCGACTGACGACTTCGATATAGCGACTATACACAACGCCTTAAAGCAGAGACGACCAACAGCATTTCTTGGCAAAGCACACCATTTGGAGTCATGGAGAAGGTTAGTGGTGGAGGCTGTCGTCGAATACGTAGACATGGGCAGATACTGAGAATATTGCAGCATAGTGTTGCATGCATATGTATATAGCACTGACATATAGGCAGTTCTATAGGGACTGATAGACGCGGCAGGAAGTAGGCTGCGAGTAGAGCAGCAGAGTACACGAAGCAATCTTCATTAGCGGCTTCAGTTACTAGAATGTCACATACATTGTTCCTTAAACGGAAGCTCGCCAATGATGAGATACGAGAAGTATGGAAGTATACACAGAACATTAATTTGTCCATTATGAGCCCGCAGGATCACAACCACAAAGTCCAGGGTTCAAATCGCTGGACAGGTTAGCGTGGCGTCTAATCATAGCGCTTCATCGATACCAGCTGCGCAGAGGCCACAGCCAATACACTCCAAACATGCTGGTAACACAAGTCAGGGTTGTTGCAATGGAAGTGGAATAGTTCTGCTTACCGAGCCCACCACAACATGCACACAAGTAGCACGGGCAACATAGGGGATTCTCAAAGGCGCCTACGTAATAAACATGAGGCAATAAGCGCTTTGAAGAGTGTTCAAACTTCAAGCCAACCTTTGCAGCACCAGAAACTGAGCATTACGGCGGCTAGCAGGACGAGGACAAGGCCGACGAAAATAATAATTAGGTACACTGAAGTGAGTGTCAGAAAGAACAATGAGCGAAGACATTGTTGCCCTACATTTTTTGCTCGTGAAGCTACTAGTGGTTTGGCGCTTGTCCAAAACGCCACTGACATGTCCGTGATTAAGTCCAAGGGCTTCTAACAGATCACCAATCTCCGAGCAATGGGAAATGATCAGAAAGGCGCCTATGGAGAGAAGGGAAAGCGCTATAGGAAGGATAATACGTCGCAGCCTCGATTTGTGGCAGGCACGATGTGATGCTGAAGGGCATTCACACGGATAATTTAGATTGTGGTCGTTGTGTTGACATGTAAGACTTCTCTTCTCGTGAGTTGTAGGAGGACCATACATGTCCATAGTGCTTGTATTGGGCTGGCTGGAGATCAACTTGAAAGACATAATGGTTGCTGGCAAGGTGCGCTACTGCGGCAATTTGATGCTACACAACATAGCCACTCTGGATCAACAACTATGCCGAATTCGGACATTCAATATCAATATTCACTGGCAATGTTCATTGAAGTTGCATGCAAACTTTACGGTGCCGACTCCATGACCACATGCGCACGCATCATGCAAGTAAGTGTGTCGCACATCACAGAGTGTGGCTGTGGCAGTCCATGTCAATCTGGAAAATTCCGGAAAGCGTCTATGTATCTTTTGATGAAATGTACGTTCAGATCATCGCGCTCACAATGCATCTGCTAGCCTTTCAGTGCTCAACTCATTAGCAGGACTAGTCTGTGTGGAAAAGATAAAATGTCCTAGCGAGCGAGCGATCGAACATAATAGTATATCAATTTATCAATCCTGATTCTAAAATAACTGCAAAGGCCCAACACCGCAACCGCAACTAGAACCGCAACACCAAACTTCCGCAGCCCTATTCTAACGGTGATTCGCTTTTCGCCCAACGCTCCAGCAGCATCAATTGCAGCAATATCCTCTTTTGAAAGCTCTGCCATGTAAACATGTAAGGTCACTGACTTACCAAATCACTCCTCAAAATGGCACTCACCAATATCGCCTGCATCTTGATAGCCTTCTAAACGTGTCTTCTTGGAGCTGGTTCTAGAAGAGCATTAAGATTTGATGATCGACATTGGAAAACGAAGTGGAACCTACGTGACGATAACGGCGCCTTTAGCCTTTGTCCAAGCGAGAAGCACCTGATCTGTAGTTGCCCCAAGTCGAGTGGCGATCTCGTTCAGTGGAGCGTCTAACGGGCCACTGGGTTCCTTGGTGAGTGGTCTGCATCCTCACATCAGTCGCGTGTGCGTGATGCAATACAAATTTCCCACCGGAGGGCGCTGTACGCCTCAATGACAATGTCATGTTCAGCAGCATACTCCACTATAGGCGCCTGTTGCAAGTAAACATAGGGATGGAGAAGGATCTTTCTCGAAGGTCAGAACCCTGCGATCAAATTGCATCGTGTTGTTCTCTTACCTGGTTCACAGCAGGTTTGATTTTCGCAGACTCCAACAGAATTTCCAAATCTTGTACACCAAAGTTACTTACACCAATACTCCTATGTTCATTAGCGGTGAGCCAAAATAGCAAATAAGGTTGTTGCAACATACTTTGCCAGTCCATCCTCCACCACCTTCTCCATTTCCGCCCACGCTGTTGGGATGGCCGGTACCGCGAGGCGTGGGTTATGAATCAGGTATAGGTCTACGTAAGGTGTTCCGATCTGGTACCATTAGCATCTAGACTAACCGGTCGTGCTGAGTCACTCACGTTGTTGACGCTGTTTCTGATCGCAGTAGGAATATCCAGCCCGTCGAAGCCAGAGTATTTAGTCGTTATGAATACATCTCCGCGCGACAGACCACTTTCATGAAGAGCGATGCCCACCTCACCCTCATTTCTGTACCCCTGAGCGGTGTCTACAAGATTCTCAGACTTTCATACAACTGCAATGCTCAGTGATGCTTGCCAATGTGGTAGTATTGCGCGTCGAAAGCTTGCGCGATCTGGTCGATGGGACCCTGCCCGTTCCCAAGGGTCCATGTACCATAAGCAATGCTCGGCATAACGTAACCTGATGCCATTGAGTGAACAGGAATTATTCCACCTCATTTGAACTTACCGGAATTCAGCGTGACAAGATCCCAAGTCATAGTTGCAATACCGCTAATCAGGCTTGGGTAGGATGGTTGCCAACTAAGAGGCTGTATGTGAGACGACTGTATCGCAAAGGCCCAGCCTCCACCCATTTGGGTGAGAAGAGGAGGATATGAATAGATACACTTGAGGCTAATCTTAGTATCTCATTCGTATCATATATGATGCATTGATGGTCAATGCTTTCTTTCCAGCACTACTGTACACAATTCCGGGCTGGTCAGATATAACACTTGCCGAGTACATAAAACAATGCAAAGCACTAGTTCAAAGCAACACAAACATCTTAACAAATAAGACATCGACGGCAACATATCCGTTCATACCACCAGCTAATGGCACAACCCTCCCCCTAGACCTGACGGCTGCCCGAATGCTCTGGTTTTCTGTGATCATTAACACTCAAATTAGTTTTCGAATCAAGCAAGATGAATGGGAGGCACGTGCTCGTGAGAAATTCCGCTATCACGGATATCTGTGGTATGATTATTTTCTTCTTCGTGTGAAGCAATCCTGATAGCACAACACCCAGATTAATTTCTAGCCAGTGAGTGACATGTAAAATCACGTACTCCTTTATACGGTCGCTGAATACATATACCGCGAGTGCGCCGAGGAAAATCAGTGACAAATAGGTTGTTGCAGTCATAATTTTTACGAAGAGTTTGTCGGATGTGAAACCAGCTATAAAGAAGGCTAAAAGGGTGTTGGTATTAACAACTCAAAACTGGGACGTGCATACAAATTTACCTGTCATCAAAGTCAAGGTCGAAACTGCCAGAGCCAGGGACGGATACGCCATCAGTATAAGGCAACATATGCGACGCGAGCGAGAATCCATTAACGACTGGCAATTACTGTTACTCAATTCTGAAAGGCATATGAAGGTAAAAGACGCACTTTCAATACCCGCTCATTTGCATAGCAAGTGTCATAGATGATGAGGACAGAAGTACCAATCATCAAACTGATCAACGAAGCTACAAACGAGCACAGTTGAAGGATATACGATCCTATGCACACTTCAACATAACGAAGTCTCACGAAGAGAAAATGTACCGTGCTTGAAGAACTTATGAGTTTCCAAGTGCCGACGGAAGGCAAACAAAAGGTACTCACACTTGCATAGGGCATAAGAGGGTCAAATGCTAAGAATAACCGGCAGATTAGGATTTTGTAGGCTTCCAACAAGATAAAAATGACTTACGAGGTGTAGTAGATACAAAAACAGCAGTTGTAGTCAATACCTATTCAATGAGGTCAGCCACGTTCCTCGAGCAGCTTTTCAAAAATTTACCAGACCCGCCTGTAAACAAGTTTCAATGACTGAAGGAGCATACCGCCTATACTTACCGTGATGTTCATGTTTTCAAACCGATTTACCACCATTTCCTTGTGTGCGATCCATTCTTTCTTTATCGGACGCTCTATGAGGTAATGCCAGTGATCAACCGTCGACTTTGATACAGCGATCAAGCACAACGCCTTATAGCAGAGGCGCAGAATAGTATTTTCTGGTAGAACATCGTGCCATGGTTCGCCATTGTTCATGCTTGGGCGCGCAAGGGACGTGGGACGAGATTCAGGGGGTGAGGTACTAGATGATCTAGTGGGGGTTGTCGTAGCCATGGGTAGAATGACCAAGAATAGTATACCAGCGTTGGATGTATATATACTTCGGCAGCATGTGAGATGGTCCTACCAGGATCTGATACAATCGCGGAAGCGAGAGCAGAACAGCCGCGAGGAGAACGCAAAGATTGCGGGTAATCTTCGTTGACAGCCTCGGACGCTGGAATGATATATACATACGCAGTGTTCTATAAAATAAAAGCTCACATTGTGAATACTAGATGTATGAAAGTCTTATCCATTTCAAGACAGTTAAGTTCACAGAACCATAACCACAGTGCTCAAATCGCTTGAGGCTAGGTTGCAGATAAAGGCTGATCCCCATTACGCAGAGGCCGCAGCTAGGGCACTCTAAACATGCTGGCAACATAAGTTAGGGTCGCGTAAGATAGAAGTGGTATAATTTTGCTCACCGAGGCCACCATAACACGCACGCAAGTGCAAGGGCAACACGACATGTAGAGATTCTCAAAGGCGCCTGTGTAGAAACATGAGGCAAAAAGTGCTTTCAAGAGTGCTGGATCAAAGGCCTTTCCAGCACCAGACTCGATCGATCATTGTAGCATAATGACTCGCGACCGTGACCAAGTACAAGTGCTCTCAATAAATCACCGACTTGTGAGTAGTGGAAAATAACCAGGAAGGCGCCTATGGAGAGAAGGAAAAATACTAGTCACCAGGAAAGATTATCGGCGCCGCACTTTGTTGCAGGCAGTGTCTGTCGCTGAAGGAAAATCACATGGGCAGTGATTCAAATTGTGATCACCGTACGTGTTTACATTAAGGTTGCATTGAGGATTTCTCTTCTTGTTGCGAAAGGACTATGCATGTACGGCTGCGCTGGATCATATGTGACCGTCTCAGTCAGGGCCCTGAGAGCCATTTCCGAATCTGAATCCGAATTAACCAAAATTTTAACATTTTCGCTAAGGTTAACTTCAAATTGAACGCTACTGACATCAAACTGACATGCACTGGCAGTCTGGCAAGTACTTATTATGTGCAGCACATTGCACTAGCCTGAAGCTAAAACAGCAAATGAGGTTTGTCGTAATATGCTTAAAGTTAACAGTCACTCCTTCACCACTTTCACCAATTCTGCCCACGGGCGTCAGGATGTCCGGTACCGAGGGGCTGTTTCTGATCGGATTCGCAGTAGGGATGTGGAGAACAGAGTAATTTGTTGCTTCTGTGAAGAGCAACATTCACCTCGATCATTTCCGTACCCTTGAACGGTGTCTACAAAACACTTGAACCTTGAGGGTTCATACAATGGCCGTCATCGCGATCGCGATGCTTATTGCAGCGGAGGGGATCCGAAGGCGACCTTCATCGGGTAGGAGAAAAGACATAAATATATACTGATCTTACATATATCATGATGGTCAATTTCTCTCCAGCACCTCTACAACGTTGCTCCGCTTGCCTCGACCTTTGAAATAGCTGCAGGCAACCAAGATCAGAATCCCAAACAAAACGCCCACCCCGAGTTTACGCAGCCCATGTCTGACCGTGATTCCTTTCTCACCGATAGCGCCCGCAATATCAATTCTCTTGACGTCCTCTGCAGATAGTTCTGTCGTAATGCATCAGACCTGCAACATGGTCTGTCATTTGCAATAAAGTAACTCGCCAAGATTTCCAGCGGAGAGGTAACTTAGAAGACGCGCTTTTTTAGAGCTGGTACTGCCGGGTTTCGACGTCAACAACGTCACTCCTCAACCGATTCATAAAGACACACGTCACCACGACTGCACCTTTTGCCTTGATCCATGCAAGGAGCACCTGGTCAGTAGTAGCTCTAAGCCTCGTAGCGATCTCGTTTAAAGGGGCGTCCACTGGACCTCCTGGCTCGCTTGTGACAGGCCTTCAAATATCATGAATAGGCTTTCAAATAATCTTGGAAATCATCGCACGTTAAAGCACCGTATGCCTCGATCACGATATCGTATGTAGCGGCGTACTCCAAAGTGGGAGATTGTTGCTGGTAATTGTAGGGATGCAGGTAAATCTACATAATGGAGCGGCCGCGCCTTGAATTTTGGTAACTGCTCGTAATCGGTCCATTTACTTACTTGATTAGCAGCTGGCTTGATCTTTGCGGACGACAGCAGAATCTCTAGCTGCTTCTCATTGAAGTTGCTCACGCCAATGCTCCTGCGGTCGGTGTCAGCTTCCGAATTCGATGAATTGCAAGCACAGATAACTACCTGGCGAGACCTGCTTCTTGGACTTTTTCCATTTGAGACCAAACAGTTGGTATGTCTGGCACAGCTATATCCGGGTTATGAATGAGGTACAGATCGACGTAAGAAGTGTTCAACTGTGATTGTTAATCGACGTCTTCCCACACATACAATACATGACTGCTACGCACGTATTCCAGACTATTTCGAATTGAAGTCGGGATATCGAGTCCATTGGAGCCAGAGAACTTTGTTGTGATGAATACGTCGGAGCGCTCTAGCCCAAGTTGGCCGATGGTGATGCCAACCTCGGCCTCATTTCCGTAAAGCTGAGCGGTATCTGCTTGCTATTGGCAGGGATGCGACGGTCAGTTTCTGTTGTGCTCACCAATATGATAGAATCCTGTATCGAAGGCCTGTGTGAGCTGATCTATTGGCCACTGGCCACTTCCTAGCGTTCCAGTCCCATATGCGAGGCTCGGAATGCTATATCCTGCTCAATGATATTGAGTGACTTTATGTGAGCGTCACTGTATCGTTGAACACACCGGAGTTCAAGGGGATCAAGTCCCAAGGCATTATTAACGTGTTCTCGTATTGACTAACCTTGCAGGATATTACTCTGAGTCGCTTGTCCGTTGTCACCTGTGAGAAGGCACTGGGACCGTGACAGGGCTTGTGCCCATTGACGAAAACATAATGCAGACATTACTCACATGACCTATTCTCACTTAGCTCCACGCGAAGGATCTGAGAAATGGTTCTATTTGAGTCGCTGATCCGCAGCCTGAGACATTTTTGCTGAATTAGAAGCACAACTTGAAGGTGAGCCAGGACTTGCGACATGTGACCACTTGCCGAACGCCAAACGATAACTGTGTATCATGCAGGTACCGAAGAATTTACATATATCATAGGAAACCCTTCTTGATTAACATGGTCTCTACATTTACTTTTCCTCGCCCAAGGCACCCGCAGCGTCGATGGTAGCAATATCCTCCGAAGACAAAGCTACAGCATGTCGTTTAGAATTACTTCAAGTAGTTGATCCAATGAAACTCACTTATATCACCTGCCGCGATGTAACCTTGCAGGCGCGTCTTCTTTGAACTTGAGCTGAACGGAACACCGTCAATGGGAAACTTGCAAGATACTACATGTAAACTCACGTGACGACGACGGCCCCCTTGGCTTTGGTCCACGCCATGAGGATCTGTTCGGTCGTTGCACCAAACTTTGCGGCTATTTCGTTCAATGGTTTGTCCAAAGGACCACCAGGTGACTTTGTGATGGGGCTAGGGATGATAATCAGCACGAACGTATGTGTTAGGGAGTCTGAAATTAACTAACATCAGCGCGCTGTAAGCCTCGATGATAATTCCATTCTTCGCGGCATACTCAAGGATAGGTTTTTGTCGCTCATAGACATATGGATGAAGGAGAATCTATGCCAAATTTTCACTAAAGTTCAATTCAGCTTTGGACCATTCGATGTTGCATACCTGATTGACCGTAGGTTTAATTCGCGCAGATGCTACCAAAGTCTCCATGTCTTTGACGCCAAAGTTACTGATACCAATGCTCCTGCGATAACAAGTCAGATTGTCATACAGCTCCACTTCGCAAGTCATTCACTTAGCAAGACCGTCATCCTGGACCTTTTCCATTTGCGCCCAACATGTGGGGATATCAGGTACTGCCAGGCGTGGGGCGTGGACCAGATAGAGGTCAACGTCCGATAGCCCAAGCTATGTGACCGTAAATGTCATAAAAGCACTGGTTCCAAGCTAAAACAAAACATACGTTGCTCAAACTGTTCTTGATGGAAGTCGGGATATCAAGACCGTTTGTACCGGAGTACTTGGTTGTCACAAAGACATCTGAACGAGAAAGTCCGGTCTCCTTCAAAGCAACACCGGTTTCTTCTTCATTCTTGTAGGCCTGCGCTGTGTCTGCACGATAGGATTGGTGTCGTCAGAAGCTGTCGCTCGGAGACACCTAGGGATCGAGGGCTCACCAATGTGGTTGTATCCACTTCCCAGAGCTTGTTTAACCTGGTCGACAGGTCCTTGGCCATTACCTGTCTTCCAAGTACCGAATGCGATACTTGGCATGTAATGTCCTGACATATTCCCCTAGTCAGTACTGGTTCGGAGGTGATGAAAGAAACACCGACCAGAATTCAGCTTGATCGGCTCCCAAGGCATCGCGACAAATGATAGAGGATTACTTTGAAGGACTTGGAAAAGAGGATGGGTTTATGTGCGTGAACGAACAGTTGATTAATATTCAATTTGGCATCCAATGGGCACATGCTTATCATGCACATGAGTCCTAGCGATATGAATAGACCCAGCATGCTCTGACATAGATTGGTGGATCATGGGGTTTGTCTATCTGGAATAAATGATTGTGAACAAGTGTGGTTCAGACATAACGATGGGAAACTTCTGAAAATGGTTTTATTTGACTAGTCATGCAGCATGCGGTATTTTTGCTGGACTGGCTGAATGATGAACAAGTACTAGAGACATTTGAGCAGTTATCAAAGGCTAACAATCACTTTACATCATGCTAATGCCGAAGAAGTTGCATGCACCAAAGACTGCGGTGCAAGCAATCGCTCCTACGACAACCCTTTTAATACAGTCTTCATGTTTACTTTTTTCTCGCCCAAAGCGCCTGCAGCGTCAATGGCAGCGATATCCTCCGCAGACAAAGCTAACGCAGATTGTTGAGAAGCAGTTACAACAGTTGAACCAATTGAACCCACCTATATCACCTGCCGCGAGGTAGCCTTGCAGACGCGTCTTCTTTGAACTTGTGCTAGATAGGCTTCTGTCAATGGGAAACTCTAAGATACCACATATAGACTCACGTGACGACAACGGCCCCCTTGGCTTTGGTCCACGCCAGAAGGACTTGTTCAGTCGTTGCACCGAACTTCGCTGCGATTTCGTTCAACGGTTTGTCCAAAGGACCGCCGGGTAACTTTGTAATGGGGCTAGGGATGGTAATCAACACAAACAGTATATCAGAGAGCCTGAAGATAACTAACATCAACGCGCTGTAGGCCTCGATGATGATCCCATTCTCCGCAGCATATTCAAGGATGGGTTTCTGTCGTTGATAGACATATGGATGAAGGAGAATCTATGTCCAGTTATGAGGAAAAGTCTTGGACAATTTTGATGCTACACACCTGATTGACCGCAGGCTTGATTTTCGCAGATCCTAACAAAATCTCCATGTCTTGGACGCCAAAGTTGCTGATACCAATGCTCCTGTGGTCGCAAGTCAGACTACCATACGGCACTATCTCGTAAATCATTTACTTAGCAAGTCCGTCCTCCTTGACCTTTTCCATTTGTGCCCAACATGTTGGGATGTCAGGTACTGCCAGGCGCGGGGAATGGACCAGATAAAGATCAACATACGATACCCCAAGCTATTTAGCAGTAACTTAGTCATGAGAGCACTGACTCCAAGCTAGGACAGAACATACGCTGCTGACGCTGTTCTTGATAGAAGTTGGGATGTCAAGACCGTTTGTACCGGAGTACTTGGTTGTCACAAAGACGTCTGAACGAGCAAGTCCGCTTTCTTTCAAAGCAACGCCAGTCTCTCCTTCATTCCTGTAGGATTGCGCAGTGTCTACGGGATAAGATTGACGTTAACATAAGCTGCAGCTGTGAGGTGCCTGGACTCGCCGATATGGTTGTACCCATTTTCCAGAGCTTGTTCAACTTGGTCGACAGGTCCTTGGCCATTACCTAGCGTCCAAGTACCGAATCCGATACTTGGGATGTAATATCCTAACATATGAGCCACCTTGTCAACGCCGGTTCTGAGGCAATGAAACAAACACCCACCAGAATTCAGCTTGATCGACTCCCAAGGCATTGCGACGAATGATAGAGGGTCACTTGGGACAGCTGGAAAAACAGTGGGTTTATGTGGTGAATGGACGGCTGGCTATTCAAATTGGTGTCCCATGGACACACGTCTACCGTACACGCGAGGCCTAGCCTATGATATGAATAGACCCAACCTGCTGACACAGGAATTGATAGCATCATGTGGTTCGGATATTGAGTTCAGGAAGGAAGGATGGGAAACTTTGGAGGACGGTCCGACTGGAGTCCGGGATACATTGCTTCCGATTACCTCACTGGTGGACATGGTTCACTCCAGTGGAAGTTCTCATATTGACGTGCTTATTGCAATGAAGATAATTCCAAGTTTACTCATTCTCTAGGATAATTTGTCGGGAGTGGTAATAGATATGTTTATAGCGTTATTTGTATCCCACTGGTGTGAACACCGAAGCACATGTGACCCTATACCGTGAGGCACGATCTACGTTTCTTCAAATTCAAGAATCTCTCGCGACCAATACACACCCTCTCTCCACCAACGGCATCCTCCCATCTCGACCTCGCGCAGTGTTGGATACCTACTATGCAAGCAACGAACAAGTTTCCGTTGCTTGACGCCTTCAGCACACTGTATGTCCTCGTTTCCCGTCAAACTATGTGATAGCCGAAGTGTCACCAGCTTGGGCGGAAGTGGGGCACGACCCTCCGCCAGCCAACTCAGAAGACCCTGAAAGGATTTTCGTTGGAGCATGGCCTTATCTGCGATTCGACGTACCTGCATGGTGTCCACAGTATCAAGTGGTTCACTAGTATAGTCGAGGCCGAACTCAGAACTTGACTCGGAAAGGGTGATGATTTCTTCCTGTGGAGATAGCGACGCATGAACGAAATTACACAGTATGAAGGCAAATATCACACTGACGGGTGTGAGCGGTGGGGGCCCTGAGATAAGACCTAAGTCCAGGCGATGAAGATCCGGAAGATGCTTCGCGATGGCGGCGAGGTTATCTAAAGTGGGCAGAAAGTACTCGATTGCTAGTTTCCTGACTGGAACTGTGGAACGTGAGATGTCGCGCACGGTCGAGACCAGCTCGGTATGGATAGCATAATCTGGTTGATCGTCATCCGTAGTGACCATCATGAGCACGAGGCAAACACAATCGACCGGTCGTCCAGGCACGATGTATGAAAGTAGGTTTGGATAACCATCGTAAGACCGAAGGGAAGACAGGGGTGGCAACGGGTGCGGGGGCGTAATGTTTGCAGACCAGGGGAAAATCCTCAATGTCGCTAGGGCAGGTGTTGCTGCAAGGAATCTGAAGAAATGGTCGCGGCTCGGGGATGTAACAAATATGCTTAGATATGTGAGGTGGGGAAAGGGCGCCATGGACGAAAGGACCGCTAGTACAGTATGGGTGACAAGAAAATCGATAAGAGTAAGTTTTTGTAGATAGGTTGGGTTACAGAGCACAGAAACCAAGCGTTCTTCGATTGAACGAGGACCGAAGTTGTCTCCAGCGATTGCAAGTTCCTTTAGCTTCAGCGGGCGCTCCAAATGAGATGAAGGCGGGAAGAGGCATGAGATGAGTCTGAGGGTGTCCAGAGCAGGCAGGCATTCGATGATAATCCATTGTTGCCTTCCAAGATTCACGCGGACAAGTTCAAGAGAACGAAGATTACGACTGCACGTCAGAAACGGAAAGATGGCATCGACCGATCTCGAGGCCAAATTCTTCTCCTGCGAGCGCGCAAAGAAGAACATGCTGTTCCTGATCGCGGGTGCAGTCGAGACCGTCCAGTCCTGAACCATGTCCCAGAGTTCACCAGCACTTGGATCTGAATAGAAACTTGTAATTCGGGTAGCAGCACGCTCGAGCATCTTAGGAGCTTTGTTCGTTGAACGGCGGACCAGGTTCTGGTTCAAGGGGAGGACCGCCAGAGATGGCAGGGTGACATTGAGCGACTGAAATATCCTAGATCTCGAGGTATACCAGAATACGCGGGACACGCCGGACACTTGGAAAAGATCCCGTCGTCTGAGATAACTCCAGCAATGATCAAGAATTTCGGAAGGCAGCCTCAGAATCGGTGGGTTCTCCAAGTTGGAGTTAAGTTTGGAGTGCTCCGTATCGAAGTTGAACATCGACCAGCGATGATAAAATACAGGTATACCACGAAAGAGAGGGGCGGACTAGTTTGATGTAGGGAGTGGTTGCGAGCAAAGTTACCTTCGCAAGACCGGGAATTTCCCCGGGAATATTCGTTTGCGTTTGTGTATGTTTGCTTATAATTAACATTCGGTCGGCATCCGGGTAACAAGAACGCTAGCAGGACACCAGGAACTCCGAGACGAATTCGAACGTTGCATGTCAAGAGTCGACAATCACCGGTGAAGACATTGTATGCAAGAGGGAGACGGCCGTAGCCTGGTTCGCCTATGACCGGGTCACAATCGGAAAGTACTTAATCGTCCTTAGGTTTTTTCCGACAATTTGGGCTCAAGGTTCTGGGAGCATTGGTCGCCCTCGTTCTGGCAGGCGATGTTCTCTACACTAAAATACATCAAGGTTACGCTTGCCTCTTCCTCCAGGACCTCCCGGATATTGTCTATTCGGAAATCCTTTACCAGGAATCGAGTGAGAACAGGAATAGAGCACTCTTTGGGTCTGTGTGGACCCTAACAGGAAACGTATCACAGCAATCTCAGCAGTTTGCTGAATATATCAACTCCTACGGGCCCATCATCTTGCTTCGGGTCGGGCATAGCAAAGTCAAGGTCATCACTGGCAGACATCAGGTAAGACAGTTCTAATACTGGTTACCACGTGCTTTCATACTCACTTGCGCAGGAATCGAAGAGGTGGTCTGCCAGCGAACCGCCCTCGCATGGTTGCAGCAGGAGAAATCTTGTCTTGTGGGCTGCGCATAACCCTTGCACTCACAGGAGAGCATTTCTGGAGACTTGGCAAGTTGTGTTGATATTTTCGCTTGGCGAATTGTTTTGCTGAAGTCGTCTCATCCAGGGCAGTGCACACTCATTTTTGGGGGAAGGTTGTAGACTCATATGCGCCGATCCAGACGGACACCACCCGTGATGTCATCCTTGACATCCTTGAAAATCATCAAGGACATCAAGCAGCTGCAAATCGGTGTGTGACACTTCGTGACTTCTTCTATAACCACTTTAACGCATTCGACACAAGATATGCCGCCTCTGTCATCCTGCGGGTCACATATAGAAAGTCCACCCCCACCACCCGAGATCATCGTCATCCACAAAATGTTCAAGCACTTCCAGATGCTCATACGGCCTAGGGCGTGGACTCCCAGTTGTTTGTAGACGAGCGGCAAAGCCGGTCCTTCGTTTACTGGGTACCTTCTTGAGAACGTTTTCGCACGAAGAAATGGCCTATGGATTACTCCAGCTCAGACACGACTGCTGTGGCGATCATGTATGTCATCATGGCTTCCGCATGTTATCCTGAGGCGCAGGAGAAAGTGTAACAGCTACTGGATATCGTCGTTGGTCGTGAAAAAGGTATGCTGAAGCTCATATTAGTGAACAAATTTCAACTCTTGGATTGCTCACTGTGCTTCGGCCGATATCATTTATAATAATATACGTTTCCACTGCTCTGGCACGATCTTCTGATTCTTATGACTGCTCGAGCAAAAAAGCATCATATTGTTTCGTGATTCGCCAGTCTCATCCAAGCATCAGTTCGCTGACTTCCTTCTTGCTTCCATCCCCCAGTACTTCTCGACGCGTGCAACACCCGACCTTCCGAGCGCAGTGGCAAAAACGGAACTGACTTCACCTGAATCGATCGGGTCAACTCTTACGTTGTCAGGTTACCTACACAGACCCCTCGACACCCAATTTATCCACATCTGCATGGGCTAAAATTCGAAGTTCGAAACCTCATCGCGGAGCAGCCTCGTTGTAAACGAGACATGATGTTAAACGAGATCTCCTACATAGAAGGCAAGTACGTGCATGAGCTGTGGTAGTACATAACGCCAAGAAGTTGTGACATATTGTCTTTCGGGTATGCATATCCGGTCCTCATGCCGCTCCTTGCGTTGCAGATGCCATCAATGATTGATGAGAGGGCCGCAACATGATGCAGGACGCCACTGATCTTCTCCCGGCCGTTACAGTTTCCGAACCGGTCAAGGCACGGTGGTCCGATTTAGATCTAGCCATTGGTCGTAAGTTCGCACAACCACCAGGGCTTGTGGACAACAGGCCGATTCAGTATATGTTGGTGATCACCATCACCAATCTCTACTGAATGGCCTGCTGAGAGTGTCTCTTTGTCGGTGCGTTTATGTAATTAGGATGCTCAAACCTTGAGCTTGAGGTATGAGGCAGGAGTGGATTGAAGCATTTCTGACGTTCGACCAGCTCAACTACCTTTATATCCGCGGAAACGTCTGAATCCTTGTACTCGTCGTGGGCCGAACGAAGTATTACAGACTGGACAATAAACCTCACCACCCTCCTCGATTCCTACGCAGGCATCTCCTAAGAAGAATCTACATGCGCGGAACCGTCTGCAGGATGGAATGCCGTAAGTGAACTCAACTTGCTGCTGGATCTTTTCTCAAGGGGACTGCAAATTTGGTGCGCACAAAACGTTCATCTCCGCACATTGCCTTCTCGTATACTCTGTTTTAATACTTAATAGTAACAAAGCAAACCTGCATGAAGCTGCCGCAACTGCAAATCCAGGTGCTACAATACTTGGGCAGAAATTTCCAAAAAAAAAAATATCGTTATGCGGGCTCCAGTGAAAGAGTTGGATCCTGACGTCGTGAACAGAGGTAATGGTCGATTAATGATGAGCAGTCAATGACACAGCGAGTCCAATTGTGACCTACGGAAGCATTCATCACGATAAGTTGTAGATTGGATGAAGCGGTCGAAAAGCACATTAATCATGGAAGACTACTGGTATCCACGATTTGCTATTGTTTCGGGGCTATTGGGTAAGTCAAGCCTCGGGTACCTGTCTTATCAAATGAGAAATATGGCATTGATCTGGGGATGTCAAAGGATGGCAGGGAAGCTCCCAAGTTAAAAGCTATGAAAATTGACATGTGCACGAGCTGACAGGCTTGAATTGGCCCTTGATCAACCCTGGATGTCTCGATCTAACCGTTTGTATGCATTGCAGGCTACTCCTCGAAAATCGAGCTCTGCGGCAACTGTCATTTCGTGGCGTTTGCTAGGTAAAACAATGCCATAATGATATCTTCGGGCACCAGGAAGGTCTTACTCACAAACAACTTATGGACTTCAGCATGACTGGAAGATGGTGGGGGACATGGATAGGCGGAGAGAGGAGGAGGAGGAAAGATATTGTAATCAATACATCTATGTTAATCGCAGGCCGCCAATCGGCTATAGTTCGTGCTATACTTACATCCCCCCATACCACTACAATATTAATATCTCCCGAGGGCATCGCGTCTTAACTTGTAGCGGTATGCAAATACAGAAATTCTCTTTCGGTCTTAGACTTGAAAGTTTGAAGTTTGAAGATGCCATATGATAGCTATACCCCAGATCTAGGCAGTCTGACTATCTAGGAAAGTCTTGGGCGTGTCGTGGAGTGACAGAACGTATGTAGATGGCCTAGGGCTTCAGTCAAGGCCGGGCCGGGGCACCCTTTTCGTGAGCTAACGCGTATTCGGCAGACTACATCTCCGAGCTTACTAGTAGTAGTACGGCCCAGCTTATTCTTCAATGTAGTACCGGCAGTTCTTGGACAGAAATTGAAAATGAAGAGCTTTTCAGCATTATCTCTCGAGTTAGATGACTTGGTCGATGCGACCGGAGGCCTGCGGAATGCTTTACCAATTATTGATTAATGCTGTGCCAACAGGTGACGAAAGCTGGCTTGGAAAGGGATAGATCAAATTCTCTATAGTGCGGCATATGTAACGTTCCCTGCCTTCATGGACACTAGCGCGCTGCACTGCGCTTGCTCCTGCCAGTGAGAGCGGGAAAATGTAGTAATGGCGTTTCAGCATCTGCTCGAACATAGACAAACCCGTGTCTTTCGGGTTCAATAATATGCCGAGAAGGAAGGATCAAATATGCGCGTTTTTTTTCCTGTCAGTGGAAGTCACTCACCAGTGCACCATGTCTTGTGTCAATCCATGGCTGTCCTGTCCAGCGCTGCGCGCAGTAAATATTCGCACGGTGGTCGTATATAAGGTTGCCTTTATACTTATCCGATAGTGAAAGGTGTTTAGGTGGTTACAACAATTCACTAACTTGAGCTTGAACGGTTTTTATCATGTCTTTCCTTGACAAAGTCTTAGACTACGCAGAGCGACTCCCAGAGGGCATTGAAAGGACAAGAGATCAGATCATTGGTACGTTGAAATTACTCCTGAGGCCCAACCCTCATGATCATTATTACCCCAGGAATCATCAATCCTGATAGTGAGCACGACACGCGCATCATTTGGTTTTCACCGTATCTTATTTGGCTGGTCAGGACGTCACGATAAACCAGAGGAGAAACTAGACGATGAGATTCGAGCCCAGATCAATGCCAGTCATCGTTTTGATAGCTTCGCGGATCAGAGGTTGGACAATTCTATCAAATGGTATGTTTTCATCCATATGGCCAATTCGGATGTTCAGATACTTTTCAGGCATATTGATGGTCATGACTATATGTATGCATTGTCTGAGATACTCGACAGTGCAAAAGAATGTATCTTTATATTGGTATGTATCTTCAAGACTATTGCCATTGCTAGCTCGAGACCAATGCGCTGTCACAGGACTGGTGGCTCACACCCGAGTTATACCTTCGGTCAGTATTTGATTGACGGTTGTGGCGCGTGAATACCAGCTGAAGGTGTTTATGCCCAGACGACCACCCGCAGATCATCCGGAATGGAGACTCGACCGATTGCTTCAACGCAAGGCTCGACAAGGAGTAAGAATATATGTTGTTGTCTATAAAGAGGTACCGTTTTATCGAGGGTCATTCAATCCTTATTAAGCGCTTGCGCACAATTCAGGTCACTCAAACCATGTCCATGAACTCGAAGCACACAAAGGTCTGCATTTTTTCTTTTCGCGTTTACTCTTGAGGATATTTATTCTAAGTCATGCAGGCCGCGTTAGAGGCCTTACACCCCAACATCGCTTGTATGCGACACCCTGACCACATTGGAAGTAAAGGTAAGAACAAGTTGTGATCGACAACACATATACATAACCTTGAGTCGCAGATACCGTAGAATTCTGGTCTCACCACGAGAAGGTATGCACATTACCTTCTGTTTACTGTGAACCTCATACTTATTTCCAACAGCTTGTGGTTGTCGACAACCACCGTGGATGTGTTGGAGGACTTGACATTTGCTTTGGTCGCTGGGATACACACAATCACCCTCTTGCAGATGTACACCCGACAGATTGGTCACGCACTCTCTTTCCTGGACAGGATTATAACAACGCCCGTGTCCCTTGACTTTCAGAATGTTGACAATTATGTTAGCAATGCTGTTTCGATCATGGAAACACCCAGAATGCCATGGCATGATGTAAGTTTCAAGTCATTTTCAGCCCCTATACCACATTGTGTGACCCTTATTTGATATATCAGGTTCATATGACGATATGTGGTTCTGTTTGTTTAGATCTTTCTCAGCATTTCATTGAGAGATGGAACGAGGTGAAACGTAGGAAGGTACGTGGTCAAATGGTCTGATAGACGCTTAAAGTCTGATGTCAATACCACGTTCTCAAAGTACCGTAATGACGAGTAAGTCCAACATTTCAAACGAAATATACAATCTTACCACTCACTCCACAGCCGATTTGACTGGCTTGCACTTCCTCATAACGTGGCGCTTTCTCCAAACGAAGCTGTCGTCCGTACGTGGATGGTTGCTAGTAACCCTATTTGATACTAATCATTCAGGCCATCCCCATCGTGAGAAAATGGCATCAGATGGGTCGTCGTTTCAGAACACGCTTCCACCTCGAACAAGATGACGAAGTTGAGCCGCCTTATACTCCTCCCCCGCACGGAGCTTGCCGCGTGCAGGCCGTGCGGAGTGTTTGCGACTGGAGTCAGGGTGTGCTTACCGAACACAGCATTCAAAATGCTTGTACGTCCTCCCCATGCACAAGCTGCATGCTTTCTCTGAAACTTTGGTACAGACATTCAATTGATCAACGAGGCTAATCATTTCATCTATATTGGTAAGTTCTGATGCCTACTGGTTTATCCCGATGAAATATTTACGTTTGTGATTGATCTAAAGAAAAACCAATTCTTGTGAGTACGGAAGCAATGTACACGACCCTGTGATCTGATCCCCTTTGCTATATTTAGCATCTCCAACACACGCGAAGAAGGCCCTGTGAAGAACCAAATAGCAAAGGCACTTGTCGAGCGGATCATTAAAGCAGCCAAGGATGATCGAAAGTTCAAGGTCTGTGATGTCCTTTTCTGCTATTCGCTTGACCGTTGAGGGATAAAACTAGGTGATCGTTGGTTATACCCGAGCTCCCTGGCTTCGCCGGAGATGTCAAGAATGATAGTGCTCTGAAGATCATCATGCAGCACAGTACCGTACGATGAATCGTGGCGGTCATAGTATTAACGAAGAGATCCGAAAGCTGGTTTTGAGCCGTAAGTTATGGTCGTTGCGACGGTTATTTTTTTTGTTAACAATCGTTTTATCGGATATTAGGATGGACTACATTCGTTTCTACCACTTACGTTCCTATGACAGGATCAATGCTCCGCAGAGTAAGATATCTCTTTGATGATACTGCAGGTTATTCTCAACCGTGGCCATAACAGAAACGTTGATATCCCAAATGGAGGCAAACTCGGGGGTCTCATTCTACGAAGCCCAGGTCGCTCTTGCGCGGTCAATGGGAAGGTCCCCGCACCACTACGGGCGACGCTCCCAAGGAAATGTTATTCAAAGTACCTCAGCCTGCGCAGGAAGGAATGGTTTTGAGCGAGACCAAGATGAAGCCGGTGAAGGTATCTCTACCGGCCTCGTACGATGAAGCGTAGTGAACATTGTCAGGACATTCGAGAAAGGTTCAGATGACATCAGAGGCGACGAAGGATGTATCCGATACCGTATCGCAGCACAGACTGCTGGACCGAACACGCTGAGTGATGAGATTTGGTATGGTTCTGAGGCAGAGGAACGGGATGCGTATGTCTATTGTTGCATCTCACTGGTGCATACAGCTAATTTCATCGAAAAGATACGTATCGGAGCTTCTCTATATTCACACAAAGGTTATGATCGTGGACGATAGACGCGTCATCGTAAGTACTTCCAGAATTGGCCTGTATTTTTGGTGATTGACGATCCGGGCTAGTTGGGTTCTGCGAATTTGAATGACAGAAGTCAAAAGGTAAGTCGACTACTACTGAGCAGGTAATCTGACAACCCTCGACTTCTAGGGAGATGGCGATTCTGAAATCGCGCTTGTTGTCGAAGACGGTGACATGGTACGCTCGACGATGGACGGACATCCATACATGGCCGCACGCTTTGCTACTACTCTAGCGTCGCAAGCTCTTCCGAGGTGAGGATCACGCAAGACTTACTCGAATGTTGGTTCACTTATACACACAGAGCACCTTGGCCTTATCGAGCCTCAGAACGTCTTGCATTCCACTGAGAAGGTCACCTCGTTCATGCGATGTGCACCAGAGCCTAACGACAACGAGATCGGGATGCGGAAGACACTGCCGTAGCGGATCCGCTTGCAGACAGTACCCTGGAACTATGGAATCATACAGCAAGAGTAAATCGCGAGATTTTCACGGAGGTCTTCCGCCCTGTGCCCACCAACCTTGTTCGTTCCTGGTCTGCGTACGAGGCAAGCAATGATGCCTATGAGTTTCATCGGAACATGTCTGACGGTTACTATGCAGAGCTATTTGCCAAAGGTTAAGACTGGTCACGTTGTACCAGGAATACCGCTGCAACGTATCAAGGAACGCCTTTCTCAGGTCAGGGGTTCATTGGTCGAGTGCCCTCTGGTGGGTCCAGATGTTCTATGGGAGATTAGCGCTGACATGTCACCCCAGGATTTCTTGATCGATGACAAGGAGTTCGTTGAGGGTGTGGACTGGCTAGGATTGAATCCGACTCTTCCGATTTACATATGATCAAAGTGTCATCATAGGACTTGTATACTGTTATCTATGATTATGTATGGTTGTGAAGTTCTGAGTTCTGGACTATTCAAGTATACCATTTCAAACATCAAAACCGCGGCGAAGTGCATGGATGAACGCATGCGCTGGTCAGGAGGACACGGGAGAACATGAGGCTTTAATTTCAATGAATCGTGGGCAAGATTAATGCCCGAATCGCTTGAAGAGTTCAAGCTCCACTTGTGAAGAAGACTAAAGCAGCATATTCAAAATAAGGGTTGCTGTGGCAGAATTCGCCGCAGAACGGGGATAATAATAAGATCACAACAACTGGAATAGTCTCAGAAGCGCTTCCGACTCCATTGTGTTTCCCTTCCCAATTGACCCTTACTTTTCGCCGTCACTGCTCGTCGTACTCAACGATGAGTACAATGTCTGACTCTCAGCGGCAGAGTCTTTCACATCCATTTATTTCTCATCTCATCGCTCTCCTGTCAACTTATGAACTATGTCCTATGTCAACACCATCTCCACAATATAACGGGCCTGCAGATTGGCAAACAGACACCATCCTTCGCTCTCTAGGGGCGGTTTGCACGTAGAATGTACACTGCGGAAGAGACCCTGGCTTCAATCAAAGCTTCTGAGTGTTGGCAAACAAATGGGCCAGAGACAAAGAAAAGACGCAGTGTAGGCGACACTCCCATGTCCTCATCTTCATCTTCTCAGAAAGAGACCAACCCATCTTCTTCCCTCATGCAGTCCAGCACCAATGCCAATGCTTTTGCTATGTCTTCCAGTTCACCAGGATCAACTTCTTGTTTTCAGAACAACTCCTCAAACCTCACGCCTACTATAGAATCAGTTGATGTCGACATGCAGGACGCCGATAGCACGAATGCTGTAGCCAATAGCGATCGCACACCAGTCGCCAAACCACACTCCGCTCGTGCAGGTTCGATGTCCTTATCACTCGACGGACTTCCAAGTCATATTGATGCCGCGACACTCCTTCGGTCATTCTCAAACGGAAGCTCAAGCTCGGCACCTCCCACATCGCACATCGAACACATGGCCTGCCCAACGTGCGGGAAGGCTATCACCGACACTTTGATGATGAGCCGAATTAATAGCAGCAGCTTTGATGGCTCCCCCAACGGATCTCCTCTCGTCGTCCCCCCTGGTCCTCTTGCTGCTGCGGCATTCGAAAGCGGCATGAGCGCCGTCGAAGAACTAAGATTACTCAAGGCTCAGGTTCAAGATGTCGCTCGTGTTTGCAATGCTGTGGCCAGAGGTGACTTGTCCCAGAAAATTACGGTTCCTGTGCAGGGTGTGGTCATGGTTCAATTGAAGGACGTCATAAACACTATGGTACTCATCCAGAATCTTATCTCAGGATCTTACTCATGCATATCATCGTCAGGTCGACAAATTGGGACAATTTGCCAAAGAAGTCACTCGTGTCAGTCAAGAAGTCGGTACAGAAGGGTAAAGTGACCGCTAACCCAGATCTTAAACGATTTGCTCAGTCTTCCGTAGTAAACTCGGTGGACAAGCTCTCGTGTTGGATGTCGAAGGTACTTGGCGGGAATTGACTGGCGTCGTCAATAAACTAGCTGCCAATTTGACCAGTCAAGTCCGAAGCATCGCCAAGGTCACTAAAGCTGTCGCGCAGGGGGATTTGTCGAAACAGATTGATGTCGATGCTCGTGGCGAAATCCTCGATTTGAAAAATACCGTAAACGGAATGGTTATCCAGCTCCGTGCATTAGCCGCCGAAGTCACCCGAGTCACGTTAGAAGTCGGCTCTCAAGGCAAGTTGGGCGGTCAAGCGCACGTACCAGATGTTCAAGGTGTTTGGTTCGAGTTGGTTCGCAATGTATGCCCCTTATTGTGTCTTATCGGCAGTGGCCTAATCTGCGTCTTAAGGTTAATCGGATGTGTTCAAAGCTTGACGGACCAAGTGCGGTCTATTGCCAATGTCACAACAGCTGTTGCTAGGGGGGACTTGACACAGAAGATTGAGATCCAGGTCGAAGGCGAGATGTCAACATTGAAGGGCACTGTCAACTCCATGGTGGACCAGCTAAGCGCCTTCGCATCCGAAGTCACTCGTGTCGCGCTGGAAGTCGGTACGCAAGGTATATTGGGTGGTCAGGCTCGCGTAGAAGGTGTGCAGGGTACCTGGGCTGACTTGACACGCAATGTGAACGTGAGTTATATGAACAGTGTTCTGGTCTCGTCAGTGTTACTGATATGCCGTGGCACAGAAAATGGCTAGCAATCTGACTGACCAAGTACGATCGATCTCGGAGGTCACAAAAGCTGTCGCCTTGGGCGATCTAAGCAAAGTCGTCAACGTCGATGTGCAGGGAGAAATGCTAGATTTGAAGATGACTGTCAATTCTATGGTTGCCCAATTGTCTACGCTTGCCAATGAAGTTACTCGTGTGTCTTTGGAAGTCGGTACGGAAGGTATCTTGGGTGGGCAAGCGTATGTTCCCGACGTGCAGGGCATGTGGAAGGTAGGATGTGACGATGCGAAATGACATCATTTCTGACGTTCGCTACAGGTTCTTACAGATAACGTCAACCTCATGGCCATGAATTTGACCAACCAGGTGCGGTCGATCGCAGAAGTGACAAAGGCTGTTGCTGGTGGTGACTTGACGAAGAAGATCGAGGTCGACGTGCGCGGCGAGATCAAGGAGTTGAAGGAGACTGTCAACGGCATGACCGAGAGCTTGAGTCTCTTCGCCGATGAAGTCACCCGTGTCGCAAGAGAAGTCGGCACGGAGGGACGATTGGGAGGTCAGGCTCGTGTAACTAACGTCGGCGGTACATGGAAGGTGAGTACGTTGCACAGACCTGTGAATCAATACTTATCTCAAGTAGGACTTGACGGACAACGTGAACGTCATGGCTGCTAACGTAGGTCCATTCCATCTTTTACGCCCCTAACGCTGATTGTTCGGCATTCTAGTTGACCTTACAAGTCCGAACCATTGCTGTCGCGACCGTGAGTGTTGTTCACCGCGACCCAGTCCTTATGTTGAGTTTGTCATCAGACTGCTGTCGCTCGCGGAGACTTAACTCAACAAATCACTGGTGTCTCTGTATCCGGAGAGATGCTAAGCTTAGTCAACACTATCAACGACATGATTGCTCAATTGGCAATCTTCGCCAAGGAAGTCAAGAAGGTCGCATTCGAAGTCGGTACAGAGGGTAAATTGGGTGTCCAGGCTGAGGTGGGCAACGTCCAGGGTATCTGGCAAGAAATCACGTAAGTAAGGAACATGATCCGCGGAAATGGGTGTTGACATCGTTGTAGGATGTCCGTCAACACTATGGCCGGTAACCTGACCACGCAAGTGCGTGGTTTTGCCCAGATCTCGGCAGCTGCTATGGACGGAGATTTCACTCGTTTCATCACTGTTGAGGCCAGCGGAGAGATGGACTCTTTGAAAACACAGATCAATCAGATGGTATTCAATCTACGTGACAGCATCCAGAAAAATACCGCTGCGAGGGAGGCAGCTGAGCTGGCGAACAGGAGTAAATCTGAATTCTTAGCGAACATGTCGCACGAAATCAGGTAACGCTGTTCTTACTTCTCATCTCGACATTCTGTGCTCAATGTCTCATAGGACGCCCATGAACGGAATTATTGGCATGACGGAGCTTACTCTTGACTCTGATTTGAACCGATCGCAACGAGAGAGTTTACTCTTAGTGCACTCATTGGCTCGCTCGCTGCTCCTCATTATCGATGATATATTGGATATTTCGAAGAGTGAGAGTTTTTTTTCCCGATATCAATGCGTTAATCTGATTACATATTCTACAGTCGAGGCTGGTCGAATGACTATGGAAGCTGTCTCGTACTCCCTTCGTCAAACAGTTTTCGGCATACTCAAGACCCTTGTCGTCCGCGCCTCTCAAAACAACCTCGATCTTACATATGATGTCGACCCTGACATTCCTGATCAACTTATCGGCGACTCGCTACGACTTCGTCAAGTTATTACGAACTTGGTGGGTAACGCTATCAAGTTTACACCGTCCAAGGTCTCCCGCAAAGGCCACGTTGCACTTAGCACAAGGCTTCTGGCGCTGGACGACTCGAGTGTGACACTAGAGTTCTGCGTCACCGATACGGGGATCGGCATTGCCAAAGACAAATTGAATCTCATTTTCGACACGTTCTGTCAGGCAGATGGTTCGACAACGAGAGTGGGTCTATATCTCCATTTGTCGCAAGTAGCTGATCATCCCATAGGAGTATGGGGGAACCGGTCTAGGCCTCTCCATCTCCAAGCGCCTCGTTAACCTCATGCAAGGCAACATGTGGGTCGAGAGCGAGGTCTCGAAGGGAAGCAAGTTCTTCTTCACGATCACATCGCAGATTTCCCAAAGCACGCTGGAGACCACACTACAAAAGATGCAACCATTCCACAGGCGTGCTATTTTGTTTGTTGACACCCTCAACGACACCACTGGGGTTGTCCAAAGGATCCAGGAGCTCGGGCTGAGGCCATATGTTATTCACGATGTCAGTGAGGTGGCTGATAAGGAACGCTGTCCGCATATTGACACTATCGTCGTGGACTCGTTGAGCATGGTACGTTATTTAGGTGCCATATAAGTTCATGCTTACCTCATGTCTTCATCATAGACCGAGAGTATCAGGGAATATGAGCATCTTCGCTATATTCCCATTGTATTATTGGCGCCTTCGATGCCACGTCTGAATCGTGAGTATGCGAGGATGTGCTCTGGTGATATGGGGTTGACAGTAGTAGTTAAATGGTGCTTGGACAACAGCATCAGCTCGCAGGTTACGACTCCAGTCACAGCTCAAGATCTTGCTTCCGCCCTTATTTCCGCTCTGGAGTCGAATACTGTTTCACCTGTCTCGGCACCAAATGATGTTGTCTTTGACATCCTGCTTGCCGAGGATAACATGGTTAACCAGAAACTAGCAGTCAAGATCCTGGAGAAGTATGGCCACACAGTCGAGATCGCAGAGAATGGAAGTCTAGCTGTCGAAGCTTTCAAAGCACGGGTACAAGTGAGCAAGCCATTTGACATTATCTTGGTGAGTCATTTTTTACTCGATAACTCACCCACAATAATAATATCTCCCCAAGATGGATGTATCCATGCCTTTCATGGGAGGAATGGAAGCTACTGAGCTCATCCGAGCGTATGAGATGCACAAAGGACTCCTTCGGATTCCTATCATCGCCCTCACTGCTCACGCTAGTACGTTACAATCTCGAGGGTTAGGGATGGGGTACTTGCTGATCTTCTTTTTCAGTGATCGGTGATCGCGAGCGATGCCTGCAGGCAGGTATGGACGACCACATCACCAGTATGTGCCTCATTTACCCATGCCTCCGAGTCTCACGGATACTTGTTTCGCAGAGCCTCTTCGTCGCGGAGATCTCTTGAATTCGATCAACAAGCTTGCAGGGGAGCGCGCACAATTAGCCACGCAGCATCACCTCCTCCACAGACCACCTGCCCTCATGGCACCATGACTGATGTTTTTTTGTGTCATTTCATTGTTTCAGGTTTTGTATACCCTTGTATGATGTGGATTCCAGTCGATGCTTCTACTGACGTTTACGGCTTTCCAACGCTACCCCTGTCAGATTAATCTGTACGATAGCATGTTCGTGGCACTCAGAATCATTGTGTAATCTCATATTCGAACACCATGTATTTGGATTGGTTCATTATATATGCAATTGTCTTTCTCTCAATGATTCTGTCTGTTTAGTGCAGTCTAGGTTTGATTCTTATTATTTGTGCCTTGTCGACCGAAACGTTGTAACTTACATAAAGGTACCGATACCCACTTTAGCCAAGAATGACGCAACAAACAAATATATCCAAACTTTGACCAGTCTCCTAAAGACTAAAGTGACACTAGATCTACTTTCAACGTTCAACGTTTAACGACGAAAGCATTCGGCAAGACTAGCATGAAGTTGCTTCATCTGATACATACATTAATCCCCTTCTCTCACCATCGTTCCACTGTTGCGGACAACTTGACGCCAACAGAACCTGCAGCATACATCTATCGGCTGCCAGTGGAACTTCTACAACGAGTCTTCCTATTCATCGTTAACGACACGTCAGCCTGTCCCATTATCAACACATCAGAATATTGCACCATTTCGCTCGATGTTGCCAGCCCTCCCCTAGTACTTGCCAGAGTGTGCCATTTTTGGCGAGTCGTTGCATATTCAACGCCAGGAGTCTGGTCGCGCATCCAGGTCGTGCTCCCTGAAAAAGCTAAACAGAAACCATTTCTTCCATATTTCATTCAGTGTTGGCTTGATCGCTCCGGTGGGCTTCCCCTCACCCTTATAATCATCGACAAACACTGGTTCGATGGCCGCCGCAAATACCGTCGGATACCAGCGGCGGCAGGCTCTCAACTTCTCGATATCCTCTTTTCTGAAAGCCAGCGTTGGCAAACGGTGGTTCTATCATCCGTTGAAGACTGGCATCCTGATTTCAACACACCTCAGTTGAGAACCTTGGAGTGCCATCATTCAAATATCAGGAGATTCAATGCACCAAAGCTTTCCCGCTTATACATTGATGGCACCTTTTCTTGGACCGTTCCAATCGGACAGCCCACCCTTACCGGTCGCCGCGCCCCCCTTACTTGCAAAGATCTACGTCACATCCATATTCCGGCCGCTTCTGCGGTTGCTATCTGCCACACTATAGCCAGTTTCCCTAATCTGGAGACCATTGTGGTTGATGAACTTAAATCCTGCGGTTATGTTCCTGCCCCTATAAATAATTTGGTGATGCTCAAATCGATGACCATCCCCCTCTGCTCCGTCTTGCCAGATAACTACCGGCAAGAGCTTATCAAAATATTCGCTGTACTTCATCTTCCCATGTTGCGGAAATTGACTCTGTTGGGGTCGCCGGAGAAACCACAAGTTGATTGGCTTTTGGCGATGCTAGGAGTTGCATCTTTCCAGGTGCCGGTGGTAGAATTTCACATACCGCAGAACATGGTTCCGTCTGCAACACCGCTGAACAACACTTATGTGGAAAATATTGTACCGTTGCTTTCATTTGTGGGAGAGGTTATTTTTTGTGGGTAAGTGTTCTGCCATCTCGCCTCACGCACTTCATCATGTGAACTATACAGTATCGGAATTAGCTACGACAAGGAAAACCAAAGGCGCATTTATCGACGTAATATACGTACATGAAGTAATAAAATCTGTCGTGTCGGATGCGAACATGTGGACCTGAGATTACTCGCCTACGTCTCGAGAGGCGCCCACGGGACAACTCATTTTTGTCGACTTATAGGACTGTCTATTTTAAAAACTTTCAAGTTCGAGGCAGTGTACAAGGGGTGTTTGAGCTACATATCACGCATCTGCCAGACTATGACATTTGATATAGAGATGACGGAAACCAGAGAACAAACAGGTACGCATTGCAAACCTTGTATTCAATTTGTCTTACTTCGGACGACCCTCTTCGAGGCTAATTCTTCCTGTTTCAGCGATACCAACGAGCAACCGTGCCCGGGCCATAGCGGCGAATAATTTTACTAGTTAAATTGTTCGATAACAGTAGGTGTACTTATGCAGTGTTAAGAAAGGAGGGTGTGGTTATGCTGATCATCTGTCAAAGAAAGGTCCGCCCTAAAAGACTAAGGTTGGCACTCATGTTCAGAGTATGATAATACCGCAAGCAATGGAAACGATCAGGCCAAGTGCCCCAATAGCTGTCTTTATGCTCACAGCATCACCTGTCTTGGTGGTGAAAGGGCTACTGCCACTACTACTACTACCAGTAGCAGTAGAGCTCTTCGCAGCAGATGTCGAAGTAGAAGTCTGTCCACTGGGAAGCTGTAAATGTGAAACACTGTCAGGGCACCATAAAATCGAACCCGTGAAACCATCAACGAACAGTAAGAGATCCACCACAAGCTTCGTTCCAGCTGTCGATGGCGGAATCAGCGTCTGTCGAGGCAGATGGTTCGGCCGTAACAAGGCAATCCATGCATGTTTGAAGCTGGGTTCCGATGGTCGACACGCAAATGCAAGATAGACTGTTGTCGCAGTCCTGGGGTACGTCTAAGCAATGTCAAAAGCTCGAGTTATTTGGCGTGCTCACACTTATCGTATTGATGACTTGGCACGTGCTTTGGCATTGAGAAGGGAGGTCGCTCGTATTTACCTGACGGACGGCGAGGGCGTTGGGATGGACATTGCGCGCGACAGGAGGGGCTGGACGCGAAAGAGACGTGTTAGTTGACCAATAGATATCAGTGGGTCGAGATTTACCTTGCGCGACAGTGACAAGAGCCTGCCAGAGGAGGGGGGTAATCTGGACCATTGGTATCAAGCCGTGATACTGACAGCTTCGTACAGAAGAAAAAAGGATGGTCCAGGAACAACGAACGTGAGGTGTCTTTTAGCAAATTTCGGGAGCTGAGATGAACCAATGTCAACGTTCCCGTCTGTGATCAGACAGCGGTATCCAGGACAAGTGCGAGAGCCTAGAGGCTAGAGGTCGAGTACGAAGTCGCCCTTTCAGGAAGAGGGTCACGACCGATGACTCCCTGCACTGCCAACTTAACAAAATTTATCAGCTGGTGATTGATTGACCCTGGTGTAAATTTGCGTTGTTGTGTGCCTTAGAGCTCTTGTTCAACTCGAAGCTTCAAAGGCTTCATGTGTAGCTATAGCGGGAGCCTAGTTGCGGCAGTGTAAGACTCAAAGGGTGAATTTGGCATCTTTTTCGGTCATTGACTCGGTACTCATCGGATTGTGGTTGGCCATGTCCAGTCGATGCAAGTCGGATAGTATAAATCATACGAAGCGGTCACCGGCAATGATTGACAGGAGACTCAGGACCAGGTACTACCAGTAATTGCCATTATTTGTACGGTAGTACTGTCGGCTAACGCCGTGTGAGGCGGATGATATTTATGTAGCGCTCGGCGGGCGCTAGTTCCCGTTGATCGCCCCGTTCTTCGTAACGTTTGTCTTGACAATATCATGGTATACCGTGACTATACCCAGCAGGGTGATTTCGATATTTTATGGCGAACCGTGGTTTGATCAGAGTGTAAGTATGCTCATGAGTTATATCATTCATTTGATCGGCAGGTGATCATCGGCAACCGGAAAGCGTTTTCCATGCATTAAATGACAGACGGCATGTCTATTTTCCACAGAACCCTCTCCCACTACTTAATAGTACTTGTTGGGGACAGTTACACGCTCCCATAATGCGAACGCCTGGCATCAACTTTTAGCAAGCAAACATTGTGCAACCAAATTTTTGATAGCATGAAACTGATCGGCGCCAGTGACCGGTTATCACGTTAGGAACTGGACTGACCTGGACCACGCGGAGCCGGAGCATCGTGAGTATAAACCTCCAGGTTGCGAAGGCTTGCGCACTCGACCAAAGAGCTAATTCTTATCCAAAGCACACGCGGTGGCCTGGCTAATACTATAATAGGTCTTCCAATAATATTCCGCATTCGTCAGCAATCTCGTTATCATGGCCGCTGTGCGACCTCTGTCCGATGCTCCCAATCACCCATGTCTGCCGGGATTAACGTTACCGAGGAGCAGCCTTTGCTGTCCAACTCCAAGCAGTCAAGTTATCATGATAACCCCCCAGACAGCTCAAGTCGCACTCAGGACGAAGAGGCACTTCCCTTGACAGACGAAACGAGTGACTCATTGAAAGAGCCGTGGACCGGGAAGCGAATAACTGTCTATGGTGTTCTGACATTGTTAGGAGTGTTTATATTGGCCACATTCATCAAAGGCTTCATTGACGCTGATGATGTGAATGTAAGTCGTGGTCTGCTTGTATAATATCTATTTTCTTCCTCATGTTCGTCGTTGCTAGTTTGACTTTGGAAAAGCGTTCAAGAGTGCGCTAGGAGGAGGGTTAAGTGGTGCTGCAGGTAAGCAAATCCATTCATTGGAACATCTATGTCACAATTTTGATGTCATGGCAGCCATGGTGTTGCAGGTTTTGGCGCTCATGGTATGATGCTCATACCGAATATCTCCGATTTCCGCTGAAAATCATGTAGCCTCTGCGCACCATCATGAATTACCAATACAGATACGGCACAACAACGACGCAGGCTACCAAGATTTTATACGCTGATGGCGGTTGGACACGGTATTACCAAGGCCTCACTGCAGCTCTGGTTCAAGGGCCAGTATCCCGTTTTGGCGACACCGCTGCCAATGTAGGCATTCTCGCCCTCCTTCAAAGTAATTCATACATGAAGACCCTGCCGACGTTTGTAAAAACATTGTTCGCAAGTGTTGCTGCGGCTTGTTTCCGCATGACATTGACCCCAGTTGACACGATCAAGACGACTATGCAGACGCAGGGTAAGGAAGGCATCGCATTACTGAGGGCCAGGGTATATCTTCACATATATAGTATCTGCTTGTCCTGATGTTCTCTTAGGTTAAGAAGTATGGTATTGGCAGCTTGTGGTATGGTGCTCTCGCGACTGCCGCTGCTACATTTGTCGGTCACTACCCAGTAAGCGCTTAAATCTGGGACATACATTCTTTACTGATTCTTTACCCAGTGGTTCGGGACGTACAACTATCTCAACGCGGTCCTCCCACTTCCAACGACTATACTGCAGAAACTCCTTCGTTCTGCTATAATCGGCTTTGCAGCTTCCATCACCTCTGATACCGTCTCTAACTCTCTTCGCGTGCTGAAGACCTACCGACAAGTCAATGCTACACCAATTGGATATGCCGATGCTGCCCGCGCCGTCATCGCAGCAGACGGCCTCAAGGGTCTGTTCGGACGGGGACTCAAAACCCGTATCTTGGCCAACGGCCTCCAAGGAATCATGTTTTCAGTGCTGTGGAAGTTATTTTTGGATATGTGAGTTATTCGTGCGCATGTCTTTATGATCTGGTCCTGAGTATTCCCATCATGTCCAGGTGGAATGACAAGACGAATTAGATACGTTCGGGTGTAATGCATATAAGGAAGGGCTTGTACATCACTGTTACCCTGAATACCAGGTCACTCCGTTACCTTCTCATTGTTCTTGATCCTGCCAAGAGTTTGGTCTTGTGATATCGTGATACATAGAACATATCTCACTCTTGGATTCCAAAGGAATGTATGTATGATATTGACATTTGTCTTGTACATCACAAGAGACAGCTTGACTCGTTCGGAACTGATCGATGATCATGAACCATCGTTGTGTTGTGTTTGTTTGAACAGATCCACGGCGCGACGAGTAAACTTTTATCAGAATGCTCTCACTCGTGGTATACCATCTGAGTTTTGGACGCCTGTCACAGAAGCACATGATGATGCAGAGCCTTACTGGCTCTCACATCCTTTTAATTCCTCGGGATTGGTGAACCATATATTACTACAGATGTGCACTCAGTCGAATGTGCAATGCAAGTCTGTCCAGCTTATATTTGAGCAAACAGGAAAGTATTCCAAGTGGGACCCACCCTGGGAGATTCTAGTATGTCTGATCAATGGCTCACATCATCTTTAGTTGTATGTTGACATTGAGCAGATTAGGTCATCTAGACACCTTATATCAGTATCCCTCAGTCTGATATGATGGACTGAGATTGCTCTGTATCTAGACACCTTATATCAGTATCGTAAGCATGTATGTGAGTGATCTTGTTACGACCAGGGTTATCTGAATGGCATGAGCACGAATGTGCTGCCACATGTCGAGGATGTCTTACAAGTCAGCAAATGCCGACAGGTCTCTCCGTCTACCTCAGTAAGGTTTAAGGGCCTCATTGAGATGAAGGGCTAGCAAGAATATGACTAAGGCACGGGGAGCGACTTAGAAGTGCAGATCAAGGGTTGAGGATCAAGGAAAGCGAGTTGATTAGACAAGCTAGATCTAGGGAAGACCTGGTAGAATAAAGTAAAGAACTAATACAATGTCCTGTCTACTTATATACGCTGTACATAAGTGTTCAAGCTCAGTTCGTATCTGGGGGATCTATGCTAGTCATGGCGAGTCAGAGATAAGTGTACATGAGTCGAGCCATGAGGATCAGATAAGATGCATGAGGCTTAACCTCTAATCAAGCATGAGGCACCATGCTGCGCTTGAGTCATATATAGGCGCCATACGATGCTCTAGTCATAGATACGGTGCCATGTGTCTAACATGCGCCGGTCTAGGTGTCCATGAGGCGAACAGCCCCTGGAGATCAGGTACAAGGCCATCTAGGCCTACCATGACTCACAGTGAGTCATAGCAGTTCCAGACCACTGTCGTTCTAGGTTCTAGCAGTGTTCTGCTGTGTCGGTCATTCCAGCAGAGAGGGGCTCTGCCAATGTTACAGTTGACTGTAACAGATCTAGGTATGGCGTGATGAACACAAGAGACTTACCCTCAGTCTGATATGATGGACTGAGGGAAGAGAGAGACAATGGAAATAGAACATATATACTAAGTACACCCATTCCAAAACTCATACTCCGACAGTGGTCACATTGTTCACGTGCTCATAGCACCAATACATATGGAAGAATCAACAAAGCCACAGGCAATTTTTTACCCAAAGACTCTATCAACTCCAATGAGTTCCAGCCACTTTTCTGTCTTGCAGGTATTGAACCTGAGTCTGATGAACATCTAAAGACTGTCTGGAAGAGTCTGAATTTACTACATGGTCAAACAATTTAAATTGAATACTGAATCTCATGCATGAGTCAACAATAGTGATGTGCAAGGCCCGGCTCGGCTCAAAAGCTGGGGCTATGGCTTGGCTTGATAGGGCTCAGGCTCCTTCAGATTGCAGGCCAGGCCCTCCCCAACAGCTCAGGCTTGGTCAGGCTTGGCTTAGGGCTCAGGCCTTGGCTTCATATTACAATAGTGCTACAACATGTCTAATGATTGAACAAATACATCTTCATCATCGGAATCTCGCTGCACTTCTTCATCATCCAATTCTTCACCCAATACATCCAGTAAGTCACCCATCTGAGGCTCAGGCTGGTCCAAGTCTCTGTCACCCTCAGTGATGATGGAAGGATCCTCACAAAACAATAACCCTCATTTGATCATACATTTGAGGCACTGAAGTGCCTCAACAATATCAGGTTTCAGACAGTTACATTGCTTACTGATCGTGATTCCTGCTGATGAGAAAGCTCGCTCACTCGATACAGAGGTTGCCATTACAGAAAGGAAGTCGCAGGCAAGTGAAGCCCACATGGGGTAGTGTGGGGAGTTGATACCCCACCATTGAACAATGGACATCCCTCCGAGATGGTCCTTCGAGTTCAAGTATGCGTGAAAGTTGTGCAACCACAGCTTCAATGGATCTACCGAGTCAAAAAGACAAGCTGAAGATGTGCGAGACAGAGTTGGTGGATCCTGGTATGGTGTGTCAAGTGCATCTTCATCACCATCAGAAAGCTCATTCAGCAAAACATCCAATCTGTGGTTGCCGGTGCTGGTGCAAAGCTCCGTAGATGCTGAGGACTTCCCTGCATCATCACCATGCATCTCAAGATAGGACTCCTTATACTGCAAGAAGAACATCAACAACAGTTTATAAGTGAGATATAGACAAACGAACCATTGCTTTAGCATTCTCAAGCACCTCGTGCAGTAAATCATTCCCCCAATGACGACGGATATGAGCAGCCTTTTGTGTTGGGTCCAGAACTAAGATACTCAAATAAGTTGGTGTAGAAGTAAATCGGAT